TATACACAATAGAAATCTTTCTGTTGTTTAAGTAAGTTTAAATTAGTTATAATCATGGTAATCTTTACTATAAATACTTCCAGATCCAACCAGTAAAGCAGTTATGATTTTAAATTAGAGAATGAAATGCTCAACAATATATATTCCTACTCGAATTACTCTAAACCAATTTCATAGTATAAAATCTATGGATGTAGAATCGATAAAAGTTCCAAAGAAAATTATTTTAGATTCAATTAAATAGAAGTAAATAGTCGTATTAATTAGATTAAATGTGCCAAACAATCTTGCTGATAAAAAGAAAGGCGAAAAGTTTCTAAATTAAGTTAGAGAAAAAGTTGAACAACAAAAAAAAGAACATTAAGCAAAGGCTAAATGAGTTAATATTATATATATTAAATTTATATTATACTTTAATATACTCTAATATAAATTAAATTATTGAGATAAAATTTTAAAATCTTGAATTCTTAATTGTTTGCATAAAAGTTTAAGTCAGAATAAAAGATGTAAAGCTTGATCAAACTAATAACTTTAAAATTGTGAATATTCAAAGTAATATTTGTATCATTATTTATTATAAATTTTTATAAAGTATAGAATGATATTTTAATACAGATCTTGATGAATTATTCAAGTATTTAAATTTCTCATTCTAAATTAATTATAGATAATGAATCAATTTTTATTGATTATTGAATAATCTTTATACAAATTGTAGTATATTAAGAATTTGATTTTATTAAATAAAATATTTATAGTTATTAGATAAATATATTAAAGTCAATAAATTAATTCTAAACCACAAAGCTAATTAAGATTTGGATGTATGAATTACATTAAATAATTAACTGCTTAATCTCTACTACAAAAATATCCATCAGAACAGAATTTCGTTTAAATTTGTATTCTATTATAAAAGACCATAACTGTTTCATTTTTTACAATAATTTCTAATTATGATGCAAATGGAATTATAGGTTAAAAATCTGAAATTGCAGATAAGATTGCCACTTAATTAGTATCATGTCCAGAATACCAACTAAGTGGTGTATTTGAATATAATTAAGAGATTATCCATTTAAATGGTTCAGTTAATTAAGCAAAATGTTCCAAAGAATCACAATTATCTTCATAATATCTAATAAACTTAACTACTTCTTGCATATAATTAATTGCTGATTCTGATGGATTAGGAAATAGGAATCCTTAGATGTGGTTACTTTAATAATCATCAAAAATATCTTCAATATCAGATAAAGTTATGGACTTCTTTTTAAAAGTTTTACTTGGATAGGCAGCCTTGATGATATCAAATACTTCATCAAATTCTTGTCTGTTTTTGAATTCTTCTTCTTTCATTTTAAAATATTCACTGGCTTCAATCTTTTTTTTTAAATCCTTAATAGCAGGACATACGGTTTTCTTGTGTCCATGAAACAAAAAATCATTAGGTCTTTCAAAATAATGAAGTTCTAATTCTAATGGATTTTTGAAATCTGAAGACATAATTTGATTCCATGCCTCTATGTTTGTAGAATATTAAGCATAATATTCAACGAAAAATCTTTTTATTATCACTTCATAATTGTTAGGACACAACCCTTTTAAGAATCCAATAGTAGACATCATAACTCTTTATGTTGTAGATGCTTAAATTTCTAAATTTTCATAAATGCAATTCCCATTCATATCTGTAATAGAGAACCCATTTTTACTCTACCCTAATGACATATGTTATTATAATCCTATTTCAGTTAAATCTTCTGGTTAACTTGTCCAATAATAAGTACTATCAATTTCTGTATATACTTTTGGAGATCTAGCACCATGTCTAGTTATCAATATTGACTTTTAAAAGCAAGAACCAATGCTTAATAAGATGAAAACTATAATTGCACTTTAAGTATTCATGATTTTTTTATTATTTATCTTAGGATTTAGATTTATCATTATAAATGATGAAACAGACATAGTAAATTTATGTATTATTAAAATGTCATATGACGTTATGAAAATAATTATAATTATTTTAATAATATGTAGAATATATCCATTCTGGATAAATACAAAACATATACATTTCTCATTTATTTACAAAAACCCTATCTCTATACAAAGAAAATAGAAAAACAATCATTAATCAACCTAATATTTATATTAACTTATTATATGACACAATAAGAATAAGGTAGTAGAATTATCAAATGAGCTCAGAAAGTATAATACTATAAAGTTTTATTTTTAAAATTCTCAATAGTAACATTATTGTCAACTTAAAAATCAATCAAGAAAGTTTAGAAATCTATATGGAATTTTTTTTTAATTAGTTCAAAAAATGCCTTAAAAATGAAAAATAGTTTTCATAATTATTTTTCAATTGATTCTGTTTTATATAATTGATTTAATTAGTTCCTAACCCAAAAATGAGGAAAAATTGCGATTTCCAGAAATCATGTGAATATATAAAAAATTTGATAAATACAAAAGAAAATAATTTTTTCATGTATATATCTACTGCAAGATGAATGGCAAAAAAACTGATGCTGTAAATGTGATTAATTTGATATATTCTCAAATATCATTTTTATTCAAATTTTTTAGGTTAATTAATCGGTAATTATTTTATAACAGGTGAATGATAGGATAGGCTTCCATCAATAGAATGTAAAGAGCATTCATGTTTTTGGAAGGGTGTTGATTATTAAAGATTGGTGCCACTTCCGCTATTTCCTTTGAAAATTTAAGGTTCAAATTTTTTTTTTTTTTAAATTGTTTATGTATCCAATGCAGATCTACATAATGGGCAAACCTTAGATTAAATGAATAGATTACTTTATTCTTTTTCATCCATTATTCTAAACACCTTAAATGGAAAATATGTTCACAATAAGTCATTCTTACAAGACTGTTAGATTTAAATGTCTCTAAACATATTGAACATGTAGTTTCAGCTTTAGATTATGGTAATCTATCTGTAACTGATATAAATTATAAAGCTGGCATTACATCCTCAAATTGTTGTTTATTTTAAATTATTTGTTTTGCCTTATATATTTTAAGAAGGTATGTGATTGCCATGAATAATACAATTAGGCCTAGAATTGAGGCTAAAATAATAGTAAGCAAAAGAGTTGAATAATATTGATCCTAAAATTTTGCTAATTTCACACCTGTAGTAGTATTTGTTATAATTACAAATTGGGAATAATATTTAAGTTATGTAAATAATCTTAACTTTTCTGTATCTTCTTTACATTTGAAAATTGATTATTCGTTGATGTATATGGTATTATTTTGATTGGAAGTAATTAATAAATGAGTAGAATTTGCATAACATATAATAGTAAAGTGTAGTTCTGAATTTAGAATTAATTTATAATCATTAGTCTACAATGTTATAAGATCTAAATAAAATATTTGCAATCCATGAAAATAACTGTTGTATTGTATGTTTGATGAAATGATATCACAATCAAAACCTAAATAACCTAAAGGACATTAACAGAAGCCTTTAATACAAACTCCTTAGTTTTTACAGTTGCTTGAATAGTTTATAAAATTACACAATGCAATCATCAATTCCGATTCTATCAATTGTTAAAATTAAACTTGAATTAAATTTAGAATATATTATAGCCACACATGAATTGTTTTCTATTGAAAATAAATTATGGTATTAAGAAACTAAAGTTGGCACTTTCTATTGAGAAAGAATAAAATACTGAGTTTAATTTCCTAATATGTAAGCATTGTAGTCTACAAGACAATTGTAGTCATGATAATTATCATGCTCAAAAAGAGTTTTAAATTTTTCAATATCATTAAAGTTCGTCTAACAAATTGCCATAATAGAACTTTAGTTTGATAATTGAGTTAACATAACTCTCAATTTATTTTCTTAACTGAGACTAGTACAATATTAATCTAAAGGAAAACTCTAAATTCCTACTGATGAATTGAAGGAATTTGAATACAAAATGTCAGCAAAAATAGTTTGTATCAAAGTGAAAATAATTGAAATCATAAAAATAATTAATTAAATTTGCAACATAAATCATTTGTAAGATCATAATGTCTATTTAGGAATTGTTGGATGACAGGATTATTTAAATCCATAAAGTCTAATGTTATTTTGTGATTATTCATAGATTATTTGTTTAGAACAAGTAATCAATTATTGATTACAATTATCTTAACATGTTTGGGTAATTTTATTTGTTGTTTCGATATTTAAGCAAGATCGACATGTTGGACAAATCTTATATATTTATTATTATAATATTACTTCATTTTTCTCTATCCATAAATCAATACATTCTACATGAAAAAAATGAGTACATTAAGTTACCCTGACTTAATCCTCCTTTTTGTATTAATCTAAACAAATTTAACATATATCATCATCTAGAAGTCCAGGAAACTATTTGATTAATTCATCATATAATTATATTGGCAAAAATTTTTTAATTAATTTTTCTGATGTCCATTTTTAAAAGTTTTGAATTTATACATCATTCAGATTATCCATTCTTTTGGGTTATTTTCTAAACTTAAAGCAACAATAAACAACAGAAAATAGCAGAAAGATTCCAATTGATACTATTATATATATGATGGAATATTAATCCAATATCTCATCATCAGTATATTTGTATATAGTGTAATTTTATGCTATAAACAAATATAATGGCTGCAATTATACAGTAAATTATTTGTTGATCTTTTATGTTTCATTTATACAATCGATTTATTATTAATGAGTAAGTTCCATATAATTTTTTACAAAAAACTTCCCTCGATAAATATAAGGATTAAAAGCTAAACAATACAATAAAAAATTAGATTTGTCAGTAAAATTCATTTATATAACCTAAAATCAATGAAATATATTACTTCTGATTTAACAACATTGATATAATAAATTATGTCTTGTTCATAATTATCGTTTGATAAAAATTGTAATATATTGATGCTACAATCATCCCCGAAGAAACCTTCTTGACAAGCACATTAACCTTTAATACAACTACTACTTTACTTACATTCCCTAATAAATTTGAATAAGTTATTTATACCATAAGCATGATGACTTTTTCTCAGTTCGAATATTTATGTCAAAATCCATTTTTTCTTCTGAGTAAACCATTATAAAAGGTATCTTATCCTTCTCTTACATAATAATATTCATAAAACTCTTTTATTCTTCTTTATACTCAACAATTATTTGCTACTTAACTCTCTTTAAATCATACGAATTTAAGTCAGCAATACAATTTTATCTATAGATAATTTAACTTAATTACCTTTGAATAGTTATTAGATCAGGTATTTAAGAGAAAGTAATGTTTGCATTGCAAATTATCAATAATGGTGCTCTTTATTAATTGTAATTTGTTAGCGATATTACTAATTTTTCATCTAGTAAGATCTGTTCTTAGAATGTTGATTATGTTTAAATTATAATCTATCCAAGAACTTATCTATGTTCCTTAGTAAAAATGTATTTAGCAATGCAAGAAGTAAAGAATAAAAATAAAAACATTAAATTATTTATTTGATGATCATTTTTTTATTTATAAACAAAGCTACTAATTTATTAAATCTTTTTTTAAAAATGGCGACGGAGTACTTTCTTTCAACTATAATCCATTAGCAGAATCAGGAGAGGAGGTCTCTAATAAAGTTTAAAAATAAAAATTACATTATTATTATTTCAATCTTTATTCTCGTCTTTAAAATTCAGCTAATTTTTGTTCATCTATTTACATAGCTTCCCCTGATATCACTCCCAACTAATAAATTTATTCTTCATGTCTTTATTATATGCATTTTTGCTTAGTTAAATCCTCTCTACAAAATGGACATGTCTATAATAATAATTTATCAATTTTTTTACTTGATTTCTTTTTCTCCATTCATCTATACATATAGAATGAAATAAATGCAAACAATATGTTAATTTAACTAAATCTTGTTTCTAAAATTCTACAAGACAAATTTGACAATCAGAAATTTCAATTAATCCTGGATATTCTTGAATAATTTATTCATATAATTCTACTGGAATTTAATCTTATTTTAAATTTCTATTAATAATCTCTTTTAATGAATTTAATCTTAAATTTTAATTGTTTTAAGTTCCAATATTTATTTTTCTTGCTTTTCTTTACAAATATATAACACATAAGATTAATAATAATGCAAAAATAAGAGAACCTATAGCACCAGCTAGAATATAATATATTTCTAACCCAGAACCCTTATCCTCATCGATCATTATTTATAGTTTTAATTCTACTTAAGCCTTTTAATTTTAATCGTTTACTAATAAAAATATCATATAATTATCCAATTTATATCCTAACATTGATTCCATTTGATTTTTATTATCTTAACATTATTTAATTTCGTCTTTAGAAAATTTTAACATTCCTGTTGAAATCTCATTTTGTAAAAAGGAATTGCTTTCATAAAATGGGATAAAATCTTAATCAAGTAAACATCCAAGATATGTAATTATTGTTGCATTTGAGTTTACTTCAATTTATAAAGAAGTTGATTTATCATTCAAAGGAATTGTTAGAATATTTTTAAAAGACTTTTATTTAATTTCAAACTATAATAATAAAGTTTTCTACCTAAATTAAACTTGGAGCATTAATTACAGTACTTTATAATTAGCAAGTACTATCTAAATAGCCTTAATTACATTAACAAAAAAGTATTTAATTGCTCATACACTATCCATTATTGTTACATTAACTATATTAATTAATAATATAACTTATAGCATTCCCCCTTCTAGGAACTTTTTAATATGATATTATATTGAGCATCATCTGATGAATAGATATAAATAGAAAATTTTTTGTCATATAACTTATAGATGCTATATTTATTATACACCTATTAGTTTTCTTCATTGATTTAATCTGTTAACACAATCTACTAAATGCGTTATGAATATAACATAGCATTATTATCAAAAACACATAATTTTCTATTGATTATATAGGTGTTTACTTATTTGATTCTATTTGTTTTTTTATTGATTCAGGAGAGCTAATAATTGATTTTATTATTTGTAGATTGTTCGTGTTGCAATATGCTAGAAATGGAACAGTTGAAAATTAATTATTTTCAAGTATAATATTGATCGTTATTGCTCCTTTATTCTATTCAGTTTAACTTCCTAGATCAATATTTATAGCATTTAAGCCTTTAGTTCTATAGAGTTTCTATGAATTAAGAGCATTTGTTATGGTTATCAATAAAAGTAGTACAAACTACATTAATGTATTTTATAAAGATATTATAAATATCGCATATTTTTATATTCAAGGCATTATTCCATTAGTCATTCTTTGAAAATTATCATACTGAATTGTTCTCCAATTATTGTCACTGTAATCAATTAATCTATCAACATATTTCTATAATGATTTATCATTTGCTTCTTTTTTCAATCGTTCTTTAAATTCTTTGATATCGAATTTTTCAAAACAAGGCTACTCACTATCTTACATTATATTTTCAATAATCATAATTAATTCATCAACGAATCCTTGAAGTGCTTTAAATCCTCTGAAGATTAAATTCTTAAAATATAAGAAAAGATCACAATCTCTTCCATTCATTAAATTTATATATTCTTATATCAATTTGAAAGGAGCTTTTTCAAAATTCAAATTTCCAGAAGAAGTGCACAAATGAATCAAAAATCAATATGAATTATTCTCCCTTTACTATCAATCATAATATTACCATTAAATCTATCTTTAATTTATAATAGATAACTAATAATTGAATAAGAAGCTAGACTTTAAATAAATCTAATCTAAACTTTATCATAATCTAATTTAAATATTCTTTTATAAATATGAATAAGACATTTGAAAGCAAGATATTTCTTTTTCAAAGCATCTCTTGAAATTGTATTTGCACAAAACTCCAATACACCTGAACTAGCAGCTTAAAACTATTATCCATATCTTTTACTATTCTAGATTTTAAACTACAAGTTTCAAAAATTTAATACTGACTTTCTCTTTTCAACATTTCTGCCTTATCCTCCCATAATTCATCCCATCCCATGGACCAAATTTACTCAATAATTCTATTCCATCTTAATGAATATCCATTTTATTTTTTCTCTACCTTTATCTCTATCAAATCATATTAAAGATGCACCAAAAATTCCTCTCAATACTTCCTCCTAAATAGGATAAACTTAATTATTTTATCATTTAATACATTATATCAAACTCATTCAAGAATCTAACTCTTCTATAGGCAGTTAATTATTTTATTAATTTATTTTCTTATCTAACCCATTTCTTTTATTCTTTTTATATTATTTTGACCAGTAAATTTAATCCTTTATTTACTTATATTATCTATTCTTATTATTTAATTTAGGAATGCATGACTAAGTTCACTCATTAGTTTTCTCAGGAAAAAAAATATTAAACCTTCAATAATTTTTATTCTTCCATCTTTTTTTCAATCTCTTATTTATTTGATTAATTTAAATCTCCTTATACCAAATCTTCCATTGTTTTTCCATTGTTTCATCATCTAAATTTACATTTGATCTCTATATTAGTTATTGAATTATTATGCAGTTTTTTTTTCTTATTTAAACTTTTAATTCATGAGGGCTATTAATATTTTTTTCTATTACTCAATAGTTTCTTCGACTATTTTATAAGGAACTCTTTTTTTTTTATGTATGAACATTCTCCTTCAATTATTCTAACTCTAAAATTTGAAAGCACAGCACTATTTTGATTTTTGCTATCAAAAAATAAAAATTTTGGATTAAAATAATATCTTTATAAATACAATAAGTAAATATAAAAATTATGTTAAGAATAACTTAAAATAAAAATGCATAAAATACACTAATTAAGGAATGAAGTACTCTAAATCCTCTTCTTATATTAAGTATAATTTATTTGAACTTAAAAAAGTAATAATAGATGAGTTAATTAAGTTCTATTTCTTGAGTATTAAACATTTAATAAATAGTACTAATTAAATAATCCTCTCTTAGATGATTGACAGATAATAAGATGATTTGATATTTTTTCCTTTTTTCTGAATCATCTTATTTGCAGGCAAGTAAATAATTATTCATAAAACTAATATTTAATTTGTATAATTATAAATTCATGCCCCAATAGCTAATTTAGATCTAGCAACTTATTTTCTTGATTAACGAGCCACTTATTTATTGTTTGTTTCCTTTTTAACATTTTCATCTTTTTCTGCAGCCCACAATTCAATATGTGCATTGGATGACAAAAATGCTGCAATATTTTAATTTTTTACGATTAATTCTTCCATGTGCTCTATAGGTTCTACGTCTTCCTTTTTATGCTCTATTAACTTAAACATGATTAATGATCAATTTTTCATTACTAAGATTTTTAACTTAAGCATTTGCAGCCAAATTTTGCAATAATGATAAAACAATTCTTACACTCTTTTCTGGCCATCTTCCTATTTAATTATATAATATATGATAATTTTACCTTATGATCTGCCAAATTCTTTTGCTTATCCAGTTCTACCGACTCCACCATTAAAACGAGTGAATGGAACACATCTTTTATGTTATAATACATCTTATAAGTATTTTAATGCTTATGCTAATGTTTATCCTTTAATAGCTCTTGCTACTTCATAAGTGTTTTTAAAATGTGTTCTTAAATCACTGGCTTTAGCCTTACATGATTTCTTTGCAACAGCTGGCTCTCTTGCGTATTACTTACCCATAAATATTGAAATCTTTTATTTATTTTATTTAAAAATTGTGACTATATATAATAAATTCACTTTCCAAAACCATTTCCTAAATCAAATTTATTTGCATATTTTTAAAATAAATCCTTATCGTAATCTTATATTTTCTTTTTCATATCGTGCTTCATATTCATGTATTTACTATCTCCCATATATGTTCTTCTCATTACATCTTAATTTTAATTTTAGAATTCCTTAAAGAATTCATTACTTGTTACCAAAAACTATCATACTAAACTTCACTACTTTTTTTTTTTTATCAACCTCAGTATTACCATTATCTTAAACTTTATTTCTAAAATATTCTTCTAATGTCATCCCATTATAACTATTTGGATTAAAATTTTAAGCAGTTCTGCTTTAGATAGCAGTACGATTTCTTTAAGAATTCTAACTTATCATTCTTCTTTTTTCTAATCGTGAACATTTAGATGTCTCAGGTCTTTATTCTACAATCTCTTCACTCATTATTTATTGAAAATATTAATATTATAATTACTCATCATCTGTTAATAAATATATTTCATAATCTTTTAAGTATCACTATAATTAATCTATTATTTCATCTCTAGGAGTATCTCTTTTCTAAGAGCTAGTTTATGTCTCTAAAAATTTATATGAATATCTCATATAACATTCTTTACTTCCCATTTAATTGAGTACCCAAACATCATTGTCCTATGATTTATAATACCTAAATTATACAAACCTATTATACCATTATTTATGATTAGGAGTATTTCCAGCTAAACTTTAAGATTCACTAGACAGATCTCAAATTAATATCATTTATGTTTACCAATTAATATCTCTTAAATTTTTCTTTACAATTCATGAATCCATTCTTCTTTATTAAGTTAATCAACAATCTCCAATATTTGCTAATCCTTTTGAATTAATAAATCTACTAACATATTAAACCATACCTTTTAAATATCCCTTTTATGAACTAGATATCCTATTACTTTAACATAGAACATATAAACCATACAAATATTTGCCTTCCTTTGTTGATATTTATTGCATATTTAAGTAAATTATAAATAAAATAGATTTTTTTATCTTTCTCGAAATTGTAACATTTCTTCACTATCAATTAAAATTTCTCCTCTACTCTAAATATAAAATAAAAATATTATAATCTCTTTCATTTAAAATTGATAATCTATTAGAACATATCATATTTTATTATTCCTTAAAACTTTCATAAAACAGATAATAAAATTTGTATTAGATTAATTAATTATCTATTTTGCTTAAAAATAATTGACAACCTCCTTCTTCTAAATTTTAAGTTGATATATATAATAAAAATACGAACTATTTTAAGAATAATAAAATAAATTAAATTAATTTGTTTACATTTGTACAATAATAATGTTTTTCAAATATCAAATTTAACACCTTAAGCAAGAGGCAAAGTCTTACCAAAATTAATAGTGCATGTTGATCTTCTCATATAAGTTTTCCAAGAATCACTTCCTGATTCTCTACCTCCACCAGTTTCTTTTTCACCTCCAAAAGCACCACCAATTTCAGCTCCAGATGTTCCAATATTAACATTTACAATACCACAATCTGATCCTAAAGGACCTGTCCATTTATAAGAATTGCTTAAATTTGAAGTGAATAATGAACTACTCAAACCTTATGGTACATTATTATTAATCTCTATAGCTTCTTCTAAGGTATCATATCTAACAATAAATAAAATTGGCATGAAGAGTTCATGTTATAAAATAGGATGATTAGCTTTAACTTCAAATACAGTTGGTTAAACAAAGTTTCCTGGTCCTTCAATAATATTACCTCCATAAAGTAATTTGCCTCCTTATGCTTAGATTTCAGGTATAACCTTTTTATATTATTCAACTTATGCCTTAGTATGTAATGGACCACATAAAGTATCTAGAATATAAAAATAAAATTACCGTCATTTAAAGCATTTCCAATTTTAATAGTAGCATAAACTTTAATCATTTTTTGAATGAATGGATCTGCAATGGAATTATGTAATAACAATCTTCTTAATGATGTACATCTTTATCCACATGTTCCAACAGCTGCAAAAACAGCAGCTTTTAATGCTAAATCAACATTAGCATCTTCATGAACAATCTATGCGTTATTTCCTCCTAATTCTAATAAACTTCTAGCTAATCTACTAGCAACTTTTGCAGCAATGATTTTACCAACTTGAGTTGAACCTGTAAAAGAGACTAATGGAATTCTCTTATCACTTGTTATTGCTTCTCCAATTTACACACCATCTCCACAAATAGTGAATACAATACTTGTTGGTAACTAATAGAAATAATTTAATATTTTACTCCATTTCTTTTAAAGACTTCATGAATTATGTTAGTACAAGCAATAGATGATAAATTTGTTGAGGGTGCTCCTTTCCAAACACAAACATCACCACAAATTAATCCAAGTGCTAAATTCCAACCTAAAACAGCTACTGGAAAATTAAATGCTGTAATAATTCCTATAACTCCTAAAGGATTCCATTATTCCATCATAAAATGTGATGGTCTCTCTGATGGAATTACTAAACCATATAATGATCTTGATAATCCACAAGCCATATCACAAATATCTATAATCTCTTAAACCTCTCCCAATCCTTCTGATTTTATTTTACCCATTTCTAATGAAACTAACATCCCCAAGGCTTCCTTTTATTTTCTAAACTCATCTCCTATTTATCTTACTATGTCACCTCTTCTTGGAATTGGTAACTAATTTAAATTTATTATCATATACTTCAGCCCACATATTTTTAACTTTCAAAAGCTCTTACATTCCTTATTCATATTATTAGAGTGTTCCTAATTTTACTTTTGCTATTGCTTCTCCAGTATTTGGATTATAACTAGTTGTCCATTCACCATCTCCAATCCATGATCCATTATGTGATGCTCCATAGTTTTCAGCTTTTAAACCAAGTTAGGCTAAGAATGGATATTTGTCAAATGTTAACATTTACACTTTTATTTATGACGTACGATTTTTAATATTTATGTATTTAAATAATAGTCACTCTCAAATCTCAGAATTAAACAATCCAAATCTTTCAAAATCTAGTTTCCTTGGAGATTCTTCCGGAGATACGGTAACTAAATTCTAAACTTATAAATTTGAATTAGACGATCGATCATTTTCAAAAAACTTTAAATCCTCTTCTATCTTAAATATATTTTTAATATTCTCCATTCCTATCTAATTTATTAATACCAATTAAACTCGAGATAATTCTTAAATTAGATTATTAAAAGTAAATTTTGTTCTTGCTATATCAACTAATTAATTGTATTTATACTTAAAAATATCTAACCTTATTTCCAATCCTTTGTAATGCACTTATTTAATCTATCCTAAAAAATTTCTTGTAATCTAAACATGCTTAAATTATGGATAATATATTTCAATAATTTAATGTAGTATTGTACTCTCTAACATAGCTGTATTAATCATATTAGAAAGTATTTTTAATAACATTATTATATTGACTATAGAACCTATTTAAGCTAATACTTCTCCAAGTTTTGGCATAAGAATAATTTCATTTGTCTCTATATTGTCAATTCTAAAAACAAATGTAAATAATGAGTCAAATTCAAATTTAGAATTATCTCTTGTCTTTATTATATCCTATGCAAATTTTATCGAAACTGATTGTGTATTTACTTCATAATCCTTTATCATTTCAAATGTTTCAAGATTACTCAACAATATTCCATCATCAACAGTTGTTTTTTATTTTTATAAAATAACCTAAGAATAAAAAGGGCTGCGCTCTTCAAAAGAAAAGAATTAAGTTTTTTTAATTTCTTCAAACATTAAAGTTTCGTAATTATATTATTATAGATTAATGGACAAAAATAGCAATCCATGATTTGTGCTGAAGTATTCATCAATTGTTTTTTGATCTGCACAATATCCTCCTTCTTCCATCCAATCAGAACGACATTTTGTAAAAAATATAAAATATTACTTTATGTCTTCCTAATCTGGTTTTTTTGAACCATCTACTTAACTTAAAACTAATTTCCCTTTATCTATTGTTATTACATTCTTATCACCACCTACTTACAATGTGCTATATAACATTCTAGGATAAGCTGAAACATATAATCCAGAAATCTCTATTAAAACTGGCATAATAATGTTATTTTCTTTTGTAAATGGATTTATTTTTGTGCTTAAATCATAAAGAGTAAAAGAAATCTCACTATTTTCCCATTCATAAGTAGTGTATTCTATCATTCTTTGAGAACTTGTAACTTTTGGAATTAATTTACCATTTATCCATAATAATATCACATATATGAAATAAGCTAAACTAAGTATCATAATTATAATCGTTATCATTCCACTCTAAGATGTCTTAAACTATTCTTGTTGTTTTATAGTTTTCAATTTTATAGGAACTCCAAAAATGTCAAACTTTTCTAATATGGTTAACATTATTAAAGACAGTTTCAATAGTTTAATATAATATTTAGTAAATATCTTTGTTCTTATTTAAATACTCAAATTTCAATTATATTTTCTACACCAGCTTGTAATTATGAAATCAATTAAATTAATTTTGGTTAAGTTTGCTCAATTGTTGATTGCGCAATAATCATTTTTGCTTATGGATTTGCTTTTGGTATATCTATATTCAATTATATATTCTATTCTATTACAAATATTCCTTACTTTAGGTTCTATACGAATTTAATCATAAAATGCTCTCTTTTTCTTTATATCATGTTCTTCTGGAGCATTTACTAAATTACCTAAGTCAACAAATTTTGATTTTATTTATTAAGTTGCAGCTGCCAATTTATCCTTTAATTCTTTCTTTATCCTTTCATTCTCTAATTATTTTTGCTATTGGATTTTTTCTATTGTTGATGCATTTCCTATTACATCTTTTTACTTAATAGAATCTTCTTTAAAAGGTTGTGGTTAATCTTTTATATGTTTTTGTTCTCCTTTAGTCAAAAATTTCTTTAAAGTTGGACATTAATCAACATCTACTATTTGAAGCAATGTCTTAAAATAGTTCTATAATCCAGCCTTTCTCGTTGAAATAAATTCAGGATCTGTATTTCCGAAAAATTTCTTTGCTGGAAAATAAGGAAGCTGTTATTTTATTTCTTAAGACAATTAAGTGTGTAAATTATTCATATTTTTATATCTTTCTTCAAAGCTCCATGATACTTTTGTTTATGTATTTAAAACCTTAAAATATTATTCTATATCATACTTATATTTGATAATAAACAATGTCAGATCTAGTTTCAGTGTTTACAATTTTCAATTAGTATATTGAATTATGTGCTTATTACATTAAATATATAAATAAAAAAAAATATTATAAAATTTGTTCAATTTTCATTTAAAGGTTATCAATACTAAATGAAAATCCAATAATGTTATTGGATTATATAAATTTTCTAATTTTAGTCGAGTATATAGATGTTGATATTTATCTGAGTTCTATAAATAATTACTCTAATAAGTTTGACAAACATCATACTTAATAACACCTTTTTACTATAACTTGAAATTAACATATAAAAATTAAATTGCTTAAAATCTAAATTTTATATTATAAAAAGCTGAATGAACATGAATATAAAAGATTCATTTTTTGATGATCCTGATGAAACTACCTTTTGGAATGTGACAGATTTTCCAAAAAAAGTGGCTACCTTAGAGATGCATGACACAATGTACATAGAGCAAGATTCAGAGTTATGTAAAGGAACTTTAGGAATCTCGAATAATTATCTACTTTATTTCAAAAATTAAGTAAATTTAACTAAATAACCAATAGACAATAAAGAAATGGATTAATTTAGATAATGCTACTATTGAATATACAAAGCATTAGAAGGTAGGACTTGGAATAAAAATAATAAAAAATAAATAATATTTTGAATTTTTTGGAGATGTAGAACCATGGTACAATTATTTGAAGCAGTTTTGTATTCAAAGAAATTTTTCTCATCATTACACATTACAAAAAAAGATTGGATAAGGAAATTTTGCAGATGTATTATATTATCACTAAATATAGGTATTCAAAGCTGTAAATAAATGTGATGGGTCTGAATATGCGATAAAGTGCTTTAGAAAAGCAAAGTTAAATGAAAGTGTTGATAGATTAGCTATAATCAAAGAAATATCAATTATGAAAAAAATTTAACATGAATCTATTATTCGTTTATATGAAGTATTTGAAGGAGATGAATTTTTGTTTTTAGTTTTAGAATATTTGAAAGGTGGTGAATTACATAAATATATGAAAAAATCACCTCCTTTTTCAGAAGAAAAATGTGCTAAATTAATTTTTAGATTATTGAAAGCTGTTTCTTCAATTCATAAAAAAGGAATTTTGCACAGAGATATAAAACCAGAAAATATAATGTTAAGAAACAAAGATGATATTGATAACATTTGTATAGGTGATTTTGGATTAGCTGATTATTACTCTTAAAGTGGTTAATACTTATTTACAAGATGTGGAACTCCAGGATATGTAGCTCCAGAACTATTATAGGACAAAATTTATGATTTCAAAATAGATATTTATAGCGTAGGAATATTAATGTTCATTTTAATAGCAGGAAAATCTCCATTTGATGGTAAAGATTACGATGATGTTGTGATGAGAAATTATTATGCTAAAGTTAAATTTGAGGAATGTAAATTAAGTGATATCGGTATGGATTTACTTTAGGGACTCATGAATAAAAATCCAATTAAAAGATTAACAGCTGAAGAAGCTCTAAATCATCCATGGTTTGCTACTGAAAATCTAACTAAAACATGTTAATTCAAAATCAGAAAATAGAATCAAACTATAATAAAGAAATTAGCTTATTTTGATATGAATATTAATCAAAATGCTGCTATTTCAACTTAATTTAGTCCAAAGAGTTCATTATCCAGTCTTAGTCCTTATTGTGTTACAAAATGTAATATTGAAGATAGTCCTTAAACACCAAATACTCCTGCTACACTCTAACCTATTAATACTTCAAGAACACCTGGGACTTATAAATTAAGATAGGTTAAAAGATCCCAAATTCCTTTAAAATAATTATGATTAAAATTATGTATATATCAAATAATTGTTCTGTGAATTAAGTGATTTAACAAACTTATCTGATACAAATTGAATATTAATAATAATTATAAATTCAAATTAATTTCAAGATATATAGTTATATTGCTGTAATTATAAACATTGTCGTTCTTTTTTTAGATTTCCTTACAAGAAATGAAGTGGATTAAATCTCATCTACCTTTACTCCCAACTATCTTTAAATATTGAAATGATATTGTTTATTTAGGACAAAATTAATAAGTCAAGAGAAGAATTTAGAGTATATATATTAGAAGAATAAAAATGTAAATAAATCAATTCATTTTTAAGACAAATTCATTTGGATAAATTATGAAAATGCTATTATAGAATTAATATCAGATTCTGAATTTGGAATGGGAGTTTGCTTGACTAAATGTTTTGATAAAGTAGAATTCTTTGGTAATACTAATAATTGGCTTAAATTTATGAAAAGGTTTGCCGTACGATTCTATCGCTATAATACATAGCAAAACAAATATAAATTCTAATCATTTTTATAGTTTTTATATTTTACAATAATCTTTCATTTTATCTGTATCAAAAAACTTAACAAAATTTAATTTGGAGAATAATATAAAGGAAAAAATTTATAAGATAATTTAGATTTATCAAAATATTCTTAAAATCATCTATCTATGATGATAATGTAGATAAAAAAATTTTAAAGAAATTTCAGTAACTGATTATAAATTGATTTAACAATGTAATTTTTTGATCTATTCAAAAGTCAAGATCAAACTTTGGAAAATTTACCATCTTTATCATTACAAAATTATGTTTAAAAATCCTTTTTTTCGAAAGAAAAAAGCAGCAAAAGTGATATTTAGAATAATTAAAATAATAGCTTATCTTCATTCAAAAAAAATGATGCATATAGATGTTAAACTCACAAATTTTATCTACATGATAGTCTCTGTTTAACTGATTTGAAATTAGCTGAGTTATATGATGAAAATGGAGATTATTATTTTATAAGATGTGGAACTGTTGGATATGTTGCTCCTTAAATTTTAGCTGATTAGAAGTATGATCGACAATTAGATGTTTATAGTGTAGAAATTCTCTTATATATTTTATTTACTGGAAAAGAACCTTTTGAAGGAAATTATCATAAAAAGGTTATTCAAAATTTAATAGGTGTTTTTGATCATCAGAATCTCTAAATGAGTAATTTGGCATTAGATTTACTAAAGGGTCTCTCAAATTAGATCGTTAAAAAAGACTTTCTTCTCATTAAGTCTTAAATCATAAATGGTTTTTGAGAGATTAATTAATTAGGACATTAAAATAATAAATGAAATATAAATTCTAAAACCATATAAAGTCAAAGCATCTTTAAAAAAATCACTCATAGTCTTAGCAACTAATTCAATTCCTCAATTATAATGTCCATTAAGTTTTAGACTTAAAACATTACCAAATCCATAACAATTTGAAAGAGTTTACTTGCCAAAAATTAAAAGAAGAACANTCAAAAAACTTAACAAAATTTAATTTGGAGAATAATATAAAGGAAAAAATTTATAAGATAATTTAGATTTATCAAAATATTCTTAAAATCATCTATCTATGATGATAATGTAGATAAAAAAATTTTAAAGAAATTTCAGTAACTGATTATAAATTGATTTAACAATGTAATTTTTTGATCTATTCAAAAGTCAAGATCAAACTTTGGAAAATTTACCATCTTTATCATTACAAAATTATGTTTAAAAATCCTTTTTTTCGAAAGAAAAAAGCAGCAAAAGTGATATTTAGAATAATTAAAATAATAGCTTATCTTCATTCAAAAAAAATGATGCATATAGATGTTAAACTCACAAATTTTATCTACATGATAGTCTCTGTTTAACTGATTTGAAATTAGCTGAGTTATATGATGAAAATGGAGATTATTATTTTATAAGATGTGGAACTGTTGGATATGTTGCTCCTTAAATTTTAGCTGATTAGAAGTATGATCGACAATTAGATGTTTATAGTGTAGAAATTCTCTTATATATTTTATTTACTGGAAAAGAACCTTTTGAAGGAAATTATCATAAAAAGGTTATTCAAAATTTAATAGGTGTTTTTGATCATCAGAATCTCTAAATGAGTAATTTGGCATTAGATTTACTAAAGGGTCTCTCAAATTAGATCGTTAAAAAAGACTTTCTTCTCATTAAGTCTTAAATCATAAATGGTTTTTGAGAGATTAATTAATTAGGACATTAAAATAATAAATGAAATATAAATTCTAAAACCATATAAAGTCAAAGCATCTTTAAAAAAATCACTCATAGTCTTAGCAACTAATTCAATTCCTCAATTATAATGTCCATTAAGTTTTAGACTTAAAACATTACCAAATCCATAACAATTTGAAAGAGTTTACTTGCCAAAAATTAAAAGAAGAACAACTCAATTCACTTACTTCCTTCTAATTCTATATTATAAGAAAGAATTAAATGAGATATTATCATTCTATTTCTCTTTCAAATATAATATATTAATTAAATTATATTAGATTGAATTTTAATTAATAAATACTTTATTAAAGGGAATTTGAAAGAATTTACTCAATCCATAAAATTATATAATTGAATCTTTATTTTAATGGGTATAGTTTGTGGATAAAATCAAAAATTTAAGTCTTAAGAGTTTTATGCTTCAAGACCATTGACTTAGACTATAAAACATGAATAAGAAGATGTTGAACACGATGATTATGATTAGTTGTTTTGCCCATCCTTAACTAAAAATTATATTTTAAATCCAAAATTTCTTTATATGTAAGAATCAAAATTGGAAAACGAAGTGTAACATCAAATCACTTAAATTGAATAAAACTCTTCTTAATTGTCTTTGGGAATTTAAAATGAATTTAGCAATCCTATTGAAATTTAAGTAAAACAAAAAAACTAAAATAAATTGAAACCAGACAACTAAAAAAGAATGAGTTTAGAGTAGAGATATAAAATTGCAATATCACCTTCATTATAAAGAAAAAGAAATAGCAACACATCAAAAAGTCCATTGGCATAAATATTTTAAAGCTAAAAGCATACAGCAAAGCAAAAAGAACAATTTATTCTTACAAAAGGAAAACAAAAAATATCAAATAAACACTGAAAATTAAGAATGATTTTAGAAATAGATAATTTGAAATAATTATTATAAATCTTATAAAATAAAGCTTCTTAATAATTTATTCTAGAAAATTGTAAAAATTAGAGTTAGAATAAATATGAAAAATCTCTTCATTTTTTCTGAAATCCTATTTAAGAGCAATTTCATTAAAAAAATAATCTGTTGATGCTTTGAAAATTCACATATTTTAAATGTATATTTTTGTTTTTAATTAAGTTATTAACTTTCCTTTTAGAAATTAGTTTTTAACGAATTTCTTAAAAATTATATGTATTTGATTATTTAATAAAAATTCTAGAAGTTCTAATTATAGAATATTTAAAAATATATCACATAGATAATATTATTGTTATATGAAATAAACTTCACTTATTTTTATAATTAAACTATAAGTTAAATAAGAATTTGTTTTGTAAGTTAACTTTAATTGTTAACATAATTAATTGTAATAGATTAAAAATAATTAGTTCAAGAAATCTATTGTTCTTGGATAAAAGATTTCACAACATTCAATTTAGTCTGAATAATAATTTACACTTTTTTAATGATATCTATTTCTCTGCTTCTTTAAATTGTATTTTATTAATATTAGACTAATAATTCTTGACATTGTCCTCTTCTTTATTTCATACCAGTTTTTGAAGCAACAAATTCAGCTTAAGCATCACTTCCTCTTTTTTATTATTAGTCTCTAGTTCTTATGGTATCCTACAATGATTCATCATCTGCTGCTTTTTCTCTAGTTAAAGCTTACATAGCATTAAATATTTCATTAAGAGTTACATCATTATCCTAATTATTTAGTATTCAATTATTACTCTTATAGCTTGTTCTTCTAAAGCAGTTTCTTCGTCTACTGATGTTATTAAAGAGTCTCTTACAACTTCCATTTTTTCAATTATAGTTTGAATAGATCTTGAATCCATCATTGAAGTAACCTAAACTAAAGCTAAAATTGGATTTGAAGGTCCGTTATTTGCTAATTGTACAAAAGAATTTGCAAAGGCTTCTTCCTAAATAAAAGACTAGAATCAAATATATAATTTTAAACTTCTGAATCTCTCTATTAAACTTTATCGTAAAGTTCATGCATTTTAGGAAGCATCACCTAAAAGGCATTTATCATTTCTTTCAACTAACCTAATCTTTTATTATAATTAGCTGATTATTTCAATCGTAAATCTCTTAAAGAATTTTCAGCTCCTTAAAATGTCTAAAAATCATATTATTTTTACATCAATTTAAGATTATTTAAGCTCTAGTTCTCCAGTATAATCCTCAATATCTGATTCTAATCTTCCTACCTTAAATTCAACATCATTAATTTCATTCACTGCTAATTATATTCTTTAACTATAACTGTCCATATCTGATTTACATTATGATTAAATTGCTGCATTAGACCCATCTTATTGAATTTATTTTCCCTTTTATAAATGCATAATCTACTTCTAGATCGCTCTTTAAATTTGTCAATAAAGAAACTATACTATCTATACCCTCTCCACTTTTTATTTATAAAGCAACCGTTTATAAAACCTTTGCTCCTAATGGATTTTCTGCAATCTCTTCTAAATCATCAAAACTAGGGTCATTATGCAAAATTTCTTTATTTGCTTAAAATTACTCATCATCTTTCCTCCTTACTGCTCTTATTCCAATGAATACGATAAATAGAAGAAGAGTTTTCATTACTTATGAAAACGGATTATAATAATAAAATAAATAAATTAAATGACATATATTTTTAGAAGTCTACTATGAGAACTAAGTTTTGAGTCGATTAGGCTTCGAATTCTTATAGACTTTATGTGACATTATTTTCAAAATATAATTAATAAATATTTATACATTAATTTTTTTGTAATAAAAAATATTTATATGGAACTAATAATTCTATACTCAAAGTCGATATTATTTTGACGATTAATTAATTAAATATCAATTATATAAAAGTTGAGCTTATTTTCTTTGGTAATTTTTATAAGCTATTTCATATAAGGATAAAAATCTACTGAAATATGGGCAAGTTATAGTTTTTACTTTTAGATGTAGAACATTATCATCTTCTTACATCCATCTTAATTCATAATAACATAATGATAAATTGTTATTTTTCTTTGCAGACATATATTTTTAAAGAATATAAAGCAAGACTTCAACTTTTGAATCTTCAGGTTTAATTACATCAATAAAATGAGCTATTTGACTTTAAGAGCGAGCAGATAAGAAAATATCTACAATTTATTGATCTAGCTATCCAATTAGATAAAATTTCAACCAAGGCATTTTACAACTAATTATCTTATCTATTGTAGAAAAAGTCTAATAGTAATAAAAATTTTTAATTTTCTAACTATTTTCTATATTCTATTCTTATAATTAATGCTTAAAATTTTTGTCAATTGAAGTAGTTAATAATTCAGTTCCAGATTCATAACTCAAAACACTATCAGAATTTTATGGAATTAAATAAGACTTTAAAATAGCTGGAGACATATGTTCAGATTTGACCAAACTTGATTTATTTTCATATTTTATCTGAAGTGCTGAAGTTATCAATTATTAAATTTAAGGATTTATCTTAAAGATATTTTTTTAGTATATTTTTGATATCAATAAATAGCGATCTGTAAATGAATCAATTTAATTTCCAAAGATTGAAATTATATAATTTTAATAGACATATTCAAGTATTAAGTAACATAATTTAAAAATACAGCTTAATTGATCCAAGAAAATGCTAGCCAGTGATTTATTTTCCTGAAATTATCTATAAATTTTAGAATCGATAGTTGAATCATTAGATATATTGTTATTTGAAACTAATGCTTCTTAAAATTTATGATTGTCAGATAAACTTCGCTTGAGAATTGTATTTCTAATTAAGAGAGCGTTTAATCGCAAATCCCCTACATTATAGGTTGAAATGGTTTATAATTATTAATTTGAATCCAACTCAAAGAGTTCAATTAGAAACTAATTGTAATGAAAGATTAGTTAATTGTAAAGATGTTTTTCTTTTTACCCAATATCTTTAATAATATTCTTCGATATAATTTATTTTTCCTCCTCTGTTGGATAAGAGCCTACGATAGAGATATCAAGCATTTTTTAGTTCATATATTTAGAAAGTGAGTGTAGATCTCTTTCAACTACATTCTAATTAAGAATTATTACTATACTTTGTGAAATTATTAGAAATTTAAGTCTTTACACTAATCCAAAAATTATCGATTAGTCTAGATTAAATTCTTGTAAACTTGTCTTCCTTTTTATTACTTTCTAATAATTTGTTATTCTGAATTTGGAGACTCCTCAGAATGACAATAATTTCCCATTTAAATTATAAATATTATATGCTTTATATTGAATTCAGTGCTAAACTAAAACTATTGATAACTGTTTTTTAAACTAGAGATAGTATAAAAAATTAATCATTCAATTCAAATTAATTTTATATTCTTTTTGAATATCAGATAAGCTTGAATATTGTTCAATATTGCTCTATTAAATTCTTTAATTTTAGTAGTATATATAATTTACAAAAACTCATTAAAAGTGATTTTATAATATTGATTTGATCTATTGTGAAATTCGTTTCATTAAACTTACTTTTATATGAGTGTTTACAAAATTCTGTTTTAAAAATTCTTTTTTCTTTTTTTTAAATAAAATCAAAGGAAAAAACCTTTAAGATATTTTCGTTTTATAAAATTCACAATTTTAGTATCAAAGTACTATTCCTTTATTTTTGTTACTTTGTCAATACTTTTCTTTCATCAACGAGAGCCAATATAAAATCACTATATTTAATTACTGTAATAATAAGATTTTTCTTATAAATCCTCTACAGTCTCGTAGTAGTTTTCAAATCTTTTAGCTATCAGCAATCAGTCTTTATTCTTGTGATTCTATAAATTTCTAAATAATTTAAGTTATTTCAAAATCGATTTTATAAATTTATCTGCAATCTTCAAATCATCTTTTATTTATAATGGCAACTGTCTCCAAAGATCAACTAGACCATAATTCTATCAAGAGTTTTTAAGACTAACAAATGAATTTTAAAATTTTATTCGGTTGAAAAATGTTTTAATTTCATCCAATATAAAATTTAAATAAGTTATCTATTGATACGTTTGGTAAGAGTTTCGACATTATTCATAGGCATTCTATTCCATTTGTAATTTATACTTACTTTTATTGTTGTTCAACTAATCTGATAGCTATCCAAAATAGATAAGTTTTAGATCTAAATTTATATTCTATTTAACTATATAAAATGTTCTATGGTTTTATAAGTATAATACCTTGTTCATTCAAATAAGCGATAGATGAGAGTATCGTAAATTGGTTACAGACATTTTGATCTTAAAAGCTAATTTGACATTATCCTTCTGTTAATGAATTTTTATGTTAATAAGTAATTTTCTTTATTTTAAAATTTAAATTCTCGATAAACCATTTAATTTTAATATTATTGATTTTATATAACAACCAATTTAATTTATAAAAGATGAGAATTTGAATATAAATTATTTCTTTAAAGATTTGATAGATTTTTAATTTTCTATATATAATTTACAAATTTTATTCCCTTTAATAACTTTATTTAATAAAAATGCATCATATTAATTTATCTTTGATTGAGAAAATATTAAAATCGTAATTTTAAAAGAAAAGTTGAAAAATTCTATTTCTGCAATAATAAAAATAATAAATATACATAATGAAAATTCAATTAAATTGAAGTAAATTAGGATATTTATATAAAGTAATTTATACAAAATGAAAATAATTTTTATAAATAACATTCTTAAAAAATTGAATCGAAATACAAAGAGAAAATAATAAGATTCAATAATTTACAATGGATAAGTTCGAAATTTGAATAAAATCTACTTAATTGATCATATAGAAATATTTTGAATATGTATAAGATTTTGACAAATGATTTTTATTGAGATAATAAAGTCCATTTTGAGATGAGTTATTAAATGAGAAGGATTGGGAATAGTTTTGATAAAATAATATATGTAGATATAAGGAGTATTATAATCAGAATAGGATCTATCGTATAGTGGTTAGTACCTGAGGCTCTAACCCTCAAGACCTTGGTTCGAGTCCAAGTAGGTCCTTTTTTTTAAATTATAATTTTTTGAATAATAAATTTAACATATAATAAAATGTAAGAGGCATATGTGCTTCATGATCAATATAGGAATCAATCAATGTAGAATTACATAAGTGGATCTTCTCGTCCACTTTATTTTAAGCGACCTTTAGTACCAACAATGAGTGATACTCCTATAAAATTAAGTCAACCTCCAGTTTAATAGATAAAAGAATAAGTTCCACCTGCAAAAGTGACGATAGAGAGAGTAGATTGAGAATTAAATAATATAGGTTAAAGATGTTGAGATTTAAACAGACTATAGAGATGCTGAAGCTTAAACTGATCCTTATACTCCTGCTCATGATTAAAATGAGGATTAAACAATAGAAATATTGGCTTTACAACATTTAAAATGGGATAAGGGTTTGCCTGCATCAATAGAGGAATTGGAATCAATAGAATGGAATAGAGAAAAGGTGTGGTTTGAAAATGCATTGCCTCCGATATCAGATGAAGCATCGTTTAAATTAAGAAGAGTATTAATGAAGTCTTAGGAGGAGAGAGAATGGAAGAAGAAAGAGACAGATATTAAAATGTACTAAAGTATTTTAAGTTGTTTTTAGAACATAAAATGAAAGACTATATTTATTATAGGAGGCATTAAAAGAAAGGGAAAAAGATGTAGAGGAGAAAAATGCTTAGAGAATAGAAAGCATAAAGATTAAGAAGACTGAATTAAAAAATAGAATGGTGGCTAAAATATAGAAGAGAAAAATAAAGATATTAAGAAAGATGTAAAAGAGTAGAAAGGAAATAGATAACGAAGATAAGGGAAGAGAAATTATAGAAGATTATGCAAACTTTGCTTCTAAGGTATATGCTGGAATTACAAGAGAAGGATTAAGTCTAGATAAAATAGCTAGCAAATATGAAGTTTAACCTGTTGCTTTAAATACCTATAAAGGGTTGACTGAATTATCAAGCACAATAAAACCATCAATATTAGAAACCACAGTAAATGTAGGATAATTCATAAAAACCATAGAGAAAGATTACACTAGATTAGAAATATAACATAAAATAGAAGTAAATAAAGCAAGGAATCAAATTTATGGATCAAATAATTAAGATTAATCAAATGAAAGTTAAGCAGATCATATAGGAAATAAAAATATTATAATAAGACCACCTACACCTACATATAATTAAGAGTTTGAGAATGGAGATTTAAAGAAATAAGAAATTAAATTTGAGAATTATGAATAGTTTAAAGAAGAAGCAATTAAAAAATAGGGAGAAGATAAGAGAAATTCAGCAGTAGTTTTACTTTAGAGATTATTTAGAGGAAGAGCAATGCAGAATATAATGTATGAAGGAAAGGAGAAAGTAAAGAATAATAATATTTAAATTAGAGAACAGCATTAATTGAGGAGTTATTAACAGTTGCAAAGATTCCAGATTTACCAGAGGCTGAATAAGAAGAAATATTAATGCAACAACATGAAGAAAAAGTAAAGAATGCTGCATTAGAAGCCATATAAGGAGAAGTGATTGCTGAAACTTTAGATATGTTGAGCAAAGAATTGTTGAGAATTAAATAGGAACGAAGAATATCATAAATGATGAAATCTGCAGAAGAAGATAGAAGATTAAGAGAAATATAGGAGGCAGGAACAAGATAGGCAGAATAGATACTTAGAGATAGAGAAGATGTTTAATATAATCAAATTATGAGAGTTCATTAAGGAACAGTCGATACTTATTTGCATTGGATATTTAAGAATACTATAGAATAAGGTATCTATATATATTATTTTTATAGCTGCCACAAGATAAGCTACAATAATGACAAATCTGAGGAAATCAAAAATGAATGCTCCTGTTGAGCATTTTGAAAGGAAGTATAATAGTGATGAAACCATTATTAAAGATCTTGTATAACAATTCTTAATCCCTAATGTTCAAAGGTCTAAATTATAAAAATAAAGTAATTTTAATTTAATAATAATAAGTATAAATTGAAGAAAGAAGATTTAATGAAGCCGCTAAGAAATCCATCTAAGCAACCTTATCCTCAGCTGCTCAATAGCTTAATCAATAATGATTATAGATATTAAAAATATCCATTTTTTATGTAAATATTGATTAATTCATCTAAAAAATAATGATATTATGATGCTTTACCTGAAACAATTAAATCAAGTGTCTACTTTATATTTTTAAGTTCGATCTAATTCTACAAATTTCTACTTTTGAATGTTTAACGAACAATTGTAGCTGTACTTTATTGACTCATAACGTAACACTCCATAATTTTACATTAAGTCTCAATTTTAGGAGTACAAGTAGTGACAGCTGATACAAAATAGCAATTTATTCCCATTTAACTTTATTAATTTATGCTTCTCAACAATTAGTTTGTTCTCTACATCTATTTGTGTGTTCCACCTTCAATCCAAACATATTATTTAAATATTATTTATGTTTAATATTACTGTATTATCCATTCACATAACATGAAGAGTATGCAACAAAATCTTTTTAGCTTAAATTATTGGCATTGACAGACATCAATTAATTAAATTAGATAAACTTTTACTTAAACAAATGTCTATATCTAAATGATATTAATTTTAAATCAATTACTTTATTTTAAAATGAATCTAATAATAGACTTTTTTCTAATTTAAATTTAAACTAATCTTTTTTTCTGATTGTATTATTTTGCAGCATTAAAATATAAATCATTCTCAGCCATTTTAATTTAGAATCAAAATTATTTTAATTATTCTTAATTAGGAGGTTTTTTATTTAAATTCATTAGATAATGTTTATTTTATAAACAAAATTTTAAATTTTAGTAAAAATTAGTTTTGATTAATCCAAAAATATAATAAAATTATTCAATAATAAAAATATAATTTTATTAATCAATTTGCGGAATCATTACTTCTATCGCGATTTTAATTAAAATTCAATGTTCTCTTTTATCTACTACCTCTTCTAAACATCAAATGAGTCTTTGGAGGTTCAAAGTAATCACTGTTTACATTGTTAAACTTTTCTTAAGGACTTTTTGAAATTAAATTAAATTATTTTCTAATTGGAACCACTTTAATATCTCTTGAAGTTTTTGGAGACATTTATTATTTTTTTGTATTAATTCTAAACATATTCTAACTTTAATTAAGTGTTCCAAGAAATTAAATAGAAATATTTTAAATAGATTTTTGAATCTCTTTATTGAAAAATGGATGTTGTAATAATTATTTACATGTTCTAATTTACTAACCTTAATTAAAAATAATTGTTAAAAAATCAAAGCATTAATCAGATAAAGGTGGATCAATAAATTAAAAATCAAGTGTTCCTTAAAATTTATTCATCATAGCATCATTTATAGTCTATTCAAATTGAGAATTATTTCCAGTTAACAAATTATGCATCACAATTCCCAAGGACAACACATCATATTTGTTATAATATTACTTTTATTTTTCTTGATTTACTTATAAATATTGATAATCATCATTTTCAGGATTATAAAATTATTCAGCTTAATTAAAACCAATTAAACAAGGGTTAGATAAATCACGTTTTTATTTAAGTATTATGTTTGAAGTGCAAATTTATTTATGATATATATTAAGATTATGTAAATACTAGACAGCTTAAAACAGAGGTTCCATAACAATTTAGACTTAATTTTCCTTTAGTGGTTTTGAATTTTATATTATTTGTGAAAGTTTTTCTCCTTTTAGATATTCCTATAATAAATAAATATGATTATTGCTTTCAAAAACTTCATAACAACTTAGAAGATGAGAATGTTCCAATAATCGAGTTATTTTCAACTCTTTAAGAAAATTTTTTGATTCATAATTGTTTGTCAATAATCTATTTTTATCAAATACTTTAACTGCATATTCTTACTTAGTTACTTAATTTCTTGCTTTATAAATCTATAAATTAAATTAAACAAGATATACTATTGTTGAATATCCTTCCCCTAATTTGTTATAAAGTTAATATCTTGAACCAAAATCTAGTTATATTGTATATTTCTTCATCACATTTATCCATTCATCAAGTTAACCAAAAATTTCAAAACTTACACCATTTTTACTTAGCTTAACTCCAAATAATCCTGTTTTTGGATGAACTATTTTTTACATACAAACATTAGCTAAATTTATGTATTTCTTTATATTCTTTAAATTTTATTACATCCTCTCCAATTTTGATAAAATTTTCACTTATAGACATTTGTTTGATTACTAGCCTGTTTTGACAACTAATTTAAAATTCGCTTGAATATTAAGCCACAAATGGATTAGGACAAAATTTTTAGAATAAAGAAGTATGATTATTGAAATAGGAATCAACTGAACCAATTTACAAAAGTTATTGCTTTATCATAAAATATTTATTGTTATAAAATAAATAAATTGAAAGTTAATTTTTACTATTTTTTCATAATCTTATAATGTTTACTCTATGAGAAACATTTCAAATTAGAATTATATTCTTCTTTTTGATTTAAGAAATATCTTATTTCTGAATATTTTAATTTCAATTATAAAGTTAAATTATAAAAATGTAAAAGGAAAGAGAATGAAAATTCTAATAATAGTTTATTTATAAACTTTTAATGTTCATTTTCAAATTCTATCATAGTATCACTACTACAAAAAATAATTATATTGAATTTTTATAACTAGAAAAACAATAAATCTTTAGTATGACTCTGGACTGATTGGATTTTTAATGATCATAAATGTTAGTATAAATACAAAAATGATTAAATCATTAGATTTTTTATTTCATTTTAGGTAAAATACTCATTCTAGGTAATTGGTATAAATTGCTTGATCTTTTTTCTAATGTTTATGAAGGGGGTTTAAGAACTTTTTCAAATTTGTGTAACTTTGACATTCTATGAGGAGTTATGTTTGGTTTTCTTTATGATAAGCTTCTTGAACTACTCTGTCTATTTTCAATAAATGGTAGGGTGTGTACTCTTGATTTTACATCTAATGAATCATCATCCAAATGAGTTAAACTTGTTTTTTCATTAAGAGCTTAATATTTTAAAATAAAGTTTTTTGGTTCCAATTATTTTTTAAAAATATCACTTTTTAAGAGTTCAAGTGGAGTATTTGTTTCACTTATTTAAGTTTCAAAATCAGTAAGCAATAATTATTTAAGTAATTCTTCTAATTCTTTATCTACCTATTAAAAATTTAAAAGGCTTTTAATATCATCCATACAATTAGGTATATTGTATTAATTGAATTAATATCCAGTTAATAATTTTATCAAAATAATTCCTAACTATTGTAAGTCAGATATTTAATTTTTATCATGTTTTAATGAAGGTCTCGAACTAAGTATTTTTTTATTATTATTTCTTGCCACATGTATTAAAATAACTTTAGAAAAATGTATGAGACATAAAGAATCAAGTTCTTATTAATTCTTAAAAGCTATCGACTTTAAAGTTACATCTCCATGAATAAACCCTTTTTTATGTAGTTCTTATAAACCATTCAATGTTTATTTAACAATAAATATAATTTATTCTTAATTAAAATAAGTTTGAGAAATTTTATCATCTAAAGTGCCTCCTTCTAATAGTTCTTATATCAAATAAAGATGATTTGAACTTTCAAACATCTCGTAAAATTTAATTAAATTTTTATGATCAACTTATCTCATGATTGTAACTTATTTTTTGATTAATTCAAGGAGATAATTAGAGCTTTTTAGTTTAACTTTATCGTATATTCTAACTGCATATAAAAATCCTGTAATTTTGTGTTTTATCTTGAATACCTTTCAAAAATGAATAATTGTATTACTTGAAATTAGCAGCCCTCTCCAATTTTCTTCAATATTTTATATTTTTATGATAAATTGGATTGTATAGCATATTTTTTAAGCACCTCAACCCAATTCTATACTTCACCGTACACATCCAGTTTTTCTCCATTTTTGCTTAATCTAAACCCTGTTTATTAGGTTCTAGGGTGGTAAAGAATTTCAAGAAACACATTTCTTACATCAAGATATTACTTTCATATTGATTTTTATTTTTACTTCTTCACCATATTTAATATAATGATCTCCAAGAAACAATGTTTTCATTATTAATCTATTTCGATTGACAACCTAAAGATTATCTTAGAACTGAAATTGTAACAGTGCTTATGGTCTTTTGATCCAAAATTCAGATGAATCATCCAAAATCGATTATGTTATAATGATGGTTTAATTATTTTGAGATTATATCATTTAATAATATCAGTGAGAGGGAATATTATCGATAAATATATACTGGAAGTTCTAATATAACAAAAATTCATAATTTGAATTCAGTTCTTGTTAAAATTTATAATAAAAACGAATAATTAATTCAAATAATCTCTTTTGCTCTTTTGACTTAAAAAATAACTTTAAGCAATTAAATTTTCTCTTCAACATATAAGAATTAATATTTATGATAAAAAATATTTAATATATTAGTTAAACTTGCATTTTTCAAAGCTCTATCTGATTATTTAAGAAATTTCAGATGTAAATTTTATGGTTAAATAGAAATTTGTATTTTAATTTTTCAAAAATATATGCTACAAATATATAAATTGAAATAATTAAAATACATTTTGTTAACTCCTTTATCAATTTTAAAAAGTACTCATAGTTTCGCACTTGTTTTAATTTAAAAAAATAATCATTTATTTCAACTTCATATCTAAAAGGATGGCCATTTATATAGAATATTATAATTCTTTATTAATCTTTAAGAAAGATATTGAAATGATTAAAAATATTAAATATTTCATTATTTTAATACTATTCCTGCCAATTTAANTAGCATATTTTTTAAGCACCTCAACCCAATTCTATACTTCACCGTACACATCCAGTTTTTCTCCATTTTTGCTTAATCTAAACCCTGTTTATTAGGTTCTAGGGTGGTAAAGAATTTCAAGAAACACATTTCTTACATCAAGATATTACTTTCATATTGATTTTTATTTTTACTTCTTCACCATATTTAATATAATGATCTCCAAGAAACAATGTTTTCATTATTAATCTATTTCGATTGACAACCTAAAGATTATCTTAGAACTGAAATTGTAACAGTGCTTATGGTCTTTTGATCCAAAATTCAGATGAATCATCCAAAATCGATTATGTTATAATGATGGTTTAATTATTTTGAGATTATATCATTTAATAATATCAGTGAGAGGGAATATTATCGATAAATATATACTGGAAGTTCTAATATAACAAAAATTCATAATTTGAATTCAGTTCTTGTTAAAATTTATAATAAAAACGAATAATTAATTCAAATAATCTCTTTTGCTCTTTTGACTTAAAAAATAACTTTAAGCAATTAAATTTTCTCTTCAACATATAAGAATTAATATTTATGATAAAAAATATTTAATATATTAGTTAAACTTGCATTTTTCAAAGCTCTATCTGATTATTTAAGAAATTTCAGATGTAAATTTTATGGTTAAATAGAAATTTGTATTTTAATTTTTCAAAAATATATGCTACAAATATATAAATTGAAATAATTAAAATACATTTTGTTAACTCCTTTATCAATTTTAAAAAGTACTCATAGTTTCGCACTTGTTTTAATTTAAAAAAATAATCATTTATTTCAACTTCATATCTAAAAGGATGGCCATTTATATAGAATATTATAATTCTTTATTAATCTTTAAGAAAGATATTGAAATGATTAAAAATATTAAATATTTCATTATTTTAATACTATTCCTGCCAATTTAATTGGCCATTTATTACTTTTAAGAAAAAAAAAATGTAATAATTTTTGTGACATATATTTGGTAAAAAATATAATAGTATATTTAAAAAGGCTAAAATTAATAAGTTTTGGTTGTGCTTGAGTGTTATATAATAAAAATTCATAATATTTGTAATTTATAATTATAAATAAAAAGCCTCACATAGAAGAAAAACATTTTAAATCTTTTATTAAAAATATATTTTAAAAAAAAAATATTATGGCTGACTTGAAAGACAAGAAAGTAGAAGATGAATAATAAGTGAAAAAAATTAGAATGATTGTTACATCTAGAAGTGCTTAAGATTTAGAAAATTTCACTACTTAAGTCATTGAAAAGGCTAGAGGAATATAAGTAATGAATAAATTTCAACATTAAGAGAGATTAAGGATAGCAAGTTGTATTTAAAGGACCAGTTAGAATGCCAACAAAACATCTTAAAATGACTGTCAGAAAGAGTCCATGTGGTGAAGGTTCAAAGACTTGGGATAGATTTGAAATGAGAGTAATAAACTTATATAAGGATAGATTCATAAAAGAGTAATTGATTTCTAATGCACATTACCAACATTCAAAGATATAACTAACTTCAAGATTGGCCCAGGAATTAATGTTGAATTAAACGTAGAATAATGATTTGTGACATTATAAGAAATAATACATTAAACATTATACATTAATTTATATATCATTTCCCTCAAAGAACTATATCAATAAAATCATATAAACGAATTTATTATGTAGTGATTATTTTTTATACAAAAACCTTTATCAATCAAACATAAAGTAGGTATGAAGAAACAATTAATCGAACTAGAAACTGATATTGATCAAATTATTTGCAAAATCAAATAGTTTTTATATTAAATTCATTTATCTCAATTATTCGACTTATTGTTTAAGATATCTAATGATTAATATTTATTAAATTTATATAAATAAATTGTAAAAAAATAGATATTAATTAAATAAAGAGAGTCCAATTATATTATTTTTAAACATTATTTTATTATAATTTGATAGGTTATTTAATTCTAAAATAAGCATTCTTTTTATTTGTATTTTGAAAGAATTATTATAATTAATAAGCCTAATACTATAATGAACTATTAGAAATATATATTTGGATTCTGATAAAAATTAAATTACAATATTAAATTATTATTATAAATAAAATATATATTATATATTATAATTTATAATATCTTTTTCGTATAATTAGATAAATATCAGATCATAAAAAGGCTGGAGATTTATACAATTATTGCATAGTACCTTGTCTTTCTTCCTTATTTAATATTATTTGTTGTAAAATTTACAGATAGTCTTATATAGACTTTTATAATGATTTTTTATAAAAATATGTGTAATAAGAAAAAATAATATGATTGATGAAATATGAAAACATGTTACATATCCACATATATAAAAGAGAGTAATTAAAAAATCATTTCTTCTCCTCTAGATTAGTTAAACCTTCTTGAATTTATTCTTCTTAAACAAATTTCGATCTTCATAGATGACATATTTTACTTTTTATATTGTACATTTTTAATGTCTTTCATTGACAGAAATATCTTTTTTTTTTGGTTTTTTTCAGAAGCATAAGTCTTATCAGTCTTTGTTTCTTTAGTTTTTTTGATGTTTTTCTTTATTTTATTACTTTTAGATAGTTCAAATGAGCTTTAGTCATTATTAGTCTCATCATTTTTTATAGTATTTTATTCTATAGTGGAGCACTCTTGAGGAGATTTAGGCGAAATTTAAGGACTCATTGATTAAGAATTGGTACAAGCATTTCTAAAAAAAAGTTAATAATACTATTTACCTGATTGCTATCATTGAATTGTATTAGACTAACTATTGGAGCATGAGCTATTATTGAAGAAGGAATTGAGGATGCCAAAACAAGAATGAATTCATAATTTGCAAAAGAATATTTAAATCTGAAGATTCGAACTCTTAATACTTATATTGCACAAAATACGTATTAGCAAAAAATTTATGATGTTACAATCAGGTGTACACAAAATATATTATTAAAAAATTTTTTATTAAATACACAAATAATAAATCATATTATTATACTTCATAATTAGATAGAGTTCCAGCTATTTGAAATTATAATATACATATTTTTAATAATTAAATTATAATTTTTATTTGAAGAACTGAATTACAGTGTTTGTGTTTTTATTTGGTTGAATTATTAAAATAAATTGCATCAACTTATATTCTGACTAATCTCATAATGGATATTATGGATTGCATAAATTATTTTTACATAGTTTTTCTTTTAAAAAGTATATTGATTTTATTAATGATATATCATAATTATTTCAAATAATGTTAACTGAATTATTAAAAACATTTCATTGGTGGAATGATTTTGATTGAAATATAAAAATAAGTATTGGTTTTAATAAATTCAAATAAGAAAAGTGATTTATATTTGAAATGTATTTAAAGGATAAATAAGAGTTCTGATAGATAGAATTGAGGCAATATGAGAGAAAAATAAAAAGTAATTTAAATCGAATTAACAAAGCAATAAAATAAATATATTAGGTTATTTTTTAATGGAATAAATATACTATAATTTGAATAAGAGTTAATAATGGCTTAAATGAGACATAAATTTACAAGCATATTTAGGGATGAGATTGATATAAGTAATAGATATAGACAACGTGGCCGAGTGGTTAAGGCGGCAGACTAGAAATCTGTTGGGGTTCCCCGCGTCAGTTCGAATCTGGCCGTTGTCGATTTTTTTTTGTTAAAATAAAATCATAAATTTCTGTCTAAATTATTGATTTTAGGTATAGCGTATTAAGCACTATTTTTATTAAATATAATATGTTAAGGTTTATTGGAAAGAATCTAAATCGTTGCAATTTTTCAGAATTATAAAAATTTGGAAACTCTTTTCTAGGTGGTTCTAATGCAGAATATTTGGACAATCTATTAGATAAATGGTCTCAAGACCCAAATTCTGTCTCAGCAACTTGGGATGCATATTTTAGATAGGTATGTGAATCCAATAAATTTGAATTCATACCAGAGCCTTAGAAGGGTTAAGCAATATCGTTTTAAGCAGATGTATAATTTCTATTAATTTGAAAGAAAGTTTCAAGTGTTAGAAAATTGTTGTCAGATCATTTTAGAGTGAGATTATTAATTAATAAATACAGACATAGAGGACATGAAAAATCTATTGTTGATCCTCTAGATTTAGAACATATATAATAAATAGGAAAAGTAAAAGGATATACAAAATTGGATTATCGTGAATATTTTGGAGAAGAAGATTTAGATAGAGAGTTTTATATTCATGATGAAGTCAGTTCAGGAATATCTAAAGAGAAATAATGTAAGCATATGATAATTTTATATAGTGATGAAATTGAGAGACTTAATAAATTACTTAGAGAAAGCATATTGTGGTAAAATATCTTATGAATATATGCATATTTAATCAACAGAAGAAAGAAATTGGATAAGAGAATAGATAGAGAAATTCGAAGAGTTTCTACCTTCAAAGGAGTAAAAGTTGAAGACTTTCTAAAGGTAAATATGAATGAATATAATTATTAGACTTGGTATGGAACATGCATTTAGTACATTTTTATAAAAGAAATTCAATACATCTAAGAGATTTGGGATAGAGGGATGTGATTCTATGATATCTGGATTATAATCCATGGTTGATAGTGCAGCTCAAGCAGGAGTAGAATATATAGTATTTGGTATGGCTCATAGAGGAAGATTGAATACATTGTATAATGTGTTTTAGAAATCACCCGAGGAAATAATGGTAGAATTTTAAGATCTGAAAGGGATTTTTAATGAAGATATATGGGGAAATTCAGGAGATGTTAAATATCATTTAGGAAGTGTTCATAATGTTAAATTCGGTGATAAAAAATTAAGATTAGAGATGTTACCAAATCCATCTCATTTAGAAACAGTAGATCCCTGTGTATATGGGAAAGTTAGAGCAATATAAGATTATTATAAAGATAAGAATGGAGAAAAAGCATTTGGAGTACTTATTCATGGTGATGCAGCAGTTGCTGGTTAAGGAATAGTTTATGAATCATTATAAATGGCAGATTTAGAAGGTTATAAATCAGGTGGTATTATTCATATAGTTTCAAATAATTAAATTGGATTTACTACAGTACCAAAAGATAGTAGATCAGGTTTATATTGTACAGATATTGCTCATGCTATTTAAGCACCTGTGATTCATGTTAATGCTGATGAACCTGAATTGGTAGATAAAGTATTTTAAGTTGCAACACTTTATAGAAATAAATTTAAAAGAGATATTTTTATAGATTTAGTTGGTTATAGAAGATATGGACATAATGAATAAGATTAACCTAAATTTACATAACCAATAATGTATGAAAAAATTGAAAAGACTCCACCTGTATTTATAAAATTCTCTGAGAAATTAATCGCTTAAGGAATTGTTACAAAGTAAGAAGTAGATCAATTAATGAAATAACATGAAGATAATTTAGAGATAGCATATTAAAAATCAAGGAAAATGGATTATAATTTAAAAGATTGGCAACCAGTACCTTGGGAAATGATTAAAGTTCCAATTCTTTGGGGAAGAATTAAGGATACTGGAGTTCCAGTGACTATTTTAAAATAAATTGGAGAAAAGATTAATACTATACCAAATGATTTTAATGCTCATCAATAAATAAGAAAGTTTTATGAGGAAAGATTGAATTGGATTTAAAAAGATTAAGGAGTTGATTTTGCAACAGCAGAAGCATTAGCATTTGGAACATTATTACATGAAGGATTTAATATTAGATTATCTGGAGAAGATGTTCAAAGAGCAACATTTTCACATAGACATACTGTAATTCATGATTAAAAGAATCCAAATGGTAATCCTTATGTTCCTTTACATAAAGTTATACCAAAAGGTTAAGAGGATAGATTGAGTATTTATAATTCACATTTATCTGAATATGGAGTATTAGGATTTGAATATGGTTATTCTATTACTAATCCAAATACTCTAGTACTTTGGGAGGCTTAATTTGGAGATTTCGCAAATGGAGCATAAATAGTTATTGATAATTATATTGCTAGTGCTGAATCTAAATGGGATGTTGATAGTGGAATAGTATTATTATTACCTAATGGTATGGATGGATAAGGACCAGAACATAGCTCTGGTAGAATTGAAAGATTTTTATAATTAAGTGATGATGATCCTGCAGTATTTGAAAGAAATCTAGGAGGTATATATTTTTATTATCTAAAGTACGACTTAAGAGATAAATGAGAAATTCTAATATGTAAATTGTTTAATGTACAACACCTGCTAATTATTTTCATTCCTTAAGAAGATAATTAAGAAGAGATTTCAGAAAACCTCTTATTGCCATGACTTCCAAAAAACTCTTAAGATTATAAGCTGCAAAATCGAAACTTAATGAATTCTCTGAATAAGCCAGATTCTCATAAATTTATGATGATCCTTTCCCTGAATAAATTAATTAACCTCATGAAATTTAAAGGGTCATCTTATGTTCAGGATAAGTTTATTATGACATTCTCAAAAAAAGAGAAGATCTTAAAATTAAAGTAATCAAATTATTCTATTCAGAATACTGCCATTNTGTATTTATAAAATTCTCTGAGAAATTAATCGCTTAAGGAATTGTTACAAAGTAAGAAGTAGATCAATTAATGAAATAACATGAAGATAATTTAGAGATAGCATATTAAAAATCAAGGAAAATGGATTATAATTTAAAAGATTGGCAACCAGTACCTTGGGAAATGATTAAAGTTCCAATTCTTTGGGGAAGAATTAAGGATACTGGAGTTCCAGTGACTATTTTAAAATAAATTGGAGAAAAGATTAATACTATACCAAATGATTTTAATGCTCATCAATAAATAAGAAAGTTTTATGAGGAAAGATTGAATTGGATTTAAAAAGATTAAGGAGTTGATTTTGCAACAGCAGAAGCATTAGCATTTGGAACATTATTACATGAAGGATTTAATATTAGATTATCTGGAGAAGATGTTCAAAGAGCAACATTTTCACATAGACATACTGTAATTCATGATTAAAAGAATCCAAATGGTAATCCTTATGTTCCTTTACATAAAGTTATACCAAAAGGTTAAGAGGATAGATTGAGTATTTATAATTCACATTTATCTGAATATGGAGTATTAGGATTTGAATATGGTTATTCTATTACTAATCCAAATACTCTAGTACTTTGGGAGGCTTAATTTGGAGATTTCGCAAATGGAGCATAAATAGTTATTGATAATTATATTGCTAGTGCTGAATCTAAATGGGATGTTGATAGTGGAATAGTATTATTATTACCTAATGGTATGGATGGATAAGGACCAGAACATAGCTCTGGTAGAATTGAAAGATTTTTATAATTAAGTGATGATGATCCTGCAGTATTTGAAAGAAATCTAGGAGGTATATATTTTTATTATCTAAAGTACGACTTAAGAGATAAATGAGAAATTCTAATATGTAAATTGTTTAATGTACTACTCCTGCTAATTATTTTCATTCCTTAAGAAGATAATTAAGAAGAGATTTCAGAAAACCTCTTATTGCCATGACTTCCAAAAAACTCTTAAGATTATAAGCTGCAAAATCGAAACTTAATGAATTCTCTGAATAAGCCAGATTCTCATAAATTTATGATGATCCTTTCCCTGAATAAATTAATTAACCTCATGAAATTTAAAGGGTCATCTTATGTTCAGGATAAGTTTATTATGACATTCTCAAAAAAAGAGAAGATCTTAAAATTAAAGTAATCAAATTATTCTATTCAGAATACTGCCATTGTGAGAATTGAATAATTAGCTCCTTTCCCATATGAATTCTTATAATCCGTTATCTCTAAATATAACAAAGCTTATTTTGTTTGGGTCTAAGAAGAACATTAAAATTATGGTCCATGGTCCTTTGTTAGACCAAGAATTTAAAGTGTCATTTCCAAAACTTAATCCTTAATTCAATAATAAGTTTAATATATTGGCAGAAAACCAAGTGGATCTCCAGCAACTGGATTCCATCAACTTCATGAAAAGGAAGTTCAATCCTATTTAACTAAGGCTTTTGAATTCTGATACATGGTTAAAATTAAATAATAATAAACAATATAGTTAAATTCTTTCATTTTTGTCTTAATCTATCAATAAATATTCCTAGATTTTAAGTATCAATCTAAATTATTATTATTTTTATTTAATTATTCAAAAATTTAATTCTTTAAAAAATTTTTGTTAATAAAATATTAGATCTATATTTTTAGTTAAGAACTGAAATAATGCTTTAGTTATTAGTTGAAATATCAATAAAATACAATTAAAGGTATCTTGCATTGCAATTTAATTCAAATAGAATATAAAGATTTAAAAAAAGAAGTTTAGAATTATAATCATTCACAATTAATTTAAAATAATTTAAAAATTCCAGCCATTATCTAAAGAGTTAAAAGTAATTTAATTTTTTAAATACTATTTTAGATACTACAAAAATTAGATTATAAAAAATTATATAAAATCTACATAAAACTATAATTTATTTAAAATTAGCCTGCTTTATTCTACCCAACAATCGAATATCTAATTTAAGAGTTAAAATATTGAAGAATTTGACTTTATGAAATAAGTATCTAATAATATCTACTAAATGAAAAGTAAAATCTCATGGCCTTTTCATATAGTATCATAAAGGAATCTTATACGGTAGAGGAGACAGCAGTGATAATTATAGAAATTCTTAGTATGAATTTGATAGAGTTTGATCTTTTAGCATTTAATCAATAATGCCCAATCGAATGATTATTATTACTATCATCAGTTTCATTTAAAATAATTATAATAATGGAAAATAGTAAAACTTATTATGGTAATGCTTAATCATCGAAATTTCAGTAAAAATTTTAGATTCCAAATATGTCATATAGTGTACCAAAAAAATATGATAAACTTATTCATAAAACTACACAAATTCCAAGAATATCAATAGAGCGTTTGATTGAAAAAATGGATTAAGATAATGATGGATGGATTAAAAAAGAAGACATATTAATCTTTAGTTAAAAGAATTATTTATTTTTTGAAGAAGAAGTAATATTCTTTTTATTTTAAGTTAGCATAAGCCATGATAGATGAAGCAATTAGTAAAAGAATTGTAGCATTCAAGGATTAATTAAAAGAACCCATTAATATTGATGAAATATTAGGAGCAGGTATTTTTATTAGTATATCTAACAGTTTAATTACATTATGTTTTAAATTAAGATCATATTTGGGTAGAAAAATCAAGACCATTTAGAGATCATTGGATTTAATTATTACTAGCAGCAGGTGAAAAATTACCAAATAATCATGATTTGCCACCTGTTAAAATTAGTAAAGTGCATGATATGCATGAAATGGAAACATTTCCTTTTAAACCAAAGTTGAATTCTTCTTAGTCACAAATTATTCATACTTCTGAATTATAAGAACCTCGATAATTTCCAGAACAATAACCAGAAGCTGGAATTATATTACAAGAAACTATGATGATTAAACCAATAAATAATGGAAGCATTAAAGAACAGGAAATTGATAATCCATTCGAAAAAGTAGTTAATTCTAAATTGTAATTTCTATTTATTATTATAATAGGAGTAACAATGATAAATAATAAGCTTATCCTACACTTAGATTCGAAACTTAAGCTTATTATAATGAAGCGGAACGTTTAAGCAAAGAACCAAAACTATGTAAATCTAATAGGAATCCTATTTATAAATTTATGCCTGAAAACTTAAATTATAAGGTAGATAAAATAAATTCCTCAAAATAATACTAAGATTACAATCAAACATAATAATTAGGATAAACTGCTACTAAATATCTTTCTTAACCTTTTTTATCGAAGAAACCATATCATGGTTTATCGGAAACAGGCTTTTAAACAAATGATTCAAAGTATTTTCAACCAAAATAAACCAAAAAATAACTCAAACCAGATTAAGAAACTGATAAACCTATTTTCTATGCTACTTTTAAACCTGAAGATGTTTAAACATTAAAAAATAAATTGGCTAATTTAAAATAGAGAGAGAAGGAAAAATTGTAAGATTTCTACAATCCTCCATCAACTCATAAATTTAGAGATGAAGTACTTGATAAGAAGAAAACGTTGTTTAAAGTAATTTTATTCATAATTATAGACAAGAATTAAGCCTGATCCATTGACTAATCCTCATATGATGTCTGAACATGATTAAAGACCATAATTTGCTATAGAAGAAGACGAGAAAAAATAAATGAAAGAAGTATAGAGATAATAAGATTACATAGATGATTGTATGGGAACACATAAATAAACAAAATAATGGGTTAAATATTTTCCAACAACAGATTTAAATCATAATTTTGTCGATCACAAAAGGCCAAACTTTTTAGATAAAGGTAACTATTAGGAGCCAGGTTTAATTCTGTTTTAATTTTTAAGAGAAGGTGCAAGTGCTAAAGTATTTTGTTTTTTATTACTAAGGACGATTTTCAACTTTTTCATAGATAATTAAGAACGAATGATAAACATTTATATTTAGGAATCTAAATGGATCTAAATCAATAATGAATTTTATTAAGTATATAAAACAAATCATAATCTTTTCATCTTTTCATCTTTTAAACTTATGAGATTATAAAATTTGTCATTTTCAATAATGCTTAATCTTTTTTTTATTACACATTTTTGTAAGAAAGAAGAGTATAATTTCCAAGGATCTTTAAAATTTGATATCCTTATTGTAAATTGCATTCACGTGGTTGTTTTCTTTTAACTTGTTTTGGCTTTAATTGAATTTGTTATACTGGTAAAGAAATAACATTTTCTTCTTCCTATTTTTCAATATTGTTAAATTCATTATGATTTTCCTAACTTAAATCAATTTAAGCTTTCTTTTGAACCTACTATTTTTCTTGTGCAAAAATTTCTACAATGTCCTAAGTTTCTAAAATGGGCTAAACCTTTTAATCGATAATTTCTTCGTCATCTGAGGCAAAATTTAAATCAACTATAGAAGTATCAGAATTAGTATCATCCATTTCTTTGATCAAATCGTCCATTTTAATTTAAATTATGTTAGAACATCATAATATTTTTTGTTTAAATTTTACTTATGAGAATAAACTGAAAATAAATGTTTAATGTTTAATGTTTAAATGGATAACTCAAACTCACCTCCTACTTATACCCCGGCTAGGAGGAACCCGGTGACGCCCGTATTATTCACGCCGATATCTGGGTGTCTTCTCATACCCTCTGCCCTGGGACGATCAATGTTATAATATTATTTTTATTTTCACAGCAAAATAATTTTTGAAGTAGCGTATGGTCCTTATTTGATTAATTAAACTTAATAATCAATAAGTATTAAAAGAAATTTAAAACATATGAATTAAACTTGATCTATCATTCAAATCACGTTGAATAATAAAATTTTATTATTTATTTCACTAATTTCTATCACAATCTTAAAAGTAATTTCAAAATAGATATTTAATAACTTTGTAATCAAAGATATCCTATAATTAGATTTTTTAAATCTTCTTCTCAAAATATCATAAAATTTAGAATAAGAACCTTTTTATCACATTTTTCAACAGTTTTAGCTTCATTAAATGAGGTGATTAAAAGCTAAATTTCATATAAAAAGCAGAGGTAGCAGTATTCATATTATTTTTTTAATAATTATTTTTTGTTACATAACATACTCAGAATTTTTCAAAACATATAGAAAATAGTTAGATATAAACATTTGAAAATTTTTATAAATAATGTTTGATGAAAGATTATTTATTGGAATTTATTTTAAGAAAAAGGAAGTCCTTTGAGAAAAGAAATTAAGAATTTGTTGAAATATAATTTTACAAATTAAATTGAGTCTTTAACTGTAAATAAAGAGATATGAATATAACTATAATTCATACTTTGCAGCAACAAATTGATTTATCCCTAGATTTTATATTAAGAGAAGTGATATGCTGATTTAAGTGAGTATAACATGATGATGACCATTGTTTGACATCGAATAAATATAACTTTTTTGACAGATCCGGATTGAGATTAAGCGCTTCTAGTACGGTTTCCAAATATCTTAAGGAGGATTGATATTGTAGTTCTAAATGAATACCTTCAAGTGTCTTAAAATATATTTACTAATACTTTTATATCCTTAAAAAGAGTGTTAGCAACATTTTCTGGTGTTGTATTATATATCTATTAAAAGTCTTAAGAAGTAAAATTAATTTAGACAAGGTTATTTAAAATAGTATTTAGACATTACATCATTTCTTCAAACATATTTAGAAAGTTTTCAAGCAATTTTAATTTTTCAGAAATGGGCATCAAACCTAAAATATTACCAAATACAACCAGCCATATTTTCCATAAATCTCTATTCTGTATATTAACCATAAAATTCTAAATATTGAAGTTTATTTTTCTCAATAATTTCATATGATGTTTAACAAGGTTCACTAGGAACAACAGAGAAATGGGCTTTAGAAGTTTAGGAATGATGAAGTCTTTAAGCAGTAGTTTGATCAGGATCTACAATTGATATTACATGTTAAGTATTTGAAGGAAATATTTTTTTCATAAAAATTAATTTTATTAATATTCCTACTTATGATCAAAATAAAGAACAAAATATGAAACAGTCTTTATACTATTATAAAATTTATCTGTAACTATATTTATTAAATAAAATATTGCAGTGAAGAAAATTGATAAAAATATTTTGTTCTAATTTCTAGTTAAGATTTTTATTTTGTAATTTTATTTCCTTAAAATTTAAATGAAAATAAAATTTTCTTATTATAATTAAATTAAAGGTTTGGATTTTTCAAATTAGATAAAATATTTCCTTTTTATTCTAAAAGTTGATTTTATATTTTTTTAATTCAATTACCTTGTGGAAATTAATCAAATTTAAGAAGTTTTAAATTACCTAATGAGAGATTAAGTTTAATATCATTAAAGATTTAACTTTAAAAAACCTTTCATTTATTTTTTAAAGTTTAAAAAAAATTAACTAGAAAAAGAGTGAAAATAATTTATATATTTACATTGAAATGAGAAAATGTCTATCATATTTATTCTATAAACGAGCATAAATTTCAGATATGTATTAAAATTTAATCCCTTAATCTTTGCCTATATTTTAAATATAGAATAATTTCGTAGGCTTTTTCGTATTATTCATTGGAGATATCTGAAATAATTTATTTTGTCATTTTTTCAATTTCTTAATTATTTTTTTGATTAATTTAGGATATATTTTCTCTTCTTTAAACTTGAGATTGCAATTCTAATATTTCCTCCATAAATTCTAAGTCTAACAAAACACTACATTCTTTAATTTAAAAGCCTTTAAGAGACAACTAAACTAATTACAAAATATAAATACAATATATTCTGCTCTTTCATGGATATTTTTCAACACTGAATAAGCTTCATTAATAAATGCTGAATATTCTTGACTATATGAAATATTGATTGGAGGCATAGTTACAAATCGATCAGGATGAAATTTTAGTTATAATGATCTATATTTGTCTTCTAAATATTTGGTTTCTAAATTAATGTTTATTGGCAAATCAAAAAGCTCAAAGTAATTAACTTCTTATAATTAAAGAGAAGGCTCTTTTAAATATTTGCATTAGCCACAAATAAATCTGTTAATAAACTCATTTGATTTACAATTCCAACAAGTCACCTTGGAGGGAACAAATTTACTAAAAGAAAAGCGAATTAAAGATTATAGCATAAATATTAATTTATTTTATTAAAGTTTAGCTAACATAGATATTATTAATATGAGATTAATATTAATCTAAATTCTCTAAAGATTATGATAATAAAAACTATTTTCAAAATACAAATCATTAATCTCACTTCAAATCAACTTTCTTGAGCAAGTTTAATTTTTCAAATTATTTTTCATATATTGATATGTATTTTCTTTGAGTATAAAATAATAATTGAATGTTATAATATTTTCATAAAGGATTTCTACTACTTTCATCATCAATTATATATATTATCTAATATCTCCAAAGAGCCTTAAATCCAATCTATATTTAAATCAGGTTTTAGGATTAGAACGAATTCAATTAAGTTTTTAAATATATCATCTTTCTTATTAAGTTAATTATTTCAAATATTTACACAAGTGTAAAGAAGACACAAATATCAAGTTGTTTCAAAAATGTTAATTTTAAGAAAAAGAATTAGAAGTATTTTAGGCTCTTTTACTTATATGGAATACCATTATTCTTTATATTAGTGATACATTTTGTTATCAAATTCTTTTAATTATTCTTCATAAAATTCTATGATTTCTCATGATTTCCTACTAAAAATGATAAATTTTTGTAAATAAGTAACTGCCGATAAAGAACCATGTTACTTCAAATATTTCCAACTCAATAAAATTAAACTAATCAATAAATTAAAATTCTATTGAGAAAAATGTAAAAATTTTTCTACCTTTATTAATTCAAACAACAAAGCATTAGAATAAGTTTAAACTATAATAACTAAATTATTCTTTTATTTCTTTTAATGAGTCCATGTAATATAAACTTCTAAAATATTAATCAATTTTCAAAGTTCTTTCTCCTAAAATCTTAATCTGTCTTATATGTCATTTTTTTATAATTATTAACCAAAATCTATTTTGTTTGTGCTTAAACATTTTTTGTGTATAAAATATATCTAATAATGTGTAAGATTAAATGCGAGGTACATTTTTATCATAATCTCTGTTTATGTATATTATTGATTAATATGATGTAACACTCAAGTATTAAAATATCTTAAATGTATTTCAACATTCCATCGTTACTGAAACAACAAGGATTGCAATTTTGATTCCCATAATTAATATTTATATGATTGATCAATAAATAAGAAAATACATGTAATGATGAAATAATGATGATAATTTTATGAAAATCATGAATAACTGAATGGAATTCTGCTTCTCTGATATTTATTTTTTATATGGACAAATAACAGAAATATATTAAGGAATAACCAATATCTTAAAAATAGTGCTTTAAGCTTCCAAGCTTCAAATTTATATGTTTTCTCCTTATATGGATACTATTGGTAGTATACTTAATAAGAGAATGGAATAATAAGTTACCAAAGATTATTATTTCAAGAGTCAATCAGACTAGCTTCTTAACTTAAAATAAGGGTATTTAATTGAAATTTTTGTCACAACCTCTTTTAAATTTCGATAATGTGCTAATTGTAGTTCATTCAACAAATGGAAGTAATATATCATAAATCTAGTCCAACAAAGAAGGAATTTATAATATTCCTTTTGGATAATTTGAAATATAGATATGCAATGAATCTAATCATAATATTACATGTGCAAATCAAAATCAAATTGCTGAAATCTTAAATGAATCAATAGAAGTAGAAATTTTATTACAAATTACTCAATACAATTATGAAGACTAAACATTTTATTAAGTACCTTAATCTTAAAAATATTAAATTCATAAGAATACCTAATAAATGGGATATTTATCTTACTAAATTGTGTCTACTGAAATTAGATATAATGAACTTTTTTCAGATATTCACATTTATAACTAAATAGATGATGCAACACTTTCCTTTTCATCTATCAATATAGCATCCTATACTTTATCTAAAATAAAAATTGAAATAAATCCAATAATCACTAAAAAAACCATTGTATATGATAAAATATACATTTTTACTATACAAATTATCGCAATGAGTTCAATAATTTATTTCCTCAATTAAATGTTTACTAAACTTAAAAATATTAAGAAAAAGTAGATTCAAATTTTAGATATCATTTCAATTTACTTTCCATAAATATAGGACTATAAAATAAGATTCAATTTTTTAGGATAAATTAGTTCGGTAACAACTTTAGATAATGAAAAAAGAAATCTTCAATAATGGAGATAATTTTATTAAAAATATTCATAATCAGCTAAAGAAAAATTGAAATTAAAGAATGTTATTTATTAATTATCAAGGTAAATTATTTATATATTTAGATTATAATATATATGCATGTCTTTATAAGATAGAGAGACTTTAATGAATACTCATACGATTGGAATAAAATTAAATTTATAATAGGAGATTCAAACTGAAACATCAACGATAGAGTTAAATGAAATAGAGGATCCAATAGTATTAAGAAGTTCAGATATGGATTTATTAAGCTAACCTATAGGGCCAATATTCTTAGGAGAATGCAAAATTGCATTTTATAAGAAAAATAGGGGATAGAATATGAATAAGAAGTTTTAGTTGATTTGATTTTAAAATTTAAGATTTTATTTTGCTTTAAAATGTCTTAAAAGAAGCCACAAATGCAAGTTGAGTAAGTTTTTGGATTAGATGGTGTAGATAAAAGGTTCCAGAAAACATAGTAAAGAAGACTGCAAGAGATACCAAATTGAGAGAAGCTGTTGCTAAGAGAAGAACAGACAGATTAGCAGCAAACAAAACAAGAAGAGCTTAATGGGAAAAGAATGCATAAGCTTATCAAAATGAATACTAAGCTGCTGATAAGAGCCTAGTTGATAACATACGTAAGGCAAAAACTGAAGGTGGATTCTATGTACCAGCAGAAGCTAGATTAATATTGGTGGTCAGAATCAGAGGGTATTTATTAGTGATATATATAACAGTATCAACACCTTGAATCCACAAGTCAGATAAACATTGAGACTTTTGAAATTGAGATAACTTCATAATGCAGCCTTTGTTAGAGTCAATAAGGCTACAATTGAAATGATTAGAAAGGTTGAGCCATATGTGACTTATGGATATCCATNAAATAAAAATTGAAATAAATCCAATAATCACTAAAAAAACCATTGTATATGATAAAATATACATTTTTACTATACAAATTATCGCAATGAGTTCAATAATTTATTTCCTCAATTAAATGTTTACTAAACTTAAAAATATTAAGAAAAAGTAGATTCAAATTTTAGATATCATTTCAATTTACTTTCCATAAATATAGGACTATAAAATAAGATTCAATTTTTTAGGATAAATTAGTTCGGTAACAACTTTAGATAATGAAAAAAGAAATCTTCAATAATGGAGATAATTTTATTAAAAATATTCATAATCAGCTAAAGAAAAATTGAAATTAAAGAATGTTATTTATTAATTATCAAGGTAAATTATTTATATATTTAGATTATAATATATATGCATGTCTTTATAAGATAGAGAGACTTTAATGAATACTCATACGATTGGAATAAAATTAAATTTATAATAGGAGATTCAAACTGAAACATCAACGATAGAGTTAAATGAAATAGAGGATCCAATAGTATTAAGAAGTTCAGATATGGATTTATTAAGCTAACCTATAGGGCCAATATTCTTAGGAGAATGCAAAATTGCATTTTATAAGAAAAATAGGGGATAGAATATGAATAAGAAGTTTTAGTTGATTTGATTTTAAAATTTAAGATTTTATTTTGCTTTAAAATGTCTTAAAAGAAGCCACAAATGCAAGTTGAGTAAGTTTTTGGATTAGATGGTGTAGATAAAAGGTTCCAGAAAACATAGTAAAGAAGACTGCAAGAGATACCAAATTGAGAGAAGCTGTTGCTAAGAGAAGAACAGACAGATTAGCAGCAAACAAAACAAGAAGAGCTTAATGGGAAAAGAATGCATAAGCTTATCAAAATGAATACTAAGCTGCTGATAAGAGCCTAGTTGATAACATACGTAAGGCAAAAACTGAAGGTGGATTCTATGTACCAGCAGAAGCTAGATTAATATTGGTGGTCAGAATCAGAGGGTATTTATTAGTGATATATATAACAGTATCAACACCTTGAATCCACAAGTCAGATAAACATTGAGACTTTTGAAATTGAGATAACTTCATAATGCAGCCTTTGTTAGAGTCAATAAGGCTACAATTGAAATGATTAGAAAGGTTGAGCCATATGTGACTTATGGATATCCATCAAGAGCTGTCATCAAAAATCTTATTTACAAGAGAGGATATGCCAAAATTAATGGTTAAAGAATCCCAATCACAAACAACAATGTTATTGAATAATAATTAGGAAAAGTTGGAATTCACAGTATTGAAGACCTTATCCATGAAATTGTTACAGTAGGAGCTCATTTCAAAGAAGCAAACAGATTCTTATGGTAATAAATTTATTAATAAATTTTAATAGGGCATTCAAATTGAGAGGACCAAGAGGTGGCTTTATTGCTAAGAGAAGATCATTCATCAATTAAGGAGATTGGGGAAATAGAGAAGATCTCATCAATGATCTTGTTAAGAGAATGATTTGATTGAACATTAATTATATATACATTAATAAAAAAATATCAATTATTTAGTACAATTTTTATATTGAAAATATATAGTTTGAATGATTTAATTATGCATTATTTTAATTTGTTAAATTTAATATTTTTAGAAAGATGAATTTCATAGGCTTGATAAATTATGAAGAAATGATTAATCATCTTATTAGAATTACAAAATATTATTATAATCAAAATATTTCTGCTGTTTTTTACCCTTAATATAAATAATTATTTTTTATTGAATAAAAAATGTTATAACCAAGACCCCCATTCCCATCAGGATAGATGGATTTAATTTTAGGAAAGACAGAAAGCTATGGAGCATTATTTTTAAGTGGAATTGAAGCAGCTTTGAATCCATAATTAATGCAATAAAACTAGATTGGAGCAGTTTTAACAGTGGGTACAGAATTGTCAAATCTAAAATTCGATTGTGTATAAAAAGTAATATATATTGACAAAGTTTAGTTGATTATGTTACATGATACAGCTTATGATCCAATAAGAAGATATTTTGAAGAAGCCATCCATTTTATTGATGAATAAAGAAAAACTAAGAACGTTTTAGTTCACTGTTTTGTTGGAGTTAGTAGAAGTGCTACATTGATTATAGCCTATTTAATGCAAATGTATAATTACTCACTTCAAGCTGCACTTACATTTCTAATCAGTAGGAGACCTTAAATTAACCCTAATCCAGGATTTATGCAATAATTATAGCAATTTGATTATGAATTAAACAAAAGAAGATAACAAAGACCTGCAAGCACTTAATATGTTAGATAACATTATGACAGAGATAGAAGAGAATCTATTGAAGTAAGATCAACTAGACAATTTCCTACATCAAGCCCATTAAAAAGAGTCAATTAAAAAGCAATGTCAACCAAATCATTGTTTCTAACTCCAAAAAAAAATGAAGCTTAAAATTATTTTAATTTTACTCCTGCCGTTAAACCTAATAATAATCCAATAGAAATTAAATAAATTATAAAAAGTGCATAAAATTTGGATAACGGAGTCTTGAGATAATCTAATTATTTTGGGAATAATACCAAAAAGTTAGCTGAAACTGCTATTAATGGATTTAAATCAGCTAATTCATTTTGTAAGACTTTCTCTAATCATTTTCCTATGGCTAAAAACCAAATACTAGCATAAACCTAAACTTTATTAAGGAGAACTCAAGGCTCTGGATTGGGAAATAAAGGAAGATAACCAATCAGAGCTTAAACTAAGATTGAATATAATATTTGATGTCATTTTAAATCATTATACTTCCAGAATGCCCCATCAAATATTAAAATTCTTCTTTAATCATGAGCGCAATTCCCTTAATTATCCAAAACTACATTTTATAATGCCCAAATTTTTCCCTGATGAATAATTGGTGTATTATTCCAAAATCCTTCTGCTTAAGGAAGCTGTTTAGTATAAATTACTTTTGCTATTTTATCATTTATTTCTAAAATAGTGCATTCTTTTGATCCTTTATTATTTTCTGAATATCCACCAAATATCATCAATTAATTTTATTCTATTTAAATTGAACTCATCATTGATGCCATTGATGTCAATTAAGATGTTATTGTACAAGAAACCCAATTGTCTTTCTACAAAAATTCTATTTATTAATTTATCTTCATATTTTGCACTAAAATAATATATATTTATACTTATTCCTCCAGCTACCGTTACAGTATCATTAAAAATACTAACACTAGGTGATCCTAATGCATTACTTAAATTTGGATATTTTATAATTCTCTTATTTGTACAATCAAATGATTCACATTAATTTGTTATCTAAATATTATCTAAGTAACCACCAATGAAATAAAGTTCATTTTATTTCCAAATTAAACCATGAGAACTTCTTCCATAATTCATTTGTCCTATTTCCTATAATTGATAGTTTTAAAAATTAAATTAATAAATCCTATTGCTTTTCTTTTTATTTGGCAAAGATCCTCCTGTTAAATAAATTTGGCCATCAGGAGTTATTATTGATTTTGAAAATGGTAATACTTCAACATAATTTGAAATTTAAACTGGTCTCCATAATTAGTCAGGTAAACTTAAGTCATATAACCAAAGCACTGATTTACCTGTTTCAAAAAAGTGTAATAATTTATACTTATTTCTAAAATATTCGTTTTATTAAAGGTATGTTTCTTAATAAACCTAAGATATTTGACTAGTATTGAGTAACAAGTTATTTTAGAGTGGAATAAAATCAATTAATACATAATTTGACAACGCTTATTATATATGTTGTAAATTTGCTTAATTTATTTAAATCATTGATGGATTATTTTATTGTAAATTTTATAAATTTTTCATCACTTTCCTAAACTTAAGTTGATTTTTTTTAATATCCAAACTACAGATATTCTTTATTGCATTCATTTAGTTTGAACTTTCCAACTCAACTAATCGATTCTCTAAATCATCTAGAAAATTTTAAACATTTTCTTATTATTAAATGAAAATTTATTATTGATTTGTTTAGGATTCTATATATTGTTTATATTAATCTTCTAGCAATGTAAAGTATTGATTAACTAAATTCATTACATTCTCCTGAGCCTTTTTAATATCTTTTATTGTCTGATCTTCATATTCAGTTTAATGATATTGGTTTACTAGAGATTAAATTTTTTACATCTCAATTATCCCTGATTTTATTTTTTTTTAACATTGAAGTTTTACATTTTAAAAACTTTCAATATCTGCAGTAGTAGCTAATTAATTATGATATTATTTATGTGATTCAACGCATTCTGAACATAAAGGTTTCAAACAATCTGCAGTTTAACAAAAGTATATCAATTACTCTGTTGGATGATTTTAACAAAACTATTTTACTAAAAAGGTTTAAGTTGTCTAACTCATAAATTTTAAATTTAATTATTTAATCAAAAATAAAAATAATAAAACTTTAAAAAATCTTCTATTGATAATTTAATTAATATTTTTTAAGGATTTGAGGCCTTTCAAAGTGATAATCAAAATTAAAGTAAATAAAATTGAGATTTAAACTTTAATCATCAGTAAAATTGAATAGAGATTTTTATTTTTTTATTAAATATCTACCTTAAACACAATGTTTCTCTAAAATAAATCAACTCTCTCTTTTCAACCTTTTCATTTATAATCCAGTTTAATAGTTTTATTTATTTCTATATCATAAAATTAAGTTAAATCAATTAACTAAATTTGTTTTTATTTTATTATTAAAATACAAAATATTCATTAAAACTATATAACAATCTCAAGAAACTATCAATAGTTCTATCAATTTTTTTGCACTATCTTTACAATTATTAAATATAATAGAATATTCTTCTCGACTTAAGTAATCAGCTGTTTACAATATCTTTAAAATTGATTTAGGGCTTTTTTATAAATAGAAAGATTACTTATTAATATAAGCGTATTCTGTTCTATGATAAAGGTTTAAATTTAAAAAATTATTTGCAGTTATTCTAGTAGCCTCATATCTATGACCATCTTCAGCTTCTTTATGGAATCCTATAATTAAGTGTTCCTTTTAATTTATTAAAGTAAATATAATATCAGGATGTTCCACTTAAATTCCAAAAAAGTCGAATTCCGCCTATCTCCATTTAATCATGATATTGGACTTTGAAATTCTTGATCAATCTTTAAATTAGGTATGATTTTTGAATTAGAATAATAAAATCCATTATTTATTGGGCGTGGATAGCTTTATGAATTGAATGAGCTTGAGGAAAAACTATAATTTCCAACTATAAATAAAGTTATAATGATCATCTTCATGATAGAAATCAAAATATTTATTTTGATATAAATTTAAATTAGTTTCTTAATAAAAATAAGGAAATAAATAATATGTTTATATGGGTGTTTAGATAAGTTAACAAGTAATATTTAAATTTTGATAGTGTAAATGAAGAAATAAATATTTTATTTAATTTTTAAGTTTCTGATTAACTGAATATAATAACGATTTTAAATGGAAAATATTTATTAATTGATAAATATAAACTAAAAATAATAATTTATTTTAAATAATTATACCATAAATAAAATGAATAATTCAGATAAGATATCATGGTATCCAGGACACATGAAAAGAGCAATGGAAAATTTAGAAAAGAGAATATCAGATGTATAATTATTTTTAGAATTGAGAGATGCTCGAGTGCCTTTTTCATCAAAAAATTATCATTTTGATAATTTAATGTAGGCTCATAATAAAGAGAAGATTATAATATTTAATAAATTTGATTTATGCAATTAAGAAACAACAAATAAAATAATAGAAAAATACAAAAAAGTGGGTATTTAATGTATAGCAACATCAGCAAGGGAAAGATTAAATTTAAAGGAATTGATAATGATGACAAATGCATATAAATCAGCAAAATTTGCAACAGTAGGTATGTGGTTAATGATTTGTGGAATGCCTAATGTTGGCAAATCTACGATAATAAATTAATTAAGATAAACAACACCAAAATTAAATAAAAGGAAAGCAATAGCAAAATCAACAGCAAGTCCTTGTACAACTAAAAATGTAGCAGGGATGAAAATATGTGATGAACCTTTAGCTTATTTAGTTGATACCCCAGGAGTGATGATTCCAAATATTACAGAAGAAGAACAAGGAATCAAATTAGGAGTAAAACATAACAAATAATCTTTGAATAGTTGGTTGGATGTATAAAAGATAAAATAGTAACAAAAGAGAGAATTTTAGACTATTTAGTAAAAGAGATGAATTAATAATAGATGGAAAAGTATTATAAAATTTATGGTTTAAATGAAAGACCTAAAACAGGTGGTGAATATATGTTGGCTGTAAGGGAGAGATACAATCATTATAATTATGAGACCACAATAGATTTTATATTAAATGGATTTAGAATTGGAAAATTAGGAAATATTACTTTGGATAGTGTAGACTTATTAAATTGAGTATTCTAGAACATTCATTTAACGAAATAAATCATAAAATTAGACACATATAAATAAATTTATTGCAAATGTCATTCTATCCAGGATTCTACCCATAATATACATAACCACTTGCAGCATCATTTGCAGCTCCTCTTGCTTATCCTCAAACATCATTTGTTAGACCTGTTGCAACTACTCCTATTTACACATCTCCAGCTCCTGTTTATACAGCTCCTGCTCCTGTTTATACAGCACCTGCTCCAGTTGTCACTTAATCAGTTGTCTAACCAGTTGTCTAATCAGTTGTCTAACCAGTTGTTGCTGCTTAACCAGCAATCAAGGGAGAATCCAGAGTTGAATATAGAGAGTATTAAAGACCAGTTGTTGAATATGAGACTGAGACTATCGAAGTTTAAAAGCCTGTTACTAAATATGTTACAGATTATTACCCTGTTGAATATTAAACTGATTACATTCCAAGAACTGTTTATGAGACCTAAACAGAATATGTACCTGTTTAAAAAACAATTCCAAGAGTTGAATATGAAGCAGTAGAGAGATAAGTGTAAAGAGTTGTAAGAAGAGTTATTTATTTATTTAGCCTGCTGCCCCTGTTTAATATGCTCCCGCTCCTCTGACATATTCAGTTGCTTAACCAGTTTAATAAGTTGTCACTTAACCTGTAGCTTCATATGCAACACCTTTAACATATTCTGCAGTCAGACCTGCATATTATGGTGGATACCCATATTATTATTGATTGACAAGAGTTTAATATAAAATCCAAATTATATATAAATTTTCTTTATGAGTCAAAGTAGTTAGCAAAGAGTATTTATGAATCGATTTATTGTTAAAAAGAAGATTTCATCAGGAGCTTTTGGAGTCGTCTTTTTAGTCTTTGATAAATAAACAAATTAAGATGCTGCATTAAAATTGGAGAAAGAAGATAATGAAGAAATTAGATCTTTGGAAAGAGAAGTAGAAATAATTAAATAATTAAATGATGCTGAAGGTACTCCTAAATTAATTTGGTATGGAAATGAAAGTGAATTTAATATAATGGTTATCTAATTGTTAGGAAGAGATTTAGCATATTATTTCAGATAGCAAAAGAAGTTCAGCTTAAAATGTACTATTCAAATTGCTCATGATTGTGTAAATATTTTAAGAAATATACATAATAAAAATGTTGTTCATAGAGATCTTAAACCAGAAAATATATTGATGTCTAAAGATAATGATGGTATATATATTGTTGATTTTGGAATAAGTAAAATATATAACATTTAAGGAGAACATATGTAATATATTAGTATTATTATATAGGCCATTTAGATGTGATAAAACTTTTATGGGAACTCCAAGATATGCTTCACTTGCTGCACATTTAGGTTATGAAATCTCAAGAAAAGATGATTTGGAGTCACTTTTTTATGTAATTTTATATTTTCTTCGTGGCAGTTTACCATGGTAAAATTTACCAGTGTCAGAAAATGAAAGAACAAAAGCTGTTGGAGATATTAAATAAAATGTAGATTTAAATGAATTATGCATCAATCAACCTCATGAATTAGTAGAAATTCTCTAATATTTAAAATCCTTAAAATTTATAGATTAACCTAATTATCAGTATATTCTATAGCTACTGAATTAAATTGCAGAAAATAATTAATTTCTATTAGATGGAATTTATGATTGGACTGAAGGCTTAATGAAATCAACTAAAAAATTTAGTTCTTTAGAATCTAAAAAGTCTTTTGAATTTAATAAAATTAAAGAATTCTCTCCTGGTAATATAATGAAAAGCTCTTCAAAATTATCATAATAAATCATTTGGACAGTTAATGATTAATAGCTTCAACAAGTTGCGTATATTTTAATTAAATCTAGTCCTTCTTCTTAGCGTCACCTTTTGTTACCCCCTGATCCAAATAAAAAACCTGGATAAAGAACTGATCTTAGACATCAATCAAATTCTTCATCAAATTCTAATGTTGGAACTTTCAGTTCTATGTAAATTAAATATTTGCCTTCTCAAATTGAAAATTAAAAACCTACTTTTCTTCCAAATTGGAAATAAACTGATAGACAATAAGAATCTTAATATTAAGATTTAATGGATGAAAATAATTTTGATGTTCCTTTGAATTACAAATATAAAAACTTCATCTAAACTTAAGCATTCGAGTAAAGATTGCAATATATTTTAGTCATCATTACAAAAAATTCAATAAATTCCTTGAAACCACTATTTGACAAATAATTATTAATATATTTTTAATTTTTACATTTGTGATTCCTTTTAATAAAATAATAAGAATCAATAAAACTTATATAGTATCATTTGAACTCATAGTCAATCAAATAAAATCACATATAATTTAAATCAATAATAATTATTATTTAATAAATATAACTTTTACTTAAATAGAAGAAAAAAAATAATATAAATTATATTAGAATAGCTATAATACAATTTAATTTTTATAAATAAATGATAATTGTTAATTAATCTATTTTAAATAACTCAATTTTAAAATATATAGAAATTTTGATTTACAAGAAATTTATATCAAAGTTAATTCTATAAAAAGAAAAGGTTTATTAAAAAATTTGATAGTAATAAAATTTATATATGATTTTGAATAAATTAAAACAACAAAAATTTTGGTACATCAATAAAAATTGGAAAATAAAGAATCAAATATTAATGATACAAATTGTAAGTTCAATCTTTGTATTCATACTATTAGCTTCATCAATTATTATTGGATAATTAATTGTATAGAAAACGATAGAAGAATCATCTAAGAAAATATTTGTAAAATAAACTCTGTAGCAATTAAATAGTGTTTATTTGCATAAAACTAATATTTAATATTTAATAAAGTCTGCCTCATAATAAATTTAAATTGTTAAGTTGTTAAACATATTTACATAACAAACAGGAATATCAACGGTTTAACCTTATTAATGTTTAAATAAACCCAACACTAATGATTCATACTGTTATAATTCTTCATATTGTTTTGGCCTATTTGGAGATTATTATAATCAAACTCATATAGAGAAGTTATGTTATGTATTTGCAATAACTTCATTACTGACATAATTTAGAATAGCTATTGATAATACATAGGCCTTATATTTTAGTCATGCCAATTAAGCCTAATTCTACACTTTAAGTTAAGGGTTTTACTTTAAACCTGGATTCTATCCACATTTAAGACCATGGTACATTTATCATCTGAATTCTACCAATAATGTTTCCGATAATGATTTAATTGTGTATGGATAACCATATAGAATTTATTTTACTGATGGGATTAGAATTGCGATCACTTCTAATTTATTGAATTTCAATTATGAAATTGAAGGAGTTATTGCTAAAGATATTGATTTTAAGTAAACTTTAAATTACAAATTTATCGATTATGAGATAACTCTAATTGTAATTAACTATTAAGGTTAAGTTATTTTTAGTAAATTATATGATTATTAAAATTAATCTATTCATTCAATCTTTGATGAAATTTACACTGGTTTTAATGAAACTGATTTTGAATAAATTATGAATTATCATAGTCGTAAAAAATATTCAAATAGTTGTAACATGATTATAGAATAAGAGAACGTTTTATGTAGATATAATTCTAAATTTGTAGATTTTTGTATTATTTAGACTAGTCAAATTGACATATTATTACTATTTAAAAATACAAAAAATATAAAAATGATTTAACAATAATAATTTAATTTTATCACTAATGAATAGAAGTAAATAACTTAATAGAATATTATTATGTATTTACTTCTAACTTTAGCTGTTTTATTGATTGCTTACTTTATATCTATTATAATGCTTAAATAGTTAAGGTTGTTGATTTCTTATACAAAATATAGCATTTCTGACAATTGGATAATTAATTTGTTCTTAAAAGGTTTTATGAAATAAAAATATTTGATATAATCATAAGAAATAACAAGTTTATATTTAAGCATAGTTGGATTAATTCACAACCTACGACCTTAAAAAAAAAATAAATAATGTATATTATAGGAAGATAAATTATTTCCTAGAACCAGAAAAAGTAAAAAATTAAACCAAATAAAAGAAATAATAAATCAAATTGAGGATGATGATCAATTGAATTTCATTTAATTCAAATGACCAAAATAATTGATTTAATAGGATGTTTCTCAATGATTTTTTTTTATTAAGATTAATTTAAAACAACTCTTAAGATTGTTATTTATAATATAGTTTAAGAGATTGGCTAAAATAAATCAAATTGTTTCTGATAAGAGAATAAGTCTAATTTCTTGTTATTTTAAAATTAATTCTTCATTTATTCTAATTAAATTCATCATATAATTTATTAACAAAATTAAATTAATGTAAAATAACGATCCAATGCCTATATATATGCTGACTAAAAAAACAAATTTAGATCATTTAGTTGGGTCTAAAGCATCTAGAACACATACCAGTAATATAAATATAACAATATTAAAGGAGTAGAGACAAAAGTGAGCACATCAATTTCAAATTCATAGAATAGCCAACGCAAAACATCTTTTTCTAATAGACCTCCATTATCAACAAAAAATTCATATAGTGTTCATGCTGATATTGATGAAGGTGGAGGAGTTAAAAAAATTTAGAGTTATCAAAACATAAATAATAAGATGGAGAAATTTTCATAATAGAATAGACATTTAATATGTAAATTTTATGAAGGAATATATTTAATTGGAAATTCAACATTAGGGAAAACAGAAATTCTTTATTAATATGGAGCATGTCATCTTGAATAGTTATTACCTGATTTAGTATTTCCTTATGGAGCAAAAGATGTCTAAAAAAGGTTATCTGATTCTTAGAGTGAAATAAATGAGATTTTATATAAAAGACATGTATCAGAAAATAATCCAAATTGTTTTATTTTACCAATTAAAACTTCAGAGTCATTTGAAAAAGCATGTAATAATTTAATTTATTATAGAGTATAATAGTAATTAATTAGCTTATTGCATTTGTTTATCTTTATAAGATATTTCTCCAATAAAAAATGGTTATCTCAAATGTGAAAGAGTATTATGTATAGTTTCATACTTGCCTTTAATAAAATATTTTATTGACTTTTTAATAGAAGTTATAAGTATGAATTCAATTAATTAGATTGTGCTAAAGAAGAGAGATTTAATAATTTGACATTTACTTAATATATATAAAAATGCCCTCTTTTTGAAACCCTCCCTATATAAATACCAAGTTAATAAATACCTCAATCATATTATGAATTTCATGATTATCATGTGAAATAACTAAAAATATTAAATAATGCACTTAGTTTAGGATTAATTGCTATAAATATAATTTTAGAAAGATCGGTAATTTTCGTAGCCTAAAATGTTTAATAATTAGGAGCAATTCTTATGTTATTTCTTAAACATGTTAAATGGATTCATCAAATGGTTGCTTCAATTCCTCCAAAAAATATTGAATTATTAAATGTACCAGTTCCTTTATTAGGTGGAATAGTATTAGATGATTATCAATGTGTAGAATAATTAATTGATGAATATCCGAATGTTGTTTTTGTGGATCTTTTTAAGTTATATTTTATTTAACTTTAGTTAACATGTTCGAAATTCTCATGATTTCACTAAAAGTCTCATTTATATATTTTTGGTTAGATAACTTTAAGGAAAGTCCCCTTATGAGATAGGATAAATATTAGGATAATTCTAATAAAATTTACTCTAAGAGACTAATAGGGATGAGTACATAATCAAAGAATTTAGACTAACTTAATATTTTCATGAAATGGATTAGATGAAATAATCTTTAAATATAAAAAGCATTCCTACTTTAACTCATCCGATAAAAGTCTAATAATAAACCTTTAGAAAGTTTTGAATTAGTTTTATTTTTTGATTATTATTTTAAATTTAATTTTTAATTCATAAAATCATATATTTATATTACATAGAAAAAAAAATAATATATTCTTCTAGAGATCATAGTTTATAAATGAAAATACATTCTGTAATGTTTAGAATTTTTATTAGAAATTTTGAGTATTAAGCTTAAAATCAAATTATTTATTTAGATACTTTATTCATAAATATTCAAAATTTTGATGTATTAAAAACTTTGGATACCTATTGCAAATGATTTTAAAGCTTAAAATGATCATTTGTACATATAAGGAGAATTTACTAAAGAAAATGGGAAGATTAGAGTCTTATATGGTTATGATTAATATATACTTTGCTCAAAAGTAAGAAATAAATAGGCTATTTTAGAGAGACTTTGCACCTAATAAGTGTTTAAAACTTGAATTTGATACAAAATTTGAAATTTTGAGATAGCCTATTCAAAAAAAAGAAGAAGATGACGATAGCTTAGGTGCAATTATAGGTTTACAATTTATGAGAGATTGTGATGAAAATATGATGAAATTGAGATTAAATGCATCTGTTTAACAGATTAGTGAATGGCGATTGTACTTAGGAGAAAGAATTAATTAATGGTAATTTCATAATATGTTCAGAGTTTATAAAAAAATAGGTTAAGGAAATTTTGCATGTGTAAATAAAATTTTTAAATAAGGTTTACTAAGCAGAAAGGATAGAAGATAATTAATAGATGGCAATTAAAGCTTTTTCAAAGTAAGCAATATATGGAGAAGAAAATGGAAAAAATGCAATAATAAATGAATTGAAGATAATGAGGAATCTAAATAATACTCATTTAATGAAATTATATGAAGTTTATGAGACTAATAATTCTTTGTATGTAGCTTTGGAATTATTAGAAGGAGGATCGTTATATGATTTAATTAAGGATAATTCTATAATAAATACAAAGTCTATAAAATAGATAATTGTGGGAATACTTTTAGGCCTTTAAGAAATGCATAAAAAAGAAATTATGCATAGAGATTTAAAGTTAGAAAATATATTATTTAAGAAACCTAAGTATAGAACATTAATAATATAATTTAGAAAGATGGAATCAGTTGTAATTGCTGATTTTGGATTAGCAACATATGTAAATGAATCAGTTTATTTATATTGTCGATGTGGAACTCCAGGATTTGTAGCACCGGAGGTTATTAATATTAAGGATATGAAATCTAAATATTCTTCTGTCTGTGATATATATAGTCTTGGATTAGTATTTTATTTATTACTTACTGGTAAATCTGCTTTTAATGGAAAAAGCTATTCTACAGTAGTAAAATAAAACAGAGAAGCAAATATTAATTTTGATATCAAACAGTTATAAAATGCTCCTGGATATGCTATTGATTTACTTAAATAAATGCTCGAAAAAGATCCAAATAAGAGAATAACTGCTGAGAAATGTTTAAATCATCCTTATTTATTTGATATAGTTGCTTAAATGATGGAATAAGAAAACTAAGATTAAAGTTTCGATGAAATAGATGAAACAATTGAAATTTAGTCTATGATGAATAAAATTAATGATGAGTAATATTTAATATGTATCTTAGATATTCAAAATTTGATAATACAAAAAATGTTAATTCTCCACTTTAATCACCTAAATAATCACCAGGATTAGTTTTGTAAAAGGCAATAAAATAATAAAAATTGATTGATTCTTAAAAGGCTTTTGGGGCTGAATCTCCTTTATTAAAAGGAAAAATTTAATCTGTTGATAGTGCTTAGACTATAGGAACCCCAAAAAAAAAATAAAATTTATAATAGGCTTAACTCTAAATGAAACCATCAAAATTTTCTAAACAAGCACAAAATAAACCTTTATTAAAATATGCTAAAAAAGATTGATTAGAATAATTGTAACAAATTAATATTACTTACATTATTTTGAGATTTTGTTTTTTATGTCTCTCTTCATTAAAAAGATTAGATCATTTTATAAGATACAATATATTATATCGTTTTATAAATTAGATAAAATATTAGATTATTTTTTATTGTACAGATTCAAAATAAATCTTGAAATCGATTTTATTTATTTCTATTTATATATAAATTCAGTTATTAAGAAATTGGATATTTTACAAAAATAAAGGTTGTACTAGTGAATATATATATATTTAAATAAAAATATCTGAAAAAGGTTGATAAATAAGAGATAAATGAACTGCAACTTATTTGATTCTGTGAAAAAATTTTTGAATTCTATATAATAAAATTTTAATTAATAATTATTCAAAATGATATCAATATAATTAATAAAAAGTTCTTTTTAAATTTTAGATACGCAAATTTGATTAACGTAATTTAGTGTAATATATATACATGATTTTACGGAGCAGATAAATAAATAATATTTAATCTTAAAGATGAATCAACAAATAGTAAGTAATAGCATATAGGAAATCAATCATTACAATAGAGTGTTAGAGGGAAATAAAAGATATGTGGCAAAAAAATTAACAGAAGACCCGAATTATTTTGTGACGCTTTCAAAAGGATAAAGCCCAAAATACTTATTAATAGGTTGTTCAGATTCAAGAGCCCCACCTAATGAATTAACAGAGACAGATCCAGGAGAAATATTTATTCATAGAAATATTGCCAACTTAGTTATTCCAACTGATTTGAATGTAATAATCTATATAATTCTTAAAGTTAAATTGTGTAATTTAATACGCAGTCGAACATTTACATATTCATAATATAGTTGTGATGGGACATACATGTTGTGGTGGTGTAAAAGCAGCAATGGCTTAAGATTCAGTTGGAGGATTATTAGACCTATGGTTAAATTAAATAAAATTAGTTTATGAAAAACATGCAGATCTAATTGAATCCTTTGTTGATGAAAATGATAAAGTTAATTGTCTTAGTTAATTAAATGTAAGGGCATAAGTTATGAATATATGGAAAAATCCTATTGTCTAAAAGGCTTGGTAAAAAGGAAATCGTAAATTATATTATTAATATTTTTAGCTGTCATGGTTCATGGATGGCTATTTAGAGTTGAAACCGGATATATAGAAGAACTTTTAATTGATTAATAAACACCTGAAGAAATGTGCAAAGTTTATGCTCTCAAATTTAAATTAGAATCAGAAAAATAATTATCAAAACATGTTTCTCCTACAGGTTCACCAAAAAATAATGCAAAAAAAAGATTTTAAAATATGCAAAGAAAAATAATTGATCATATTAAATAGCTTAAAGAAAATAAGATAGATGATTAAGAAGGAGAAAATAAAGAAATAGGAGGATTTATTGAGAGTTCAAAAGATTTATGAAAATTAATATTGTATTTATTAATTGCAATATTATATATAAAACAGTTTATAAATGCTTAGTTTTTATTTCTTAGATAATATAAATATTAATTTCAAGTTGCTTCTTTCTTTTCTTGTTATTAATAAACTATTTAAACATACTTTTTATTTAAATCTATGCTCTCTTGTTGTTTAACTATTTTTAATGATTATTATAGAGGATTCCATTTTTCCATTGAAATTAAGGAGGTTTCTGATGTAGAATTCAATAAGTAAATTCTATATGCTAATCTGATATGATATTGATTCCTTTCAAATTCTAAATTTATCTGTTTTTTTTATATTTGTTTCGATTTTTTCTGAATTTAGCCTTAATTCATATGATGATTATTCTTTTTATGATAATGCTTTTTTCCTTTATGAAAACCTAATATAATGATTACTAACTTTTATTTATTTCTGTCACTAATTCATGAAAAGTTCGAACAATTTCATAAAACTCTGAGTCATTTCTAAATTTTTGTTTTTCTACTTCAGTCATTTAATTTATTTATAATGTGGAACCTTATTTATTCTAATCCAATATGTTTCAAAAAAAAAATAGCATAAGTATACTTTTTAAATTGATTATTTAAAGGAGCAATTGATGCACTTAAATAAAATTTAAAATTCTAAGCCACTTATAAATAATTCATAACCATGGAAACCAGGACATTCAATATCAAGATTAGTCAATAAATATACAAATAGTATATATTTAAACTTATTGTTTTAGCAAATGATAAAGAAATAATGGATAAAAATAGTAAATTACTAAGAAAAATGATGGAAATCTAATAGAGAAATAATACATTGAAATAATCACCAATGCATGGTTCATTAGAAGCATTAAGAAGAAGAGAACAAGTTAAGATAAGTTCAGAGAATTAAACTATATTAAAACGTTTACAATCAGCTAGTTCATCATACTCTAAAAAAACTTGGGTTAATGATATTGAAAGGGTTAAAAAATATAGAGATAATTTATAAAGAAGAACAAGTAAAAATATTAACTACTAATCAGGAACAAATGATGATTTCAATTTATTAGCAGCTTAAGAATAAGTTAAAAGAAACCTAACAAGTTAATCTTCCTCTAGAAGTATTTCCTTTTTATTATTTCTTAGAACTTAAAACAAGTTAAGGACCAAGAACTTAAACATATGAGTCATTAATTTGATATATAGATATTTATTCAAATAATTTTCAAGTTTCTTTTTTATGGAATAATAATTTAAAATATTTTCCTTATCCCATGTTTGTCAAAATCTCTTAAGTTTATTGTAAAGTATGTACAGAAGAATTACTATTTTAATTTCTGCTTTTAGTTAATTATCTTATTCTTATTGGAGAATCTCCTTTAAAAGAAAATATAGGAGTCTAAGAATTAGATTAAATAGAATCGACCAGAGGTGTTGATTGAATGGAAGGAAGCTATTTGATTAATTCAAATTTCTTTTATGTTTATTACTTATATTGTGACTACTTTACTTCTTCCATTTTCTCAAGAAATTATAACAATCTTGGATTTTATTCTCTCAATCTTTAATATAAAGTTTTTTTACTCTCTTTCTTAACTATTTTAGATTCTAATAAATTTAATAAAGCTTTCTCTCTTTCGCTTTAAAATTCTTAAACATTTGGTTCAACAGAAGTATCAGTACTTTTTATTTTTAAATGTATAGATTTCAGATGCATTTTAGATCTACTTCTTTTACTTGATAAAGGAATACTTAAAGTAAGAATATTTTATTTAATTATTTCATCATATGAATTAATGCGATTCTAAATATTTTGATTAATCATAATCTTAAATTGTTAATCATAAATCATTAATTATTAAAATGATTATTTATTTATTTCCAATAAAGTTGATTCATTGCTTATGCATTATATTCTAAATTAACGCTACAACTTTTATACTATTTCAATTTCTCCAAAATAATCTCCTTAAGAGAGTAGAATAAGAGGAAAGTATTTCTTCTAATGTTAATACAATACTTAAAATTCTCCTTACATAACTATGTACCAACTATTAGCATCTTAATCAATATCAAATACTATTTAATGATTTATGTAATTTACTGTCTAACTCTTCTAACATATCTATTCAATAAAACTATATTAATTATTTCTTATACCTTATAGATAATTGTGAAAAAAATGGATATTATAGTAATTCATTTAATAATGACATTGTTATATTTTTCTTTTTTACAATCTTATAGAAATTGTCTTTTGTTACATAACAAATAAGAGATGCTTTCAATGCTGAAAACCAGTATTTGCAAGCTTAACGAGTTAGAAAATATATTTCACCAATTGCACTCTTCTCTTACACAACTTCATAATTTTTATCCCTTTTTGTTTAATGTTTTCCTACTAATCCATACATAAATAAGTATAATGAATTCACAGGTCTTCCTTATTCTAAAATAATCTCATCTTATTGAAATATCTTAAATTAGACTAAAGATGCTAATTTCTTCATAAAACCTTGTCCTTAAGTCTAATCAAATTATCTGAGAAAAGAAACTTCCTATAGATATTTACATATCAGTTCAGGTATTCTATCCTAGGCTGATAATAATTGCACTAATATTTATTATTCTTATTACATAAAATTTTTGCAAAATTATATTCTGCTAGATGGAAATAAAGTTCTAAAATATTAAATATACCAATAGATCATAAATTTAAAAGATATTATTACAAAAATATAAAGAATCTAATATATAGAATCAAAAAAACATTATTTTTTGAGAATCTAAAGAAAATCTTTAAAAAAAAACATAAAATAACGATTAAATTTGCTTGAATATATAATAATGAAAAAGATATCTATATAGATAATCAAATGTAATTTAATTTATTAATATTGATATTTCAAATTGAAAATTTATCAACAAAAAATATGTAATCATATTAACACTTTAATTCTGGATATGTTAAACATTTAACTAATTAATTTCAAAGATTAAAAATATTCTTCCTAAGAGTCTTCTTTTATTTTTAAATAAAACAATTCAAAATCTAAAGGATTTGAAGATGTCTAAATTTTATTTTAGATCTGATTTATAATTAATTAATCATTACTTTATTTTTAAGTTGATTTGGAATATTTTATAGATTGACTTTGTTAATTGATATTAGACCATCATAATCTGTATCTAAGAGGGAAAAAAGCTTTTTGATAATAACTTTATCAGTAGGAAGGTCATCATCATGAATATATTCATTAGATTTTGATATATTTAAGTTCTGTTAATTTGATTTCAATCTTTAGGGGCTTGAAGTTTTTAATTTTTATTATAATTCTAGATGATTCTACTTTAAATTTCTTAAATATTTATTATCTTATTATACATCCTAAAATATTAATTAAGTTACATACGTGATGATCATCATTTCATCATATGCTTTCATTAATTTTATTATGCTATTAGAGATAATTGGTATCAATTTTGGTTCTATATTATTTCTATAAACAAAAGATGCCGCTTCTTAATTTGGATCAGTATGTCTATAAAGTATTATTTTATCTGTTCGATTTTAACTTAAATCTATTGAAATCTGTATTAAGGGATACTGATACCCTTTTTACATTTAATTTCTGTTATTCATATTATTAAATTTAATGTTGCGATTTGTGGTAAAATATGGATTTCATGAAAAGACCTTTATCAATAGTTTTTTGTCAGCGTCTGTAAAATCACAATTACATTTAGAATTAAAAGAAAATATCAATTAGGTTTAAAATTTAAATACTTTGATTGGTGTAATTGATACATCATACAAAACAAATTAAATAATCCCATTAGATTTATTGAAATTAGTTTTATAAAGATCTACAGAATTAGTTTAAGTTGAAAGCAATTTAGAATATTTAAAAGGTCTTTTATTAACACTTTCAATAAACAGAATAGAAAATAGATAATTAAATTAGACAATTCTTGATGTTGTAATGTAGAATTATTAAAAGTTATCTGATGAGCATTTAATAACAATTACAGAAACAATCATATATAATAAGCTTAATTAAAAATATAAAATCAAAGATATTTAGATATTGTTTGAATAAATGGCAATTAATTTATAAAACAGTGATTCTCAATTATATAATCAATAAATATTACTATAATTACCAAAACTCATAAATTTATCATAGCATATTAGACATAATAAATTAATTCATGAGATATTGGCAACAGTTTATGGTTTATTGCATTAATTAAAATAATTCTACAATTAAGAATTAAATGCAGAATACTTAAGTTTATCTTTATAAATGTGCCAAATTATGGATACTTTAGAAATATTATTTTAAAATCCTTTAATAGTAAGTGCTTAAAAGAAATAATAAAAAAAATTATAGTAATAATTTATGGATTTGATTAATCAATCATTCACAGAAAAAAATATGATAGAAACATAATTTTCAGTATAACATATTAATTCAATCCTTAATTTTGTAAAGAAATATCCTAAATCTCCACCAATCTCAATTCCAACTTAAATTCATAATTTAATAGGGAATATTTATATAAGTTTAATAAACGAATATACTACAAATCAAAAATAAAAAATTTTAAAAACTTTGGTTGATTACAATAGTTTAGCATATTTCTTGACTAAAACAAGCAAAAATTTTTATTTATAAGATTAGGATTATAAGGTTATTCATCATTTAGTAGAAACAGAAAGTAATCTTTTCATTTTAGCAAAGACTCTTGAAACAATATCAACAAATGTTTAAAATCATAATGATTTACATCATAATCCAAATAATCGAAATCATTAACATCATCATCATGATCATCCAAAATTAAGAGATTCAGTATTACAATTAATTGAATCTAAAATAAGACAATTAATGTAAAATCATCTAAATCCAAGTGATTCATTAGTTATTGCATTTTAATCTTTAGTAAAAATAGAAGATTATACACCTAAACTAGCAGCACTTTTAGAATATTTTGCTTATGGTTAAGTATTAAATTAATTAAAATGGATAGATTTTATTGTTAAATTTATTCCAAGTTTAGGAATTCTTAGTAAAAGATTAACTTAATAATTTTATATGTCTGTTTAATAAAATAATAGTGATTAATTTAAATAATTGTCAGATGTTTGGGGAAAAGTCTTAACAGTTTTAATGAAAAAGATTGATTAATTAGAACCAAACAAAATTCCTATTATTCTATTTTATTTGAGTTAAGCAAGCAAACTTGATTTAAAAGATGTTTCCACTTTATTGCATATTATTAAAAAATCAACAGACTTTTCAAAATTTAATATTTAATAAATTTGTGAGATATTTTATTCCTTTAGTAGATTAAATTATTAAGATACATAATTTTATTTTGATCTCATTAATAAATTAGTTGATAAAGAAATGACTATGGATTAAGTAATTTTAGTTTATTCAGGATTAATTATAAATAAATTATATAATTAAACTTTTATTAGTTAATTGTAGGATCAGCTAAAAATTAAAGATTTTAATGAAAAAAATATGTTGAGTTATCTACAATCATTATTAACATTGTAATTTCAACCAAAATCAACAATTATGGACTCAATAACAACATAATTTTATAAATCAAAAAACTCAGAATTTATTGTAGGATGTGCAACTTCTTTATTATAATATCATTATGATTAAAAAATATTAGAGTATTATAATAATTTCTTAAAAAATTAGAATGAACTTTATATTAAATCTCCATTCTATGCACATCAATTGCATGTTTTATTTATGAAATTGAAACATGTAGATTAGGTTAATTAAGATTTCCTTTAAGATATAATTAAAGTACTCTAAGAATCAAAAATAAGTCTAGCTAAATACCATTTATAAATGAAATAAATAACAAGAAGTTAAATGGAATTAGAAATAATCGATTAATTCAAAAATATTTTAGATTTTGAAAAATTAGAGAAATAAGCCTAATTAAATGAATATAAATTTGCTGATTAATATGATCCAATAGAAATTCCTAAAATTGAAAATTTAATACCCTATTAAATAGATTTTAAAGTAGGTGATTACTGTTTTGAAATAAATGGACCAAAACATTATTTATAAATTTGGCCAGAATAATAATTTAAATTAGATGGATGGACTATGAAGAAAAAATAACTTTTAGAGAGCATAGGTTTTAAATATATTGAAATAAATCATGAATAGTATAGACAGAAGGGATTTGAATACTTGAAATAATTTTAATCTATTTGAATTCTCGAGTGTGAATTTTATATCTATATTAATAAATAAATATTTACATAATTTTATGATCTTAATACAAATAAATTTTACTTAACTTTTTATCTTTAACTGTTCTTTTAGATATTTAAAATATCAATTAATTTATATTAGACTCAAATTCAAATAAATTTTTTATCTAGGGTATAAATTTATTATTTTAACCTTGTTACAATTCCATGTACTCAAATATTTCCTCTTAGAAATAAGTATTTGAAATTGATTTTTTTTATCATCGCATCATCACAATTTTACAAAACCATACATTCTAAACTATGAAAAAGTTTATCATTTAGATTTATTTATAATTTAAACTTAATATAAGGTTTAAAAAAACTTTTTAAATTTTTATTATATTTTAAATTAATAAAGTTGAAAAAAAATATTTATAAAATTGACATCATTAAATAAAATTTAACAAATTTTCTGTCTCATAATGCGAGTTTATCTTTTAAATTATTTTTTTCAAAGATTAGATTACTTCCTCGATAGTAAAGCGAAGAAAATACTTTTCTAATAAACCTATTATTTAGATATTAAAGTACATGAAACTAATAAGTTATAAATATTCTCCATAATATCAAAATGACCGCTACTAAATATTTTTTCTTTAAATAATTCTAAACTAAAATTTTTAAGTTCCTACTTAGAAATTTCAAATAAGAATTATAACATTAACATTCCAAATTAATATATATCAGTTTTTGTGATAGGATACTTTAATTTTTTATTTTTTAACTCAGGAGGAGTGTATTCGTGAAAATTTAAATATGTATATGAACTTTATATTGTTTCAGAATATGCTTTCTCAAGATGACTTATTATTGGGATTGTGCGGTTATTAGGGGTGATATAAATAGATTATAAATTTATATATGAATGAATTATTCCACTTTGATGAATGAAATGAATCCCTTAAGCAATACTTAATAAAGCTAGTAGTTTTGTTTATAATGATATTTTAAAAGAATTTTCTATTAAATATTTCTCCAACGAATAATATTAATTTTTCATATAGTAAAAATCATTATCTTTATTATTTTCATAAAAATAAACTTATACATATTGACTAAATGTACAGACTGAAGGATTACTATTTATTTAAAGTTAAAATCTATAAATCTTTAAAATTTTTACCCTATTTTTTTTAGATTAGTCTTCTCTACTTCTTTTTTTAAGTACTCAGCCTTATATAATTTTAATTCAATTAGGTTACCATCTAAATGTTTTAATATAATAACCAAAGAAAAATAATTCTTATTAATCAATTTTAAATTATTAATTTAAATTTCATTAATCTAATTAAATAAGCTTTTATTCTAATGATTAATATAAAAATCATTTTAATTTATTTAAATAGATTATTCTTGAAATGGTAGTTTAGAGTAAAGTCTTAATTTATTTTAAATAAAGAATAGATGCTTTTTGAAATCATTAACCATGATTTTTTTTTTTGATAAGCGTATTAAAGAAGCAAACATCTTTTTTTCATTTTTTAAAGTAGAAATAAAAATTATAAGTTTATAACATAATTTTCCGCTTTACATATTTAAATAAAATTATCCTTTCTAACACTGATGATTTACTTTATTAATAAATTTAAGTTACATGATTTTTAATATCTAAATTTAAATAAATTTTACCTAACTTTGTATTTTAAAATTTTCTTTTAAATCTTTTGAAAGTTCAGCCTGCAATTAGAAATTTTTTCCATTTTTAAACGAAAATCTTAAAATCCATGACCCTGTTTAAAAATCAGTCATTTCAGTCTATTCTAAAACATCGTTTTCAGATTTATAAGAAATTAATTATTTAATTGCTAATAATTCCTCTTGATTTTAATGTTTTATCATTAAAAAAATATAATTATTATCATAATTTGATAAAATTTTTTGATTATTTGAATCCCAATTTAAATGAAGAAAACAATAATATTTAATTTCTATCAAATAAAATGAGCTTCAAATTGATATATTTTTTTCATATTAATATATTTTCATAATTGATATATCAATTTTAAATAATTAAATTGTTCTCTTCTTGTGTAATTTTATTATTTTAGCCTTTTAATACATCATTAGCTTATAATATATTTTCTTAAATTTTTGAAGAATTACATTGATTTTTTGCTTATTCACATTCAAAAGATGGTATTTTATCAACAACATCTAACTTCTTTTTTTGTTTTCCAATATTAGCTAAACAAAAATGAATCTAAATAATTTTTATTAAAACATCCTAATAATCTTTAAATTAAGACCATTAATTTTGTATACTTAATTTATCTGATTGTTTATCTTGTTCGATAATTAATTTAGAATCATTTAAATGAATATTTTATAGTATATCTGTTGGGCAAATTCAATTTATAATTTAACATTTCATCAACTTCATTTTGAAATCTATTAATGTTTATTTTATTCATTTCATTATCATCTAATACCAAAACCTTTTTTAATTAATCTATAAAATCTTTCAATTATAGATAATAATTTTTATATTACAGTGTTTTTAATTTAGAAATTAGATTATTTTTTATTCAAAGTAAAAAATAAATATTTAATTAATAATATATTATTGAACATATTTGCCAAAACTTCGCTAATGGTTGGATATTAATTTCTTACATAATAAATAGTTTCATCTATTTGTTTATAAGCAGTACCAATCACATTTGTTGTATTAAATTCATCCATAAATAACTAGTTCAGATATTTTGTTGTATAAGTGTAAGTTTAAGAATTGAACATTTTATTTACTATAAATTCTTCATTTGAATTAATTCATAATTAGGGAAAATTTACAATTCAGTGCTTAAAATTGTATCTATTGATAAATTTATAGAGGAATAATAATCTTTATATTATTAAGTTGAAAAGTTGAAAAATCTAATTCTTTCTTATATCAATTTATAGTTGATATTTGCACTTTAATTAAAGAATTCATCACTAGCTTCTTAACTAGCATATTTTTGATATTCCATTAAATAAAACTCATTCCCAAAGCATTTCACAAATTTTAATCTAAAAGCATTAAAAATTAAATAATCTAAATTAGTTGTTTAAAATTTTAAATCTTCTTCCCTATCAATTTCCAATACACACATTTATTCTTCAGATATGATATATATTAATAAAGTTATAATCATATTTTCACTATCAAATGCATTTATTTCACTATCGAATTCTATTTCAAATGTCTAAATAGGATTCCTATTTTTAAAAAGCTTTTCTAATATGCTTTCCAAAGTAATTATTTTTATTATGATGATAAATTGTAAATCATTTCTCTTGATTCCCATGAAATAAATTAATTTGCAGAGTATACCAAGATGAGTTTTAATTTTATTATAGTTGCTATACCTCCAAATAAAGATTTTAAAATTATCTTTTACTCACATAATCTAAATGAATGGTTGAAAGCAACAAAGAATCCAACATAATTATCTTCAAAAAGTTATTCATTAATTTTATTTTTTTAACTCAAAATAATTTTTTTTTTATTATAATAAATTTTTTTCCATAAATCATACAAAAAAAGTATAAGAAATAGAAATCAAAATTCTTTTGAATAAAAAGAATTGATACTATTATAATGACTTAATTAAAAAACTACATATAAATATCCTTTTTCACAATAATTACAAATTTATTTTAAATTTTTATTGTAAAAATAAGAAGTTTCAATTAAGATGTCTTAATATTTATGCTATTTTTTTATTTGCGTGTAATTAATTTAATAAACATAATTTTTAAGAATTATTTCAATTTTTTTTTAAATTTTTCTGGTCAGCTCAATATAAATAATTCATGAAAGGTAATAAATTAGTTAGAAATTTACTTATTTATGAATGATGTTTGGATTTAATAATGAATTAATGTTTTAAAATAAATTCTAACAAAAAGTAATATTTCTAATAAGAAATATTTGTATTAATTAACTCAAAATGAATTAAATTTTTTCAATTTTTAATGCAATAATTACATAAACTCTAATTTTAGCGCAAGCAATAAAAATAAGATTATTTAAGTGAGTAAAATTCAATTATAAAATTAAATAATGGATAAATACTAAATATCTATCACAGGACGATTTATGTATGAAAAACATGAGCAAAATTTCAGATAGTCAAAATTTAGTGGTATTTATTTATTTCCAGGATTAATTATTTTGAAGTTAGCATTTTTTAGTAATATTATAACAATTTTAAGTGTTATAATAGCAGCTTATTTTTATTACAGAAACAAGCATAAATGGATATTTTTAATCTAAATTATATTATATTTGGCATAATAAGTTGAAATAAAAAAGGATTGCATTTATTCACATATTTTTACATGCATTACTAATATGATTTTAGTGCCTTATTGGCNGTTGCTATACCTCCAAATAAAGATTTTAAAATTATCTTTTACTCACATAATCTAAATGAATGGTTGAAAGCAACAAAGAATCCAACATAATTATCTTCAAAAAGTTATTCATTAATTTTATTTTTTTAACTCAAAATAATTTTTTTTTTATTATAATAAATTTTTTTCCATAAATCATACAAAAAAAGTATAAGAAATAGAAATCAAAATTCTTTTGAATAAAAAGAATTGATACTATTATAATGACTTAATTAAAAAACTACATATAAATATCCTTTTTCACAATAATTACAAATTTATTTTAAATTTTTATTGTAAAAATAAGAAGTTTCAATTAAGATGTCTTAATATTTATGCTATTTTTTTATTTGCGTGTAATTAATTTAATAAACATAATTTTTAAGAATTATTTCAATTTTTTTTTAAATTTTTCTGGTCAGCTCAATATAAATAATTCATGAAAGGTAATAAATTAGTTAGAAATTTACTTATTTATGAATGATGTTTGGATTTAATAATGAATTAATGTTTTAAAATAAATTCTAACAAAAAGTAATATTTCTAATAAGAAATATTTGTATTAATTAACTCAAAATGAATTAAATTTTTTCAATTTTTAATGCAATAATTACATAAACTCTAATTTTAGCGCAAGCAATAAAAATAAGATTATTTAAGTGAGTAAAATTCAATTATAAAATTAAATAATGGATAAATACTAAATATCTATCACAGGACGATTTATGTATGAAAAACATGAGCAAAATTTCAGATAGTCAAAATTTAGTGGTATTTATTTATTTCCAGGATTAATTATTTTGAAGTTAGCATTTTTTAGTAATATTATAACAATTTTAAGTGTTATAATAGCAGCTTATTTTTATTACAGAAACAAGCATAAATGGATATTTTTAATCTAAATTATATTATATTTGGCATAATAAGTTGAAATAAAAAAGGATTGCATTTATTCACATATTTTTACATGCATTACTAATATGATTTTAGTGCCTTATTGGCCAATGTAAGTAATATTTTAAATTGGAATTATAAGATAATTGAATCATATATATTTATTTTTTTTTTTTGCTGCACTTTTAAGAGCTATTGAAATTTTAAAGAGATTTCTTTATTTGAAAATATGCAATATCAACTCTCATCAATATGAATAAGATAGTATTTTTGTAAATTTGCCTCATCACATCTTATATTTGGATGAAAATTTTAATGAATTATTTTCAAATAAGTCAATGAAGTTTAATAAAGAATCGTAAAATTTAATAAGCGATTATATAAAAAGAAAATATTATGGGATAGTTTAATTGGAGAATTAAATAAAGGAAATAATAGAATATTATATAAAACCATGGTAAGGAAACTTTATTTTGGTTTAATCGTATTTCTCTAGCGAAGATAATAATTTTTTTAATAAAATATATGAATAAATAAATAAGTTATATGTACAATTAAATTAAGATTATACGAAATGGAATAACTTAAGAGCATTTCAAATGATAAAAGAATCTGATTTAAGTGTTTTAGGATAATGTTTATCAGAGTGTTTACACTTAGAACATTAAGTAAGATCTTTAGTGAAAATTTAATAAAAAGAGATATCATAATTTTATTTAAAAGTTACAATTTGCAATATAATAGAATCAATGGTTCTAAGATTATATGATCATTTTAATATTATTAATTTAAACTTTGAAAGTGGAATACCTGAGATAATAGCAGGTGATAAGAAACTTTTAATATTTTTATTTTAGACTTTATTAACTTCAACATAATTTTGTGATAAATAAAAAGGTTAAATTTCTATTAAATGTATCATTTCATAAATAAATTCAGATAAAGCAGGATATGATCTTGAATTTACATTTAATTTTACATGTACACCTTCTGTTATAAAATTATATTCTTAAGTTTTTGGATTAAATGAAACAAAATTAACTCCTAAAGAAGAATGGCTTATTCATTGTTTAAAAATATGTAAATAATTAATGAAACAGAATTAGAATAAATTCAATTTTTAAACAGATGGTGATAATGTTATTATTACATTCACATTTTTGAGTTTAATATCTAGCAATAAATTAGAATAAATATCATAATTTACTGATCTTACATTTTCTAGAAGTATGTTAGATGATTGTCATTATTAATGGAAAGAAAAAGTACAAATTTTACCAACCAAATTTATTTTGGATACACAATCTAGAAAAAGTTTAACAGTAATTAATGAATAGCAAATAGAATCATCCTATTAAAAGGTTTCTATAACTTTTCCTGATATTAGAGATGAATTGATTATAATTTTAGAAACTGCATTAGAAGATGCAAAAGATAAAGGACTTTTAGATAAAGTTCATTTTGATGATTAAGATAATAATGTTAAATGTGCCATTAGTGTAATTATTTTATAATATATTAGGAATATGCAGATAGCATAGCAAATTCACCTCCAGCTTTTATTACACCATAAGTCAAGGCAAGAAAATTACAAGATTTAGCAAAAGAGAAATTTAAGAATCTTTTGAAAGAAGCCAAAAAACCTAAAAAGAAGAAAAAACTTTCTAAAAAAGATTACAGAGTAGTATTCCCAAGAAGAAATGATACAACTTTTGATCCTTAAAATAGTTGTAGTAAATTGAATTTTCATAACTCAATCTTAATAAATAGAAGTAATAGAGCTTATATCAAATGGACTCATAGATGTAATGTAAATATGCCTCCTAAAACAATTCATTAAATATTATGTTACATTCCAGATATTAAATTATCAAAAGATATTATTAAAAATTTTGGAAATTCAACTTATGATAAAATAGAGATTAAAGATCCAATAATAGTATTAGATATTGCTGATGTTATAAGAATTTATAAAAAATATTTATAATAAGGTAAATAATTCTATTACATAATGTTATTTATCAAGAAACCTTAAGAAATTGCTGATTTTGCAGACATAGTTTAAAAAAATGAATAAGATTTGCTTTAATAATATCAAAAATATTAATAAACTTATTTAATAGGAATTACTGAATAAACATTGAAACCTTCTCTCTATGCTTACTTAGAATATATAATTCCATTTCGGCAATGGAGTACTGATATTAAATAAATTAAAGCATTGATTGCCAAACAAAGAGAAATTAATTGATAAAATTAATATTATTAATAAATTATGCACATATTTCTTTATAAGAAGATTTGAATCACCTATATCACATTTTCTTGCTTATTTCTTTAATAGTTTAATACTGAATTTGTATCCCCTTCAAGAATCTACTCAATTATTTTCTTCTCTAAATCGATAAATAAGAATAAATAAATTTTTGGTTCATTTAACCATTTTTATATCCTATTTTTTTTATAATATAATATAATCTGCTGCTTTTTAATAAAGTTTTTAAATTCTGATTCACTCTTTCTCATGATTTAATATTAAGTATTTGTTTTCTAGGTTCTTAAACATATAACCTAAACTTAATGATTACTTAGATAAGAAAATTTATAAAAAAATTAAATCTATCATATTTAATATTTTTATTCTACTTAATATCCCTGAAAATTAAATTTAAATTTGTAATAGAATTATTATAACTTAGAAAAAAATTAAAATTCATTTTATTGTTTCTAAATCATCATCTTCTAGTATTTCATTAATTTTATTAGCTCAATATAAATAAAAAAATTTACTTTCCAACATATATTGAACAAGTAATTCATTTTCTTTTATTAAATCCATAGCTTTTTCATATGATTTTCCTGTGGCATTTAATAACCTGATAGCATCTTCATCATTTGAATTTGGAAAATTCTAATGTAAAAGTTCTCTTATTTTTAAAACTAAATAATAGAATAAATTTAACATACGTTTTTCTTCATTTTTTGTGTAAACTTTTATCAATTGTGTTTTAACACTAGATTGGTTAAATAAATATTATTATCGCTACTTTCCAATCAAAATTTATTTCTACCCTTTTAAACAATATTTTTTAGGTTATTTTTTAGACTTTAGTATTTTTTTTTTTAATTTAAATGGTTATAAACTTTCATTTCTATTTAATATTTTTGATTGTTGAGATTTTAAACATTTTTAGACCCTTTCTTATTATAAAGGGGATTCAAAAGAATCATTCTGATATATTCCTCCTTATAATTCTAATTAATCAAGGTCTAAAATTCTCTTTTATCCTTTTTTTTATAAAGCCGCTGGTATGACTTTTGAAAGTTATTCTTTCTATTTTATTATAGGTTATTCTTCATCACTAGAAATTATTATAGTTTCGATTTTTTGTTAATAATTTTATATTCCTTGGTTAGCTTAAGATTTTAATTATCTTTAAAGCAAGTAAAACATGGAAAGTTAATCAAAATAAGATTGCAAAAATGGCGAAGCATTATATGCATAATTTGTCATGAAATTAGAATTTTAGTTTTGATGGTTAAACGGATTCATTTTTTGTTTTCTATATTTAATATTGTTTAATTATCGTATATTAACCTGATTTAAATTGAAATAGATGATAGAAATTTAATTTATGGAAAGAGATGCTTTGATGCTGTCATTTATAAAAAAAATTGTCAAATTTATAATGATATCATTTAATTATGTAACCAAAATATTTTATTTTCAATTGCAAATATTTATTTTGAAATATAATGTATTTTCATATTTTTCTGTATAATTTGATTAATGATTAAATAATTCTAAAACTTTTAATTTTTATTAATTTTATTATTATTCATATTTTTATTAATAAATTTACACATGCCAAGTTAATGAAACATAAATCATAAATTTATCTTCTAACTTTAATAATAAAATAAGAATACATTCTTAAACATCTGTCTATTACATATAATTAATTGCTGTCTAAACTTAACTTTCAATCTCAAGTTTCTATTATCTTATCTTAAACTTTAGATCTTATTCTTTTTATTTAAAATTTTTAATTCATTTTTTGTGATTAAGATTTATTTAAATAAGGAATAAATTTTTATTCAATTTCATCCATTTGTTTTTCCTTTTATCATTTTCTTCTTAAAATAAAAATTTTTAATTAAATAAGAGAGTCAGAAAGATTTTGATTTTCTTAATTATAATTATTTAATGATTGTCTGATTTTATTGAGTCTTTTTCTCAAAATTTGTAAATATATTATTTTATTTTAACTTAATTTATTTAATCTGAATTTCTTATAGCAGTTAGTTTATTTTCTGTTCATTTAGATTAAGCTTATAATTTTTTATTGATTAATTAGATTTAATTCTTATGAAATTTAAGATATTTTCTTTGAATAATTTTCTTGAATTTGTCATTTTTATCTGAAGTATCCATTTATCTTTGAAGATCATTGGTTTTATTTTATAATTTTTCTCCTTTAAATCTATATTCTTTAATTTTTAATTTTTTATCATAGATATATTTATTTTAATTATAATTTCTTATTTGATTAATTTTATTAAAGTTAAATATAAATGTTTAGGATTCTTTTCAATTTATGAGATAATTTTGGGTTTTATCTTTTTGATATTATAATTACTTAGATAATTATTCTATTAACATTATATTATTATTTATCAATCAATTAAAATATCTAATCCATCCATTCTTCTAGGTAATTTCATTTTAAGTTACTTTTTCTCATCCTCAAATTAAATATTTTTTTTCTTCTTAGTTTTTTCTATTAAATAATAATTTAACAGATACATTTCATTTAAAAATCTTCACATAATTTTTCTCACGTTCTCATTCTTTACTAAAATTTAGACCCTACCCTTTATATTTATCTTATAATTATTTAATCTACTTCTTTAATAGTTAAATCATTTCTTATTTGATTGAATATGTTAGTGAAACATATAGAATAATTATTTTATCTTAACTTTCACATTTTAATCTAAAATCTTTTAATTAAGCTCTACTTTTGTTTTGGAATCTAAAAGAGTTTTTAATTTAAATTCTAGTAATATAATATTTCACTCTCTCTAACTTAATTTTCCTTCTTATTGCTTATTTACTAAAATATAATTTTAAAATGTCATCTAATTTTCACTTTAAATTTTTTATATGATATCAATAATCTTTCTTATTTTTCGTTATTTTGATTCTCTTTTGCAATAAAAGTTTCCCTTAATCTATAATTTTTTCAATTAAGTGATTTTTTTTTCTATAGAATAACTATTTCTAAAATCTTTTAAGAATCTATATATTATTCGTCATTTATATTTGCTTGCTTGATCTTGACCTAGTATGATAAATCATAATTAGAGAATTTTATGATTTTTGGTTATATCATTAAATCTATTTTCTTGTTTTACTCTATTTTATTTGTTTACATTTTTTTCAAACAATTATCCACTAAAATAAAAATATATAATTGTATATATAAAAAGCATTGATAGACATCGTTTTCTTATACTTTATGCATTTGATCAATAAAAATATTATTATTAATACTAATTTATAGTGAAATTAATAAAAAATAAAAATAAATTAGGAAAATCTAAATTATGATAATAAACATAAGTTCAAACACACATCGTGAAATAAAAGTTGATATAATCTAAAAAATAATTAAACCTTTTCTTAAAAAAGGAAAGAATTCATTATTATATAAATATATCAATTTATAAATAAATTAATGAATAAGACTTCTCATTTGGATGAAATTATTAGTAAAATACATAGACAATCATTAAAAAACTTACATCATTCAAGTCCTAACCTCTCAATAACAAAAACCAACAACTACCATTATTAATAATTGCATAAAAGATTAATGAGTTCCGTATGTTAAGAATAATATTCCCCAACTTAAAAGAGTGTTGTTTCTACATTAAAAGAGAAATTAGGAAAGCGTATTAGATAATATAATACATGTGAAGATGCTTCTAGCTTTCAGGATTTAAAAAACATGTAAGCATAATACTAGAATAAGTAAAGTGCTTGAATCATGCTTAACCACTGAATGCGCCAATTGTAGAGAATTGACATTTACATCATTCCTTCGTATACTTGAACGTATGGAACAACTAGAGTAACCATTCAAAATAGTTCTTTTTGCCGAACTGAAAAAAACTTTCTTACTGTTGGCAAACAAAATACAATCTGACATAGATACTCTTTCCTAACATATTTTAAATCTTAATTCTGTTATGCAAATAAAAAATGAAGAAATTTTGAAGTTAAAACATTCTTTGTAATAGACATAAAAATCTAGATATGAAGATTTCCATCAAATTGTAAATACTTTAAGATAAAAGAAGAAAGATTAATATAAAATTATTGGTATTCATAAATCATTGGCTCATCAGGATAATGTCGAAACTTGTAAATTAAAACATGATATAAATGAACCTGTTGATGAAGAAGAATTAAAATTTAGTTCTGAAGAAGATTCTTTTCCTTTTGGTAAAGTAAATCAAATAAATATTAGTTGATCCTTCCACTTTGAATTAACCTATTTATAAGAAAGGAATATCATTAAATCTTAAGCCAGTTAAAAAAAAAGCTCCAAAAGGGTATTAAGATGAATTTATGGCCCAAATGAATGAATTCAGTGAAAGTTGGAGATAACAAGCTTTAGTAGAAAAAAGGTTTTGATATATTCTAAATATAGCTTCAATTAATTATGTATAACAATTTTTATTTATCTTTTGAAAGTAACTTAATTTTAAGAATAAAAAACAAAATAACAATGTAAATTTTTATCCTTTCCTTCTGAATTTCTTATTAAAATTTAAATTTTATACTTTAAAGATTGTTTAAAAGGTTCTTTTTGATATTCTTAATAATCAAGATATTTTTAAATTTTATTAGATACTTTTTTGAAATTATTTATATGTTTAAATGTAACACCTTTGGAATGTAAAAATTGATATCAGAAAATTTAGAAAGCTATCAATTCATTCGATCTTATTTTCAATAATTTATAATATAATTCGGTTTATATTGGAAGAGAAATTTTATCAGAATGATAAATAGAATGAATAAAAAATTAATATATCAATTAATTTAAGTTCTTCTTATTCACAAAATCATAAAGAGTGTTTTGCAAATTTTTTTTTTTTAATAATATTATCATTTAAAATTCATGATATTAATACTAAATTCTAATTTGGGAAATTTCATTGTCTCGAAAAGTAATACAAGTTAAACAGAGCTATTACAAACTGGAATTAATTGTAGTACCATATTGAATAAGAAGTAAAATTCTCCCAAAAATAAGTGATAAATCAAAGTTAAATTTAAAATTAAATAGGTTTAATTAATAAAAATATATACAAATGGAGGAGGATATTTTTTAATTAATTCAATAACAAGAATAGCAGATTACTTAAAGGAATTTAAGAATTTAAAATTTTAAGATTATTTTAAAAAGTATTGCTATTTTTATATAAGAGTAAGATGTACTTTAATATTTTGTAGAAATAATTTTAAAAAATGATTAATAATTAAAAATTTTTGAACTTCACATTTATTGAAGACAGCTTATAATAGTCTATAGAAATTAAAAAGGAATAAGTTTAACCAAAGCAGTTATATGAAGTAATTTCGAATTTTATTTACTTAAACATTTTTAATGATCAATTTGACCATGTAAAAGGATATAAATAATTTCAGCGATAATAATAACAAGAATAATACTGTTTATATTCTATAGTAATTTCTAAATTACACTAATCAATCTGATTTTCAGTATTAATGGGATGGAAAATTAATAATAATTTTGGCACAATTTAGTTTGTTTTACTTCAAAGATTGATATCATTCAATAAAATATTAAAAAGGGTTAAATGATACTTTCAAAATGTTATTTAACTAAAAAGATCAGATTTAAAAAAGTTTCTGGAAACTTTAAACTCTATGTAAAGTTATGCGGTGTAAAAGTTTCTATTTTAAATTAATTAAAAAAAATTATATAATTGAGTATATTCTATTAGAACAAGATAAAAATGGGATTGAAATTCATTATTAGAAATATTTTATTTTTAAAATATTGGTACCATAATATTGATAGAGAACTAAGTATTTGATTTAATAAAATAATTAATATCTATTTTAATAAATAAGAAATAAAGTACATTTATATTTTTTTTTTAAATTTTAAATTTAAAAAGATTAATCGTATTATTGCTCTTGGTAGTAGTATATTTGGTATTTTTTTACATATTTTATCATTAAATTAATTAATACATGATATCAAATAATTCAAGCCTAATTTGTATAGAAAAGGATTGCAAGTTAAATAGAGTAATCACTAATTGGAATGATTTATAGATACATTATCAAAACAAGCATAAAGTTTATCCTTTAGATAAATTTGAAAAAAAAGTTCATTTAAAACTAAATCAATTCAATTAGAAATTTAGAAAGTAGATAGAGGAAAATATTTCTTAATTAATTGCACAATAAGAATAAGAAATTATTGAAAGAGTTAAGACATTATATTAGGATTTCGAAAAGTAAAATAATTGAATGGATTTTTTTTTAGAATTTGTTACAAAATTTTACACGAATAAACTAATGTGAATGAAAAATTAGAAGGATTATTTTCTAATAATTAATAAGAAAGTGTTTTACAAAAATATATTGATATTTATTATTCTTAAATACGATCACCTTAATAATATTAAGTGGAAAGGCTTTTAGATGAATTTCAGTATAAATTAAATGGAATAACAAATGATTTATTGCATTTTATTTATTAGGTAGAGCAGAGCTAAAATTTGGAAAGTTTGAATAATTTCCCCTAGAAAAATTAGGATTTTGAATATCAATCCCATTATTATTTCAATTAATAAATGAAGATGTAATAAAAGTAATATAATTATGAATATCCATAATAAGAAAATAATTTTGTTGCTTAATTATAGGAATAAGACGATTAAAATAATATTCCTTTAAGAAATTATAAGTATATACGAAATTAACAATAATATTATTCTTAAAAAGATTCATTATAATAATCACAATAATAGTAATTATCTAATTCTGCGATACCTTTAGAAGAATAATAATAAAAAAATTAGTATACTGCATATTTTCCTAAATCTGAGATGAATACTGATAATGACAGAATAAAATTTCAATTGCCATCAGAAACCATTTACAATTAAAAAAATAATAATTTAAAAGATAGATTGGATAATTTTGGGAGTCAAAAATAAATATAAAATGATACTCTAAATTAAATATAGGAAGATAATTAATATAAAATATAGGATGATAATTAAAATAAAATATAGGAAGATAATTAAAATAAAATATAGGAAGATAATTAAAATAAAATATAGGAAGATATTTAAAATAATGATTTAAATTAAAGTAAGTTGAAATCAAGATAGAATTAAGAGTATGAAATAAAATAGAATTTATAAAAGCAAAATCAATAAATAGGGGTAGATGAATATATAGTAAATGATGAAACAAAAGATAATAAGGCTTAGAAGAAAATTAATATAGTTGGCAAAAAGTTTGATATTACAAACTCAGATAAACATTTAAAATACTCATTAAGATTTACTTAATTTTCTTGTGTTTAATAAGGAGTTGCTTTGGTTGAAGGAGCTTTTACATTAAATGATAATGCAAAAGTAAAATTCAAATTAACAGAGAGATTTGATAAAGTGCTTGTAAAAATAATAATTATTATAGACAGCTTCATTTGGAATATAGAATGTAGACAATTAAGGAAAAAAGCTTGGTACTTTGAACTTTTTCATGGATTAATCTGGATGTATGTAATATAAATTATGTTTAGTGTTATTTAAAAATGAAAAGTAAAGGTAGGGATCATTAAAAATAGGATTAAATGAAGAATTAATATTGTCATATAGAGCTGAAAAAAGACTATTAATGTTCAGAAAATAAGAAACGGCGGTAAAATTTATTTTTCCCTTTAGGAATACCTTCATATAGAGGGGAGCATATCTGGATGTTTCAAATTTTATGTTAAGTTATATGGATTATAAGTTTAGATAATTAAATGAATATTATTTAAAAAAATTATTAATAATAATTAAGTAAAGTAATTTTGAAAATCTAAAAAATGGATGTTATTTTTGGAAATAATTATCATAAGTGAATAATTAAAGATAAACTTAACATTTTAAATGATTTAGAGATGTATCTAAATGATAATTTGAAGAAAATCAGAATTAAAAGAAAAGATATATATTTTAATTTTAAATGACTTAAAAAATGAACTGATAATAATTGCTTTGATTAAAACTAAATAAATTATAGTGATTATATTATTGAATTATAAAAATCATAACATGAAATGGCTTAAATATTTGAAAGCGAATATTGATGAAAAGATTTTGAAAGGGATGAATTGGTTTAGTAGTTAAAATGGAAAATTTATATATTTGTAAGTTTCTTCTAAAAGATTGAAAGCTTTAAGATAATTTTTTTACATAATATAAATTAAAAATAATAAGATGGGCACATGTTGTGCAAATACTACACAAGATAGAGAATCTTATACTGGAATAACAGCTCCTATAAATATAAATAATGAAAATTTAGAGATTGGGATGCAAACTAAAATAAAGGAATCTAATGAAACTCCAAGTTCACCAATTAGATCAGAGAAAGATGTATGGTTGAAGATTAAAATCTAGCACAGGAAGAGAACTATGGAAGCATAACGAGTTATAGAGGAGTGTTGATTAATAATACTAATGTATATATGCATTCTTTTAATAGGAAAGATTTTTGATGAATAAAGTTCACTTGCTATAAAGATATTTAACTCTTTAGGTAATAATAGTATAGAATTTAAGGTCCTTTTCCATTTGCAATAGTAAAAGATCAAACACTTACCTATGTAGGTCCAGTATAAATTGATGATGGGTATGTTTATAATAGTAATAAGAATGATTTACTAAGGATAATGGTATGATGGAAAGAGACATGGATTTGGGAAATAACTATATTCATTAGGATCAATATATGAAGGGGAATGGAATAATGATTAATAATAAGGATATGGAAGAATGGTTTTACCTAATGGAGATTTGTATAATATGAATATGAAATAAAAAGTTATGAAGGTTAATGGATTAATGATAAGGCTTGGGGGATTGGAAAATATGTTACTATTGATGGAACTTCATATAATGGAGATTGGGTTGAAGATAAACAACATGGAGTAATATATTAAATCATAATGAGAAAGGAATTGAATAATGGAATAATGGATAAAGATATTAGGGAACTTATAAATATGGATAAAAAACAGGTTATGGAATATTTGAATGGCCAGATGGTTCTAAATATGAAGGAGAATTACTGGATGGAATGCCTCATGGAAATGGAGAATATTGTTGGAAAGATGGAAAAAAAGTAATTGTTATATTCATTCATTAGTATAAAGGATAATGGATGTTTAATCAAATGAATGGATAAGGAATTTATACATGGCCTGATGGAAAGATTTATTAAGGAAATGTAATACTTATTCTATTTATTCTAGTTTGAAAAAGATTAAAGAAATGGATATGGACAATTAAATTGGACAGATGGAAGAATTTATAAAGGAAATTGGAAAAATGGAAAATAACATGGAGAAGGCATCTTCACTTATAATAATAAAATTAGAAAAGGTGTTTGGTAAAATGGATAACCTATCAAATGGGGATAGAGTGAAATATTATCATTATAATGAAATACTCAGTTGTTTTTAATTGATTTATTCTCCATTTAAATATTATTTCATAATTTATTTATTTAATATTTATATATTATTATTATATATTTATTTTTATACCTCAAATCTCTATTGAGGTAGTTAATCATATTTATATCAAAAAATAATATTAAAATTTTTTATAAAGTTAAACTTAAAATGAATAAAGAAAAAATTTATAAAAAACAAATTAACAATTACGATTATTTATCATTAATCATCATCTGTATATAAAGCTAATCTTGAGTTAGTAAATTTCATAGCATACAACCAATAAGATAAATGTTAAGTAACATAAACAGCATTTTTTAATTTTTCATCTGGACTTCCAAATATTCTAAAAGTTTTTTCAACATTGCCCAATTTAGGGAAATTCAATGGTAAAAATGACAAAATAAAATCATTTGTTATTAATAAGATGTGTTCACCATTTTATTCTTCACAATAAACTGCATTGATATTTTAGTCTTGTTACTAAATGTATCCATACCTTGTTTAACTAGAGATTAGGTTTTTTTATCAGTGTCTCCTTGCTGATATTATTCTTATTCATAATTTTATAGGGCTTAATAACCCGTTTCATTAAGTGCCATTGAAAATAATACAATAAAAGTGGCCATCTAAATAACAAAAATATAATACTTCTTTATATGCTTCTTCAGTTAATTGTGGACCTATAGCCACAAGAAAGTAGGCTAAGATTTTACTTATTTAAGTCTTTTTAATATTTTTGTCTTTGTCTATTTCTTCTTTATTAAGTGGATCCTGATCTGGATTTTTTATCTATTTAAATAATACCGCAATTTTTTACTCTTTCATTTGTAATATCTTTAATATTATTATAGATTGAGTTAAAATCATTAGAATTAGTAAAATAATCTTTAGGGAAGCTACTCAATAAATAGGATTATTTTTCTTCTTCTTTTTCATATTTAATAACCTAGTAAATTGATAATGAAGTATTACAGATCTAAAATTGCCGATGCTATCTAAAAAGAGAAGGACTTATTCAATAGTTTCATCTGGTTCATTATTACTAATTGATCTTTCATCATCTGATTTGCCTTCCTTAAGATCATTTTCATCTAACTTGAATAAATAAATTGATTAATACTCTTTTAGGTCTGCCTCTATTTGCTTTAGGATTCATATTATTAGGCTATGTAGTACCTTAAGGTGGACTTCCTTGATGTTTTTGCCTCCATATATAAGTTGCAATACTTCAAATGTGTATATAGTGCGGGATAACTTAAATAGCTCTTTCCACAACCACATGTATAATCCCTACTACTTTAATCATTCCTTCTCCTTCTAGCCCTTGCTTATACTGATGCATCATCTTTATTAGTCGAATTAACTGGATCCATTTTAACTTATTCTTATTAATGCTTTCATATTTATAAATAATTCCTTAATGAACAACACACCTAATTTATATTAAGCATAATAACCATTTTATGAGTTACTCTATTATCAATAAACTACTTAACCTATAAACATAATACAACCCAATGATTATATTGAATAGATATTAAAGCCTTCCTTAATATATATAAATAAACATATAAATCAATTTTTAAATTGAAGAGAAAATTACTACAAAAACAATGCAATTTTAGTATCTTCTTAATTAAGTTTAATTAGAATATGAAAAATTTAGGAAATTTGATGAATTAAAATAATAAATCCTCATTAAAGGATTCAAAATACTATAAGTAAAATGAGGAAATAATATATGATTTTATGATTAAGTTAAGACTCCAAAAATAATTTAACCTTTGAGTTTATTTAGAAATTTTAAATTGATAAGTAAAAAAATAAAAGAGAATATTTGTTTATCCAAAATTGAATTACATGAAACTTTGTTATCATGAAAATAGAATCTACAAAGGTTAGAAGTTTTATCAAAAAAAGAGAATCAAACAACTTTTCTACCTCAATTCCTTAATGAATAAGTTAATGTTTGATTAAATAGACTATATTAGATATGTTTGTAATAATAATTGATTTATTTATTTATTAATATCAAACCTAGATGTTTGAGAAATCAACACTTTAAACAAGAGCTAAAGCTTATTCACTGACACCTAATTCTCTGGTAAATTCATTTTTTGTGTTGGTATAAATATCAGTTTCTTCAGCATAAGTGTTGTTTTCTAATTCTAATTCAGCAGTGTATTATTTTTGATCAGCTGCTCTTTAATCTCTGAATTCAACCATAGAGTCAATTTTTTCTAAAAATAATAATAAATAAATTACCATTGGTAGCAGTCAAATCTACAGTAGCTCTATCAATTTGTCTTCCGAATTCTGAATATTCAGAATCTAATTATTCAAGATAAGCTTCATTATCTAAAACATCTTAAGCTTCTTAAGCGGTTAAATCATTGATTTAATCAACAACAGCATTTCTGAAATCATTGAGAGCATCAACAATAGATTTTAAGACATCTTAATTTGAAAAGTTTTAATTGGAAGCTAAAGCAATAAGAGCTTTGATCATTGGTGCCATTCTAGATCTTGATCTCAATTTATTTTCAATGTTTTTCAATGTATTTTAAAATCTTTTGATTTATAACAATGATGGATTAGTCAATGAAGCAAGAAGTGAAAGTGCATCATCAACAGAGGCAGTTGCATCATTTAATTCTGCAACTTAAGCTTCAAATGCTTCATGCTCTTATTCTCTGACTAAGACTGCTTCATCATAGTTCTTTCTGTTTTCTTCTTAATATCCAATAACGGTATCAATTTTGCTTTAGATTTAAGCTCTTCTTGGATATAATAAATTATCAAGTGTGTCTTATGTATTATTAACATCTAAAAATACATTTTTTAAATACCAATAACTGCATCTTGGATGTCTTATTCAAGTGAGACAACAAGTGCATTATGTTCATTAGTTCTCACTTAGAAATTAAATTCTAATGTTTCTAATTCTTCTTCTAAGTCATTGATCAATTCTTCAATAGCATCAATTAACTCTTGAACTGGTCCACCAGCCATTGAGTGTAATTCAACCAAATGAAGTAATGCTTTTCCATATGTACTTTTAGCTAAATCTGCTTACACTTTAGCCATGTTTCTCTCTTAAACTCTGACTGTAAAAGCTACAGCAATCAAGGCAATCAAGATTAAGGATTTCATTATTTTAATATTAATTAAATAAAAACGACTTTATATAATATCAATCCCAAACTATCAATCACTATAAATTTCTGGAGTTTCAGGAGCCAAACATTCAGAATTCCAACATGTTATCTTTCTTCTTTATACTTTCTCTAATTTTCGACTAACCTCTTCATGAAATTATCTTTATAAATTTATTTCACTCTATACATGTCTTTATTGTCTATTATCATTTTCACGCTTCACTCATATAAATAACACTCTATTACCTTATATTTATGATTTATTCCATCCTTTATTGTTCTCATTGTTAATGAAGGTCTATTCATTCCACTCTATTTTATTTAATCTTTTGTTGTCTCCTAAAATTATATTAATTAACTTTATTAATCAATTGATTTTCTTGGAAATATTGAAGACTATCTTTTTATAATCTATGTTGGATTTTATCCATTTATATTTTATTAAGACATTTGTTGTGATTCTTAAAGTGATTCTTTTTTCACTTATTATTCTTACACCTTAAAATCTTAAAATCCCTTTTGCTTTTCTGATGAAACCTTATTTGTTGACTTTATAGAATCCAAATATCCCATACATTTAACCATATTTTTCTCCTTACAGAATTTAAACATATATGAAATGAACTAATTGTTTTTACATTCACATTTCTCTAATAATTGAACAAAAAAATTATCTCCTTCAATTTAAAACTCTTTTTTTTATGTCTATAATAATAAAAACACTTTAAACAAGTCTGTTTCATATTTCTACTTGTAATCTATTTGGAGTGTTTCAAAATATTTTTTGCACTCAAAATATGCTAAAATACATAAAATGCGCAAAAATGTTTATAACTTGTACATATCGATCTAATTAAATATACACTATGTACTAGGTCTAAATTAACAAATGCCCAAGCTTAAAAATAAGAGGGTTCATTTTTTCTCAAATTGCACTATTTGATTTCTTTAAATTCAATTATGTACTTTTCAGAAATTATTTCTGGAAATAACATAAATCCTTCTTAGGTTTTTAACTTAGAAGCTAAACCAAAGGATAAAATTTTAAGTTCACTCAATGTATCAATTATTTTGAAAATTCTCTATGATCTCTATTAAGTTATTAATACTACTTATCCATGTTTCTATCTTCTTCAACAACTTTATTAAGTTAATCGTGAACATATTATGGAAAGGTTTCTTATAAGTAATTTTTGTTACAAACACTCATTATTTAAATATTAATCCAAACTTTTACAATTATTACAAACAAAAAAATCACTTTAATTCTGATACCAATAGTTATTTTTATTTTATTGCTGAATTTCAAATAAGATTATATATATATTTGAATAGAAAAATATTATATATTTTTCTTAGATTTTTAAGTTTAATAATTTAATCTTATAGTTAAATATGGTTTAGTTTGAATGCTCAAATTCTAATTAGTATAAAATATATCAAATGAATAATTGAACAACTAATTCTTTTTATTCTTGTAAATCAAAAATTATTAAAATTAAAAATTGAAATTAAAATTATGCTTCACGACTTATTATTTTCTTTATTAGGTAAACCAGGATCTTTTGTCAAGCAATTTGATAATTCTCCATTTTATATTGATGAATCATTGAATCTTTTTTCAAAACCTGAAATAGTATAATTAAATCAAATTGTGAATTTGGGTTATCATTATTAGCAAATAGATAATTTCTTGTAAAACTAAGATGAAAAAAGCAATTATTTAAAAGTAAAATTGCAAATAAATTTATTAGGCTTTGGTATATGGAATAGATAATAGTTTGAATGATTATAGATAAACAATATTGTCTTTGGAACAAGAGTATTTAAATGAAAAAATGTTTATAGTATCTCAATTAAATGTGAGATTACAAGCATTTTATTAAATTTTATTGAATTTACATACTTCCATTAACATAATATAGTAACACAATATGCGCGGGGGATAAATACTAGATTATCTCTATGAAAGAACATTGACAGGTAATGATAAACTATAAATAATATATTAAAACATTTTATCAGCATGTTATGAAGTGTTATTCTAATAATTATCCTCTTGGTTATAGTATGGTTAAATATTGGACACTTCAGAGGAATTTTTTATTTAAAGAATAGATGAGAAAAAGAAAACTGATTAATATGAATATAATTGGGATACTTCATTTACTTTAAATATATAAATGTTACCTCTACATTTTGTTACTTTGTAAATGGCTGATAAAATATTATTTATTGGAAAAGCCGTGAAAGTCTTAAAAGGACAATAAGAATTATTCATTAATGAACATTAATAATTGATAAGGGAGATTGAAGTTTATGATTCTTTTACATTTAATCGAATAGTTGATTAATTGTAAAAACAAGTTGGAGAATAATTAGTTTAATTAATAGTTAATAAACAAGAATTATTTAGTCATTTAAAAAACTTTTATTTGTTTATTCTTCTTAATAATGGAAATTTTATATAACAATTCTTGTCGGATTGTTAATCAATTTTATAATTACCTTAGACATAATAAGCTTTGTAAGAATTAAATTTTAATTTGCATAAAATGGATTATGATTAGACAGAGAAAATGGATATGTTTATTTACAATAATGGATTTGAATATAAAACATTTTAATCTTTAAATAATTTATAGATAAAGAATAATGTTATTTAGACAATAAATATTTTAAGAATGGGACCTGCTAGAGGGCCTGAAGATTGGAGTGGAGTATTTAGAGATGTTAAATAATCTATAGAGAATGGATTTACATTATAAATTGTATTTAAATTTAAACAATAATTATAAAAATCTTTAGGAGGTTATTCTATGTTATAAGTTCCATAGGATTTAAGTACTAGTTTAGTTTTATTATTTTGTTAAGATGAAGAAAATGGTGTATTTATTAGATTAAAATTGGATTAATAAAAAGTATCATCTTTATCAGTAGAATCAAAAATAAAATTTAAAGAAGAAATAATCTATAAATGGAAATTGGATAAAATAGATTTTTCTGAAGGTGATTTACATAGTTTAAAAATAAATTATTAAAATGATGAATTATCATTAATTTTAGATGATACTTAAAGTGAAACTTAATGTAAGACTGACATTTTGCCACCTTCATAATGGAAAAAGGTGGCTTTTAAGTTTTAAAAATATTTTTAACTTGAATTAGGTAGATGTATGGTAGGTATTAAATAATATGGTTAAATTGTTGATTTATATACATGGAAAATGATAGGGAGTAATTTTTTAAATGATGCTTCCTGGAGTGGATTAACATTAAAGTATTAAGTAGAATATCCATTATCTCTACTTATCACTCCTTCTTTATAAGAAAAATTCTAATTATTTTTTAGATATTTATTTCCTATTAGACATGCTTAATTTGAATTATAATAAGTATGGATTAAACTAATTAAAAAATTCAAAAAAAAGGATTGTAAATATATAATGGGAATGCATACTTAATTAATGCATGTAGTAAATGCTTTTTATCATTATTTTTAAATGGATATTATTGCTGTATAATGGTCTAAAATGATATCTAGAATGTAAAATGAAATTAATTTTGAATAAATGAGAAAAATAATGGATGAATTTGAATAATCAGTTTCTAATTAATTATTTTTAAATCTATAATAAATAGTCAAAAACATTTTTCAAGTAATAAAATTTGTACATAGATATATTGAGTAAGTAAATAGAATTGAAATGTAACATCCTTAAGTAATAAATAAGGAATGTTATAAATTAATGGTAGAATTCGATACTTAATTTGTTGCTCTTTTTAATTTGATTTAATTATTAACAAAAAGTACTAATTAAACTGCTTTATTTTAATTGTTAACAAGAATAGATTACAATTCTTATTTTGATAACAAAACAAATGAAAAATTATGAAGCTTTATATAGTTTATATATATATATTAAAATTAATTAAAATGATTCGTCTCACACACAGTAAATCGGTAGCATGTTTTTCTGGTGCCTTGTGGGGACCAATTCATGAAAGACCTATAGTAGATAGAGTTATGTCAACATCATAATGGCCAGTCCCATATTATTAAAGAATTTTCAAAGCTTATCCAGTTAGATGTATATATTAGATTAAAATAAGAAAATAAATAAACATGGGCAATGAATTTAGCTGGAGCTGAAATTCATGATATTAATTGGTATTGTGCAAAATAAGCTTTGAGTAGAACATTAAAGGGAAGATAAGCTGTTGAATATGTAGAAAATAATATTCCAACATAAAGTAAAGTGATTATTTTATCAAAAGGTTATATTGTCATTCAAAAAGACGTTTCTAGAATGGCAAAAGCATATGTAAGTGATTTAAGTCTTTTCCTAAGTGTGGCAAATAAAGAAAGTAAAGTCATTTTAGACTCAGTCGAATTGATTTGAGAAATAGTCAAAATATAAAATATTGTATAATATGCATTAATAAGCAATATCTATCTCAGTAATTCAAAAGTTTCTATGAGGAAATAATATTTCTCTTTGTAATATACCACTATTATCAGGCTTATTATTTCTTTCTTAACTAAAAAGTCCAAAATTTTCAGAGGAATCATCTTCAAAGTCTTTTTTTATCTAAGATCTCGATTTACTCTATCTCATTTATTTTACTTTTTTTCTAAGTATATATTTTATTCTATGACTTAATTTTTGTTCTACGAGATCGAAATCTATAAATTAAGAAACTTCAAAAATATCTCGTACTTCTTTGCCTAATTTATCTATTAATAATTCATTCACTCTCCCTAATTCTTTTTAAGGATCATTTATTTTATCATAAGCCTATTTTAATAATTATTAATTTACCTTATATAACTTCTAATATGCTTTAATAGATGCTGGAATAGCTGCTTTTTTATCATCTGAATGTTTTTTCATAGCCAATTAGGCTATTTAACCAACTGACATGGATGAATTTGAATTTTCTGTCAATTTTTATCTAAATTAATAATATTTAAATTTACGTATAAACTTCTACTCTACTAGGTAGTTTTTTCTCTTCTAATAGTGAAATTACTTATTTTGGGGCAAAATTAAATAAGATTTATTAATTTTTATCCAACATCAACTCCTTTAATAAATTAATTTCTTTAACTTTTTCTAAAATAACATATATATCAATATCAGAATTAATTCTATCTCTATAATATAATTAAATTATATAATTTACACTGCCTTCATAAGAAGTATAGAAGTTCTATCTTTAAAACATCTACCTCCTGTCATTTAATGACAAAGAAACTTAAATGTAAATTAAATGTGCCGAGCTCTAGTAAGAACTTATGATATTTAATTTGTTAAATATTCTTTCCGACTTTTAAAACCAAGTTTTGACACAATTTCTTCTTATTGTTTTTGAAATTCTGATTTTATTTCTGAAGATGTATTTTTTATCATTTATTTTTAATTTTATGTATTATGAGGTGTATCTTCATTTAAAACTTGAATTCGAATTTCTTCATCTTATAAAGGTTAAGTTAATGATTTTTTGTGAGGCAAATTTGAATCTTGCATTTCTATAATTTTAGGCGTTTATGTCTTTTTTTTGATTTAAGTTATTTTCTTAACCAAGTCATCATTTCTAAGCTTTTAAGAATTTTTACTAGTATCAAAATTAAAATCATAAACTTTATTTGCAAGTTCTATTAAATCTATTAAATATTTATTTAAATCTCATACATTATTATTTATTGTAAAATGCAACAAAAAAACCCAAAAATACAACCACTATATTTACAAAACCTCCTAGATATGATAAAAGGTCATCAACTTTTTAAAATTTTCTTGTGATATATTTTGTATAAGGACTTCTTCTAAAATATAAAGCTATATATTATTTATCTGTTGGAGATCCTAAAGTAGTGATATCTCTAAAATCTGCAGGTTCTTTCATAAAAACATTTTCTAATTGTTCATCATCAAATACTGGAACCAAGCTCTAATCAGTATTGATTTGATATTTTTTAAAAAATATGTCTGATTAACGAGATAATTTAAAAGGAACAAACTAAAAATAAACTTCATCATCTAAATAGCCTTATATGTATTCTGTTGGTTTTGATGGATTTACTATAGTGTTAGTCATGTATCTAGATAGAAAATGATTTGAAATACATTCTTATTCTATAAGAACCTTCACTTGATAACCATTTTTCCATTACATCTTTTGGTGCACATTCTGGATGCCAAGTTAGATATTCATTTTTTGAAGTATCATTTTTACAATCTGTTATTTCAATTTTTGCAAAATCTAAATATTCGCTTGAGTATCTTCCACCAACAGTCAATGAATAATTAAGACTATAAATAAAATGAAAGAATTACTCTGGACAAAGCCATGTTGACAATCCTAATTAATTATATTGATCTGTAAAATTAAGATCATATTTATCGAATATTTTTTGAAATCTATCTAATGTACAAGGGATTAAATTTGTTAGATTTTCATATTTAATAGTTGTTCCATTACTCAATCTTACATATGTTCTTTATTTATCAGATAAATATACCTAGCTTTTATTGAAATGTTAAAAAATGGATTTGTATTGAAGGCTGCTTTTTATTCGATTGAAATAGCAAACATAAAATTATCTGAAGTAAATTTAATCCTATCAGGGTTTTCTTCAAATACTGTTTATGTCTCTGCTGTGATATTTGTCTTTCCTAAGAAATCGATTATGTTTGATTAAAAAAATATTGCAACGATTGCTACAATCAAACAAGATAAAATTCCTCCTCCACCTGTTTTATATTAATCTTCTCCATTGAGGTTTAATGAAATACTTTATCCAAACAGATCTATTTATTTAAAAACTAGTTAATGATTTCATCTAATAAATACATTATTGGGACTTTGCTAACATTCTTGATTTAATATAAATATTAATTACAACAGTAATTTATACAAAATTTTACTCTAATTGATGTATCATATTTCATAATTTCATGTTCTAACTTAAATCAATATGTTTTATATACAGAATACAAAAAAGTGCAAATATTGAATATAACAAAAATTGAGTTAAGTTAAATTTTTTAAAATGTCATAAAAATTCATTATTTTTATTGATATTTGAATCTCTTTTATTATATACAAATTATATCAAAATAATAATATTTTATAACAACAAAATCAAAATTCCTTTTATAAACATTACTATATAACTATATTTTTAAAATATGTGAATTCAAATATCAATTTTTATTTAACAGTAATTTAGATCTATTAATATAATGATTATTTAAACTTAGAACTTATTTATAAATAATTATAAAGAAGACTTCATTATTGATTTTTTAGAGCCCATTTTATATTTTTATAAATTACTTATAATAATAAACTTGAGCGCTATAATTTAAAAGCATATATATATAAAAAGTTTTCATTAATTCTAACTACAATGTAAGCATGAAACAAAATCTCCATTATGAAGATAAATTTTTACACTACAAATTAAACAACAGAATTATGCACAATAATAACATTAATAAATGCATTTTTGACAAGCTAATCGTGAACATTCAACACATATTGTATTTGCATTTAATGGTTTTGTATCACAATTTTTACAAACTAAATTAGTTTCTTCTTCAGTTTCCATAATTTATCCATTTTACTTTTGTTATTTATTAACTGTATAATAATAAAATGAATTACAATAACTAATGAATTCTTATTTTGATACACTTTTTTTAGTAATTGGAACACTTGAACTTATTCTTTATTCGGATATCTTCATTAAGGCTAGTTCTTTTGCTAAATCATTATTAATTTCCTTAAAAACTTCTTATCGAATTTCATAGTAGTATGGACTTTGGCGGAGCATATTTTTAATGTAAAATTTTAATAATAAATAAATTTTATTCAATGAATAAGTAGGTACAGAATGGTTTTAAGACTCCAGATAAATCATCACAAAAAATATCCTAATATAATGGAAAATGTGTATGCTAGATTTGCACCTGTGGAAAAGATAAATGTCCTCCTTAATAAATGCATGTTAATCCATCTCATTTTGATACTACAAATCGCAAATCCTATGTGAAATGGGATGTTAAGAAAACTACACCTATAATACCTGAATAATATAGAATTAATTTTGGAACTTAATCATTTGTTTCATCTTATTAAAGAGATTATACTCCTTAAAAGACTCCAGAAAGACCGACAAGAAAAACTCAAGAAATGACAATACCATACCATAGACCTTTTGTTTCATCAACAGAATATAATTAAAGATATTAACCTTATGATAATATGCCTGTATCTCTGAAACCTAAATATTTTTATTAAGAAAACCCAAATAAAATATAAGCTAGTACAACTTATAGTGAAAATTTTAAAGCCTAACCAATATCAAATTAATACTAAATTAAACATCATGATTCATCTTTTACTCCTACTAAAATTTAATTTAATGCTAATTCTAAATATTAAGAAGACTATACACCTTAAAAAGGTTCTAAAGCAGTCCAAATTAAACATAAAAATTAATCTCCTTTTGGAGGAGTAAATAATATAGAAAAATATTCATCTTATCAGAAAGATTATAAGAGACTTGATGATGATACTTATAAAAAACCTTAATGTCCTATTAGAATGCTTCCAACTCCAGATAGGTAATATTTATTATCACAATTAATAGAAGTAAGAGTCCAAATAAACATTTAATATTTAGTGCTCATAAAAGTGATTGGGAATGATCTAATTAAAAATAATATTGTATCAAATAACTTAAAAAAATTTAGTATTATTTTTATTTTTTCTATATAATAATCATTCTATCATTAATTTACCATTATATATTATATAAAATTTAAATATTTATGTTATTTCCATTTTGCATCAATGAATCTTATATAGATCAAGTTTTCAACCAAAATCCAATATCTTTACTTACTACAAAAATGAATCCTGCCAGATTTGGATTTGGAGATGGAGTTGTTAAGGGAGAAAATTCATTTTTATAAATTAGAAGATTAATTTCCATCACTCATAAAAATTAGAATAAGTATCAAATTTATAAATTAGTCAATACTTTTAAATATCATTTTCCAAACAATTTGTTAGGCTAACTTAGTTTTATCAAAATCACAATCCAAAACCAATTAAATATTTATTACTATAAGAGCGTTTACCTTAAAAATAATATTATTTTAGAGGAATTCGTGTTTTATCAGATAGATCTATTTCAGCATTTATAGGGGAAACAAGTTAATATGAAAGTGAAAACTTTCTTAATATCAATAAAAATTTCTTTGATATCAAATTATCAATAGACAAACAAAATTGCAGTTTAACTTATTTCTATGATTATCTATTCTCTTAAGAAAAATTAAAAATAATATAGCATAAAACAAAAATTGTTCTTCCAAATTATAGTGAAAGCTATCTAAGGTTTAGAAGTATTTTTAGGGAAACTTATTTGCTTAATGGCCATATTGGTAAACAACCAAATATTGAATTTGGTTTTACTAAACAGATAAATTAATCTAGCTATTTTAGTGTTTTATCGAAATTTGGTTTTAAATTAAATTAATTTAATTATGAGTATCCTTATTGTTCACTACTACCATAAATAACACTGCAATATAAAGGATGGATAACAAAACTTGGATTGGAAGCTAAATTTATTGAATAAGAGTCCATAAGTCCTTATTTATAAATGGAAATGGTTTTATGGGAGGATCCTATGTAATTATTCTCCTTATCATTTAGTCTTTTTATTAAAATTTTATTTAAAAATATAAAACCAAGTGTTTAGATAAACTTTGACTATGATTTACAAAAATAAAGTTGAACAAAACATTTTTATATAACTTAATAATAATTTAAATAATAGAAAAAGTTTGGATGGTTTTTATTTTTGTAAAGAAAATAAACCTAATATAAGATGATAAATGGCTCACTTTCTGTTAGTTATTTTTATAGTTTATTTCACATATATATTATAACTTTGTTTTTAAAAATATATTAATTGAAAATTCATAATTCAAAAGGAAATTAGAAAAAAATAAAATATTTAAATTACTTAATTCAATTAATTAGATTTTAGTTATTTTAACTTTTGGAATATTAAAAACTAAATTTATTTTTACAAAAATTATCAAGAAATATTGTTAAAGATTTTTTCTTTTTTTTTATCAAATATAATCAATGAATCGAAAGTATCACTTTTTTTGTTAGTACTTTAAAACAATTCTGGAAATTTATAGTTTTACCAAACTCTAATTTTTTTTTCGTGTAATTTTAAGATACTCATTTTATATCGATCCTATTGCCTATTTTTTAATTAAAACTACGTTAATTATAATTAAATACTAAATAATCAACTAATTAAACATCTTTAACTAGACCTCCTATTTCTGAACTTTATAATGAATATTGCCTTTACTTTCTAGAATTACATCTTATGGCCATATTTCCTTATGCTTTTGAATCAATTGTTTGAGGCCGGGATGCTAAAGGCCTTTAAAATGGAGAAAAAAAATCGCTTCTCTTTTTGTATTCTCTAGACAAGCTTCTTTATTCTGATTCGTCCATTTTGACTTGCATAAATCTAGGTTTTGGACTACAAAATGAATACTAACTCATTATTAATAGTTCTAAAATAGATAAATAATAATATTTATTATAATAAAAAAACTAATTAAAATCATATTGATATTTAGACACCATACTTCTTGAGTTCATCAATTTTTTTCTTGGCTTTAGACGCTATTAACGAATTTTGATTCATATAAAATAATCTAAGTTAAGTTTGAGGATTTTATTTTAAAAGAACTAAAATAAAATCAAGAGATTTTTCGGTTAATAGATTTTGTTAAAGATGGAATGTATGAATTCTAAATTTTGAGAATATTTTTACTTAGATTCTGACAAGGTTAAAAGTAATTTATGAAATAAATCATCGACTAATAAGCATTTACTTAATTTTAAGACTTTAACATTTGAAGTACCTTTTAAATACTCTCCAAGAATTTAAATAATTGAGTCATTAAAATCTAAACTATAAAATAGTATTACCTATTTAACTTAAATCTACAATTTCATTCTTATCTTAGTGAATGATTGTTAAAGTATGAGATAATTTTTCATTCATTTTTTAATTATTGGTAAATCTTTTAGTTTATTTTTAATTGCTATTTTAGTTAGTATTATTAAATTTTGAAAACTTTTATATTGTTGTTGAAGAAGTGTCAAACATTTCACTATTTGATAGAGTAGCACTTCTTTCTTTTAATCTAGTAAATTAGGATTAAACTGAATTAAAATTGATTTATTTTGATATATCAAATGAAGGTGAAGCTGGCTGAGTAGGTTATTGAGAAAATACTTCTGAATTTCTTTTACCTCTTCCTACATCTATTTATAAAGGTTTCTTTTCTTAAATTTTAACTAATTCCTCTTAAGGTTATTTATCATCCAATAAGAAATCAGATTATTCATTTAATTAATTCTTATTATCAGATAGACTTGAAGATATGGGTAGTAAAGAATCTAGTTTATTATTTTCTTATTTTTTATTATTTAATCCCATTAATTAAGAAATATAATTAGAAATTACTTATATTGGAACTTAAATTTCGTGAGATTTCTAAGTTGAATCAATTAAAATAGTGATTGATTCTTTTATAAGATTAAATTGTTTCAATAAAGTTTAGCCAGAATTAATAATTATTTAATCAAATTTTCTAAATTTAGACTATTATGATTCATCCACTAATTAGCTTAATTGATAACTGGCTTAATTTAGCCATTAATCTGCTTCACATTATAATTGTGAAAATTCAAAATCTATTTTATTAAGAATAATTTCTTATGAAGTTTAATAAGCTTAATTAATTTTCAAAAGAGTTTGATTTTTGATTTCTTCAATTTATTTATTTAAATCATTGAAGTATAATTCAATTTTAGATTTGATACAACATTATTATTGATTGAATCCTAATTATAGCAATTATTCTAATTGTTCTTTATTATTCCTTTCAGTTTGAATTTATTTATATAGACAAGATATCTCATTAACAGTAAATTCAATTTATTTCCAGAATTATTCAATAGGAAGATAATTATGAAATTTATGAGGGCCAAATAAAGCACAATTTACACAAATACATTATCCATCTTCTTAACATATAAGTTCTAATTCTTTTTAATGTAATTAACATATAGAAGTCTTTGAAGTGGCCTCTGTGAATGTAAATTATGATGTAGATTTTTCAGAATAATACTGACCAACTTCTTTAGTAGAATTTGGAATTTGTTAATCATCAGGAGTATTAAATGTTGGTAAACATGATAATGCTGATTATTAACGTTTTTTAAGCATAGTTAAAATACTTTAATTTTGAGGAAAGCATTTCTAATCTCTATGAACATTACACTCAATTCTTGATAATAATATTAATAGATACCTATCTTCATTACATTTCAAAGATTAACCTCCAGATATATATTATTGAACACATTAATAACAAACTGAATGTCCACAACTTGGTAAAACAAATGGAGAATGACTTGTTTAATTGAATTCAATTTAGCATTAGCAGCACTAAAATTCCATTAATATTTATATTATTTTAATGTACTGTGATTAAATTTTCATCTATAACTCTTTTATCTTCTAGCTCTGGCACCTTTACCACCAAACTTTCTTGGTTCGCATCTTCTTGGATCAGCAACTAAGAGTGTTCTGTCATATTACAATAAGAGATCCTTGATTTCTCTCTTTTAAGTTTCATCTACATATTTTTAATAGTAAGCAACAATTCCTTTACTAATTGCCTAAATAATATAAGATTGCTATACTACCTATCTGATAGCATATATTTATGCAGTTGTACCACCACCTCTGACAGTGACTCTAATGTCTAATCTACCTGTTCTAACTTAACCAAGAAGCAAAAGTGGTTCAAGAGCCTTTTATCTTAAAGGAGCTGGGTTCACCAATTCAATTGGGGCACCATTTACTCTAACCAAACCTTATCATCTAATTTAAACAAGTACCCTTTCCTTCTCTTACACTTGCACTTGCAACAGCATTCTTCTTTCTACCAAATGTTTGAACCAATTTTGGTTTTGTTTGAGGAGTTGACATATCCAATAATTAAATTATTTAATTTAATCAATTTTTTATATTAAATGACAATGTAGCACAAATTGGATAAAATTGAATACTATAATAACCTTGCTAATATTGCTATCATCTAATGAAAAAGAATCATAATAATACTCAAACTACAGAATTTAAACTTTTAAAGAAAATAAAATTATCGAATTATTTAAAAAAGACTCTAAGAATAATATACTTGAATTCATTATAATATTTCAATAAGGTCTTTATTTTCTAAGTTCATCGAGCAAAGCACGTCCTTTTGCTTTTTCCATCTCTATTTTTTTATCATATTCTTCCTTTTATCTTCGAAGAGCTTCCTCTTCTTATTATTTTTTATCTCTTAACAATTATTATCTTTATTTTTTCTCATCCATTTGATTTAACAAATTGTGTTTTGTTTACATAATTTTCTTCAATTATATTACATATATACATCTTATTCTATTCTTTGTTTTTCTTCCTATTCTTTTTAATATAAATCCATTTATCGTTATAATTCTACTTTATCCTATGATTTAATATTCTTTTCATCTTCTATAATTTTCTTTTTTATTTCAACATTTTCAGCTCTCTAAGCATAAACTTCATACATCAATTTGACTCTAGCATCCTAAAATAATTAATTATATTTACATCTTCAGCCTTCCATTTAGCTTCCTTTGTTTCCCATTAACGAGCATTTTCTTCATTTATCAATCTTTCTTTCAACTAATCATTTGAATTATATTCATTATTTCTATTTTTAAAATTAAGTAAAAATTATCTAGTTTCTTCTTTTTATCTAAGTTTTTCAGCTTATTCCATTCTAGCAATTGCTTCTTCTCTTTCTAATACTTATTAAATCATCTCTTTATCTTATAATTTCTCTTCTTATTTTATTTATTTTTTGTAATCTTTTTATTATTCATTATTTAAAGCAATTTCTTAATTAATTTCCTTTTTATAATTCAAATATTAATTCTCTCTTTATTTATGTCTTTCATCTTCTCTTTTCCATTCTTCTTTCTAAATTGATTATTTTTAATAATATTACAAGCATTTATTTCTCTTATTCAATCTCATCTTTGATTCTTTAATACTTATTAACATTCATTTAAGTTTGAATTCCCAATACTTTATTTCTTTCATCAACTTTTGCTTTCTATTCAATCTCTTTTTCTTTTTCTAACCTTTCTTTCTTTAGAATTTCTCTTCTATATAATTCAGCATAAATCATTTCCTCTAATTTGAATAATACATATATATGTATTACCTTCATATTAATCTTCTAACATTTTCTATTTTTCCATCATTTACATATTTCTATAAGCAACAGTTTATTATTCATTAAATTATTAATTTACTAATCTGAGTTCATCTGCATTATCTCTAAACCTTCTTTCATAAGCAACTTCTGCCTACTTAGATCTCTCAATTTCTTTTCTTTATTTTAATTCTGCAACTTCTTTCATCATTCTCTCCTTAACCTATTCTGGAGTTTCAACCATGGCTTTGATTTCTTATTAATATTGTTCATGTTCAGCATTTAACAATGCAGCCAATTTTTCTTTTCGTTAATTTTTGTGTGCATCAGCATCAGCTCTTATCTATTGTAATCTATTAATATAATATTATGCAAACCTGTTTTTAGTATATTACATATTGGCAACATCCTTTCCCTTATTTTCCCAAGCTGCAAATGTTTTTTCATATTGTTCCTATCTTAGCTTAGTGTTCAACTTTCCAACCTATTATTCTTATTATCTGCGTTAATAGATTAGTTATTCAGAACGGTTACGAGTGGAACTTTATATCATATTTAAATTAATTATAATTATAATTAAACAATCTAATACCTCTTTTTATTATAATCATTATAAAATTTGCCATCCATTATCAACACTTTGAATTTTAATAAAACTAACAAACATATTAATTAATTGTTAAGTAAAAGTATATGTTTTTGAAAAATAAATCTAATCAAATCTATCTA